AACACCGAGCTTCTTAGACCAGTGATTCTCAACCTTTTTTTTGTTGCGGCACATTTTTAACGATTTCTAAATTTGGCGGCACTCAAAGAAAAAGATAAAAATTATTTACTTACTACAACACACTGCATAAATAGTTTATGACAAAAATTTTAAATATACGAAATAAACTAATATATACAACGAATAATATATATGCTATAAACTAATATATACGCGAAGAAATACAGACACAGTGTGCGTGTGCAGCAAGTCAGCACATAAGCTCGGGATTCCCCGTGAGATGTGTACACAGCGCACGTGTTCAATCACAGTAGCATTTAGTAGAGTGCGATAAAAACAAAAAAAAAACTTATTTGGAAAACCGTGTAAAAGCGAAAACGTGTAAAACAAGTACCGTGTAAATGGGGGGATAAGTGTACTGCAAAGTTAATAAGTTTACAAATTTATAAATTGACACTACATGCAAATAAATTAATATTAAACCGAATCACATACATTTGCCAATTTTAACGAAAGAAGAGGTGCAGTAACTACTATGCAACACCTTGTGAATCCCAACTATCACTAAAACAACACGTTTTGTACGCAGAAGTGGCAAGTGTGCGCCGACTTGAGACATATTCCTATTGCTATGCACGCCGCTTCATCATAATTTGGCACTAAGAAAAAACGCGTTGCAAAGCAAATAATAAAATAATTTATTTTATTGTGGATTTAAATATATATTCATGTTAAAAATATTTTTCTTTTTAAACTGATATAATTTAATAATATTAACATTATTATATATTTGCAAAATTTGGCGGCACCCTTTTAAATTTGACGGCACACAAAATTGCCGCGGCACAGTGGTTGAGAATCACTGCCCTAGACACTAGTCCGTGAGTCGGCAGCCCAGTTATTCAACACTTCAGCTTACGGAAATGTATACGCATGTAAGAAATAATAATGGGTCACACGGACTACCTCAAGGTCTATTGCCCACGGCGAAAGTGCATCTCAAATAACATCTCTCGCATTTACATAATTGAATATTGTAAATTTATGTCAAAGTGAAGTAAAATTGGTACTTTGTTGTCCCAGCAAGGGCCTCCCTGTACAGAGGATATTAGGGCATAGTCTACCATGCAACCCCTCCGCAGTTTGGCAGCTGACTTAATCTACGATTTTTTTTAATTATTTCGTAAATAAACAAGTTGAGCCAGAGTTTAAAATGAAAATTAACGCCTTCCTTGATACCGGCAGCGGGATTTGAACCATGGAAATGGCAGTTGCAAATGGCAACACCCGTAGGGTTGCGAATGCGTTGCCACCTTTAAATAAAGTTGGCCCCGGCTACGTCACTCACAAGACGAAACGCGGTAGGATAACACTTCTTTTTTTTTCTTTTCTTCTTACAATCTAATCCACATACATACCCCTTTAATTAAACGTTGTTTTATTAAACGTGGACTGTTTAATAAAACAACTTATTAATAAAAGTTTTTTGTTTCGCACTCCGCAATAAGACTTCCGATAAGACGTATAAAGAACGGTGTACATGCCAAAGTTCGTCTTCAAATATGGGTGATGATTTATCTAGTCCCAACCAGGCTATAGTGCTCGAGTTACAAGCGTCATGCGGGCGAACCCGCTCTCCGCTTATGACTTTGGACCCAACCGAGCTCGTTGCAAAATATTAAATATCCGAACGCATCGCTTACCCGCTGCCCGCCGTTCACCGTTCGAAATATAAATTTATTTATAACGCGTTGACGTCAACGCACCGTTTGGTTTTACCTCGTGCATTAAAAAGTGTAAACACATACGCCCCAGCAACGGTACTAATGGGATATGTGAAAACTGTATACAATGTAAATTATGCGCAGTTTTGAAGGCTCGTTTTGATGACTAATTGTAGGTCTTATATTATAGTCATACAAGCTCGTCCTTACAACCTTTCCTTATGTAAAAAGGCGGTTCACCTAATGTTAAGTAATTACCGCCTCCCTTGTACTGGTGGGATTACCTGCCCATAATAGTGTGCCCCGGTTAGCTCACTTAACAGAAGAAATGCAAAGGTGTAGTTTACCACTGCCCAAACGTGCAAAATGTCTTCAATTATATTTATTGTCGTTTCTAAATTAAACCGTGATCCCTTGATCTAAATGATCCCTCTTCGAATTTAAATGATTAAATAATGTTTTATTTTGATACACTACGAAAAACAATTAGGAAGTTACGATAGGTACGGTTTTATAGATAATTTGTAGCGATAAAAATACCACAGATAAGGTTTTAACGCGATCGTCTAAAGTTTTCTAACACGTTATAACAGATACAAAGACGTGTCACTATGACATAGTTACACGAGGTTGTATTCGCATCGGCTTTATCTTTAATACACATCCTGTTAGCTGTTTAAAGTCTATCCATCGTTTAAATTAACCGCGTTAGTTTGTGTTAATTAGTCGTTAAGTTTTAATCGACGTTATGGTTATTGCGACCCCTTGCTTGTATCCTGTTTGTTGATGTAGGAGGTAAATTAATAGAAATAACATGCTAGCTATAGCCGTCGTCGATAGTACAATAGATTGCGTTTTTAACCTAGTCTATTCCAAACCAGGACGAAACATCAGCCACCTACGAATAACAATAGTACCAATAATTGAAACAAAAACGTTATTTTAGGGTACGGGCTGTAAATTAACAAATAAATAACACAAAACAACAATATATCTACCCCTATATATACGATTTTTATAAGAAATACAACTTTCAATGACCTAGTATACTCTGCAATAGTTTGCACTATAAAAGCTACAGTGACTAATATTACCGTACAACCATTGCATTTTAAATTTTTCGTACAACGAGCAATCACAAACATGTTTTAGAACTGTCACATTGACACGGTAACATTTAGAAACTTTGATTTGAAAAATAAGGACACTCGTGTATTTTCAATAAATATTTATATTTATACAAATATTGTATTTATTGTATTTTTAAAGTACACTCATCGGGCAAAATAACTATATAAAATTAATTGAGACAATTATACAGTAGAGCATCAGTATTGTTAAAGTGTAACTTTTTATTTTTAACCGACTTCAAAAAAGGAGGAGGTTTCTCAATTCGACCGTATATATTTTCATTTTTTTTATGTGTGTTCGCGGATAACTTCGTCGTTTATGAGCCGATTTTGATGATTCTTTTTTTATCGGAAATAAAATGTCCCAAGGGTGGTACCATGATAAAGAAACACGGATCTGATGAGAAATCGAGGGCCATCATTGAATCCTATAGGTATTAACAATGTTTTTAATTTTCTGATTGAAGTCGGTTTTTTTTTTTTTGTTAAAAATTATATTATGTGTAAACTTGACAAGCGAGCAGCGATTCAGATTAGTTTCGCTTTTATTACATTTAACTAAAACTGCGTTAGTTATTGCAACGCTCCTTCACAATGCATTTTATCCGATTGGTAGGTAAGTAAGGTAACGGTGGTAGAGCCATGCAGCAGCCTCGGCTGTTGCACGAATGGGCAGGCTCGTCCGGGTAAGTACCAAACCTCACAGAAGACCGGCGTAAAATGGAAGTATGACAAACACTTTCGCGTTTCGTCTAGTGAGTGAGATGGGCGGAGCCCAATTTTCAAAAGGTTTTCAACGCATCTGGAACCCTCGGGTATAGCAGATGTTCATAGGCGGCGGTATTCACTAAACATCAGGTGAACTGTCCGCTCGTTTGGCAACTTTTCACATAAAAAAAAAGTTACGTGTCGTGTGGCTTACTTAGGCAGTACGAGTTAAGGGTGCCGTAAAAGTAAAAGCTTGTCTGGCGATCGCGAGGGCAATCCGCTTTCACGCTGCCCGCCCAAATTCGCAGTGAAAGGATGAAAGTACACGATGAATGCATGCAATTATTGGTTAACATAATTCATGCTCGTAAATTGTGCCACAGAACTGTAAGCGGCAACCGACTCTCCTCTTATGGCTTTACGACAGCATCCATTCGACGTCAATGATATTGTATACAAATACGAGGCAGATATGACACTAGGGCAAAACTTGGGGCATTAAAATTACGCCAATTGATGTAAATAGATTGCAATTCTATAGACTGCTATCCCTTTCCGTATCATACGTTCTCTATCATCTGTCACGTTCACTTAAATATGTCATACTAGCTGCTGCCCGCGACTACTTCTGCGTAAAATAGGCTGAAGGCGTAACATTCAGACAGAAAGAGAGATATATTACTGTAAAGTTTCATTAAAATCCAATTATATTGTTTATTTTTTTATGTATTTGCGTGAAAGAGTAACAAACATCCATCCATACATACAAACTTTCGCGTTTATAATTTTTTGTAAGGATAATGTAAAGCGGAACAATTTTTAAAAGCCGAACAAGTATGGACATGCGTCATCTTTATTAAAAAATCATTCTTACTTTCATGGTCGTGAAAATCTTTGTAAAGATATTTATCCTTACTCCTTAAACGTTACTCGCGCTGTAGGACATACTGTTGTACGGTATGTTTTGTAAAACGTGTGCGTGCACTTTATTTTATTACGTGTAAATTGATGTTTACTTATAAACTCTACACGAGGTTATTCTATAAATAAAAGTGTTTGAAAAAGCTAGAGGGAAAATAGATAAAAGGAGATGGAAGATAATACAAACGAAAAAAAATTAAACGGATACGGTACGCGGCATTATATCCATACTTTTTCACGACTTCTCTAGATAGTCATTTATATCTCTCTAACTTTCATAACTGACTAATGTTTTCTGATGACTCCGTGGTGCGGTTGCTAAGCTACTGGCTTTGGCGCCGGGTTGGGTGATTTCAATTCCCACACGGGACAAGTAATTCCCTTGCAGGCGGGCTGGTCTTAAAAAAAAACAATACGAAACCACTCGCAGAATGATTCACATGCTGCAGCGAACCACCTAGGTGGTATAAGGGCAGTTAGACGACGTTTTTAGACGAATGTTTTTCCCTTGCCCCAGGCATGCTTAGAGCAAGAGTCGAGGGTGGCGGAGCTGAGGTCCTTGGCGGCGCAAGTGGCCGCGGAGACCGGGTCCAGGGCGCTGCAGGCGGACGCCGACGCGCTCGCCAGGAGGCTGCAGCTGGTGGCCGGCGCCGTCCAGGCCCTGGCCGATCTGGGCGAGGCCAGGCAGCTAGCCAGGGCGAAGGCGCAGCACGCCAAAGAGAAGCTGTGCGACATGAGACAGGTCAGTAGTGGTTATCACCTAATTCACCTCGTGGCATATCATTAAAACAAGAAACCCGACTAAGTTGTACCATTTGAATATCAAAATATACAGCCAGTACAGAATTAATAAGAAAAACTTGACACATTAAAATCCATCGTCCCTGGAAAAATAATATATATTACACGAGAAACAGCATGTATAAGAAAGTACTTTCCATCGGTAATATTTGGTAATTTTAAGGGATTATTTATTATATTGTGTAGGTTATCATTATTTCAATTTGACTATACGCAATAAACTTAAGGTTGCTCATAAATGGTAATGTTGATTTACGACCAATCGTCATTCAGTCTTCATCTGGTTCTACAACTGCTTCATTAAAAATAGAGATAAAAAGATAAACTTAAACATGAATTATAAATATTTACCAATTATGATATTTACTAATCATAAAATTATAATTAACAAAACGAAAATACCCAAATATAAAGATAAAAACATGTTTGATGTTTGAAAACAGATAAGAAAAATAAGCCAATATTAAAAGAATAATTTTAGATTATGTACCCTAATAGTATAAACCAAGATAACCCCTGACAAAATTGGCTCGTCTTTGTTTTATCTACAATAAAAAAGGTCAAACGAGAAACATTTAAAACCAAATAACTACAATAGTGCTGTAAACTACTGCTAAAAGCCATTTTTTGCTATGAAATTTTTTTTGTCATTTATGTACACGAGTCTTAAAGCGTCACAATAAGAATTTCAATAACAGAGTTCACACATCTGGCACAATACCGCTATCTTTAGCCTTATGAATTATCGATGAGCGGTTGCCCATTTCGTTTATTTGGGCTCAGTCACGAATTCACCTCCCAATAGACAGCGGGCATACTTAGGCAATTCTGTATTATTTTATTGTCAGCATACGCGAACATTTGCTTTAATATTAAACAACAAAAGATATTGACATAATATAATTGAAGAAATAAATAAAAGCTGTGATTGCGGACATGCAGGTACAGGAATGTCATTTCTCGATTAATTCTATTAAGTTTTTTATAAAAAGAAAAATGATAACTTCAACATATACTTAACACTTTATATCTGTAATTTAATATACACGAGTAAAGTTGATTATATTATATTGTTTTTCGTTTACGAGTTTCCAAAAAACGTGTTGTTATCAATTCTCAGGATTTGGCTCCGGTGCACGAAGATGGTGAAATAGTCGAAGACAAATTGATCGCCCTTCGTGATAATCTGATTGCGCTAGGAAAGAGCGAAGCGGACATCGCGCCCGCGAAAGCTGAACTGCCAGACATCGACAGGGACGTTTCCGAGGAGCACTCCATAGTGAGAATACTGGAGCTATGGCAGGCCATGTTCCGCGATACCTTCTTGCACTACCACCGACTCTCCACGGCACTTGTCAGGTCGGGCGATGCTGCGACTGCTTTGAAGTTGTGGCACGAATACCTGCTGGACCTCCAGTCATTCCTCTCCGGTTCCCTACCAACGGACTATGAGAACCTGACGGAGCACCGACGGCTGTGCCGCGTACACAGGAACCTGTTGGCCTCACAAAGGTCTGTTTTGATAAACGAAAACAAGGAGACCACCAACAGAGACCTGGCTGACAAATTCGACACGCTGACAAACCTCCACAATGAGACGCTCGCAAGGATAGTCGAGAGACACGACGAAGTGTGCACAAGGATCGCCGCGTGGGACGACTACAGAGAAATATACACGGAACTTCTGCGCTGGTTGAAGGAAATTGAACGCGAGAAGGAGAAACTCCAACTGAGATACGTCCACATTAAGAGGATACACAAAATATTAACAAAGATCCAGAATCTCTTTGACAAGCTACCCGAAGGCCGCAAGTTTGCGGAGAAGTTGTCTGTGTACCTTAAGAGAGTGTTGGCATTTACAGAAGAGACTTATGGAGCGTCAGTTAGGATGGAATACGCCGGCATCGTGAAGAGAGTTGACAATTTACAAGCTAGCCTTGACACATGGCGCGATTTCCTGACTCGAATACTTGGACTGATCGGCGAATACGAAAATCTGACTGGTGACTTGCACAAACTTTACTCACGGACCCAGGACGAGGTCATGTCGTATTCTGACGAAGAACGCTTATCACGGCCGCAACTTAAAAAAGCGATTGAGAAATATTCGGAATTGCGAAAGAAGATCGACAAGACTGAAACTCAGATAGAAGCTCTGAGTGTCATCCAAGAGCAACTTAAAGAATGCCTTAGCCCGCAGGACATAAGAATCGTCAATCAAAGGGTCTGGCAGATGCGACAGCAGAGAGCCGATTTGGAGCACCAATTGTCAATCATAATACACAGGCTCCAAGAGAGGTTGGAAGTTTACACAATATTCGATTCACGGCTATCAAGGTTCTTTGAATGGATGACAACGTTAGAAACTCGACTCGAAACCTCCAGTTCTAGTAGTGAAGCTAGCGCAATGGACCCGCATGACCTTATCAGGAGGATCAACTCGGACATTCAAGCAGAAACCGCCCTCAAGGAGCGCGAATTCGAGTGGCTCGCCGAAACCGGCAGTTCTTTGGTTGACCTCTCCAAGAAAGACGAGAAAAACTACAGCAAAAACACCTCCAAACAACTCAAAGACGTTCAAGAACGATGGCAGAGATTGCAGGAGACGGGCCGAAGTAGGATTGCCAAAATCAACGAACTCCTCGAAACAATATCACAATTGGAAGAGCGTTTAACGGAGATAAGAATGAAACTGCACACTATAGAGTCAAAACTGTCGACGTCTGTTGTCATTGAAAATCTGACGGCCAAAGCGGTCGATGAGAAATTCCAGGATCGCGACGAAATCCACAAGAGCATAGAGGACGAGAGCGGTGAAGTGGGCGAAACGCTGAACCTCTGCGAGCTCGTCTTCAACGACACAGACGTGCTAAAAGGCAACTTTGATCTGCGCAACCTTCGCACCGGCGTCGAGATAGTCGAAAAGAAATGGAAAAACATCTGCGAGATGTCCGAACAGAGAAAGGGAGCGCTGAAGGAGATCCGCAAGTCCGCCGAACTGGCCAACTCGCTGCTGCCGAAGGCGGAGAAGAGACTCGACTCGATCGAGAGGAGAGTGGAGAAGGTCGAGATTAGGAAACAGCGCGGTGATACGGACGACGACAGCGTTTCGAAGGCGGTCATCAAGGACTTGGACGCTATGGAGGAGGACGTGGCCCGTTTGGAGGAGGCGTACAGCCGCATCGCCTCGGCCCGTGGGGTAGAGCTTCGCGGCGAAGGGGCAGACCATGCAGCACGTTTGAGGACGGCGGTGCGCCGCTGGCGGCAGCTGAGGGGCAGGGTGGACGCAGCCGGCGCCGATCTGCAGCGGCAGTTCGTGGCCGCCCACGGGAGGGCGGTGGTGGCGCTGGCGGAGGTGGACGTGCGCCTCACCAGGGCGCTGCACCTCGCCCCCACGCCGCCGGACCAGGCTGCTGCCTTCGAGGAGCTGGACGTAAGTATACTATAGTTGAGTGCTTGGCGATCTTCGATTAGCTTTTGATTTCTGATGGAGGCGGGGAGTTTTGGATACTGCACCGGAGGGTTGGCTCAACAGGAATAGCGATGTGAAGTATGTATTTATCTTTTGACGTTTCTCCTTGTGTCTAAGCGGAAGAACGGCTAAATCCTCTTTAAAGTTGACATCCCAAACGTACCTAATTTTGGGAATCGCTTGCTTCTTCCATAAAAAGCTTACGAAACGCGGTGATGATGAACTGACATGATGTTTTTTTGGCTAAAATTAAATTAAATTCACTAAAAATTTATACCCTGCTACTCTGAGATGAGCGAATTCAACAGAATCGGACCCTCCCACAGGGCGTCGAGCGTGAATTGCGCGAGTGCGAAGCCCTAGTAGCGGAGGCCGACCGGCTGGAGGCGATGCTGGGCGGCGCCGGGGGCTCCGCCACCCTCGCCGCGGAGTACCGCGCGCTGCTGCAGGATGTGGCCGCGCGGCTGCAGCTGGCCAAGGCAGCCGTCGTCGGAGACGTCGATAGCGCAGTTCAGGTGACCACCCCTACCTCTTTTCAGTTATCTCACTTTATAAAGCTTCGACGGTTTAAAAATCAAAATTGATAACTTTAGACCCTCGAGCTCGCGAGTCCTGGTCGCGAATCCGCATCATTATTACGTTAGTCTGTGGGGGCAGGTCTATGTTTGACAGTGGACACAGGCTGAAATGATTCCTGATGATTGCCTTTAATAGACTCGAGACTTACACGGTGCGTTTATCAAAAGGCACACGTGATAATAGCAACGCTCCCAACAGGTGGACACCCTGAAGTGGGAGACGGACGCCTCCCTGCAAGTGGACACGCTGACCTCCAAGGAGACGTACCGCTCGGAGCTGGCGGCGGCGGTGGGCGAGACCTCGGACGCCCTGGAGGCCCTCGGGGCGGCGCTGCTGCCCGAGCTGGAGGACGACGCGGGCGGCGAAGAGCTGGCCGCCGCGGCCAAGGAGATCGCCAAGGCCGGCGCCAGGCCCGGCCAGACCCTCGAGCTGGCCAAGCACCTGTCGGAGCTGCTGCTCACCGAATGCGACGCGACGGAGGAGGAGGCGATGCTGCGCGAAGTGGAGGCCCTCACGCTCAGATACGAGGACCTGCTCGCCCAGGCGAAGAAGCGCGAGCTGCGCATCACCAACCTCAGGTGAGGTGACGGCTATGTCGCGGCGAGAATGTCGCGTCCGTTTGCTAGTACACGCGCAGATCACGGGAAACGTGCGATGTCTCTCGAACACACACAGGCACACGATTATGAACACATTTGTTGTAAACACGCACAAAAGCACACGATTTCGACGTGTTCAACATTTGTAACACACGCGGTTTATAGAAATGCTTTCGCTTCGAACTATCACTAACGTAATCGACGCACATTTCACAAAAGGTTTTTTCACAGCCACATGATTTTGAACTGGAGAAAGGTGAAATGGAAACGATTTAGATTGAACTTCATAACGATACACGTGTTTAGTTTCCATAACGAAAAAGGGTAGTTTTAAATTAAAACTCTCTTTTTCTAAAGCAAATTACGACTATTCCATCATTAAAATATTATAAAATTAAATACATTGTATAATTACAACAGGGCATCTCTTGATTCTTGTGATCTGCCATATGTCTGTCTGTAGCACTAGCAATTCGGTGGAGGGCTTTTTATGCAAGATTATTTCTATCTTTACGGGGATGTGAAATTATTTTTTATGTTATATAATGCATCAAGGGTGATATAGTATAAAGAATATTTTTGTAATATAGTAGACGAGTTTAGTTTATTATGTAAAAATATATATAAAAATAAAATAATTCTTCTATACATCCTAACCAAAGGTTTGCAACTTCTGTACAAATACTATCGATCACTGTACTATTAACAATAACAAATTTCTATTTTTTATATCTTATTTTGCATCTGTGGCACATATGGCACAATTCTTTTGGTCGAGTCGTCACGGGAAAGAAAACGACCCACGCCTGGTGAAGAGCAACGTACATCTAGGACCCCCCCCCCCCCACACACACACACAATTTTAGCGAAAGATGGAGTGTTTAACAGGCTTCTTAACATGGCATGCCCTTAAGAATTAAACACATGCGTTTTCTGGTCCCATAGGTTGCCACACTCCGCGTCATACGCTCTCACGTGCGAACAGTGAGTACAGCTTTTCTAATATTTTAATTCATCATTAGCCATTCCATTACGAAATTCTATTTCACTATAGTCTGTGCGTTGTTCGGGTGACAGGTTAAATATTTTTTTTTAGTTACCATTACTTACGGATTCTCAGTATTTAGTATCGATTAAAAGCTAAAAAAAATATTCGGAATAAATACGTTGAGAATGAACTTGATAGGCGTGATTACAATGACAGCTGTCACCTGCACGAAGTAACAACGCACAGATTATAGTTTGACGTTGATAGGTGCACAGAATAAACAGATGTAGGCCATCTGTCTAAACTTTTTTTTTCTATTACTAATGGCCAAAGAACATGCCAACCATAGTATATTTTTTCTTTAAACTTATGAGTATATTTTTTCTTAATTATTTTGAATCAAATGACAATTTTAACAGATGGCTTAGGATGTTTCAATATTGAATATAGACGTAGATGCAATGCATGGTATTTGTGATGTTGAAATGTAGTCTTTCTATGTTTAATCACTTACATATTTCTTGTTTGCACATAGTTGTTGAAGGTGTTATACTTTTATGCTTATAGTGTATGTTGTAGTTTTTATCGGCTTATTTATTTTTTATATTTAATAGAAGTAGAATAGAAACGACAAATTATTGCAATATATGTATAATTATTTGAAATTATAATTAATATTATTAAAAAAATATATTCTTAGTTTAAAGTTTTTTTCTCCTATTAATACTTCTTATTTAATGAATAAAAAAAGTCGTACATTTTCTGGAATCATATACAAGGAAATATCTAATGACATCTTAATCAAAGCGGCGTGACTTTGATTTCATTATCATTTCTCGATTTCTAGAATGTACCTACCTACCTAGGAATGCTTTGTATCTTACATGACTGTGTTTCGTGGTCTATTTTGGTACGACGTCGTCGTTTCAACCAGAGAAACCTTGTCGTCTTTCGTTTTGAAATATCGCATACAATCGACGCCAACGCACGCCCGCTTATCTGCTCGACCATTCTAACTTGAACCGCGCTTCCGCAGCGAGTCCGGCCGCCTCTCGTGCCCGCTTTGCTCGGACCGCAACTGGAAGCAGCTGGACAACGACCTCTGGCGGCTGGAGCAGTGGCTGCAGTTCGCCGAAGCGACAGATGAGGCCAGGACCGAACCGCCGGAGCAGTATGACGCTCTAGAAGACGCAATACAAGTGAGTAGAGACAAAGAGAGAGAGAGACGCAAGATCGAGTACGTGCCGAATCGTTAGTCTCATCTTACGGTTGGATATGATGAACGTAAAAACTCGAGGTCGAGGCTCTTTCTAAGCCGACGTACGAGATGTGCACTTGAGATTGCTCGTAAGTAAAGTAACAGTCTATATTATGTTCCACAATAATACCTCGAATTAAAAGTGAGCTCCCCGACGCTGATGTTTTTAGTTCTTTTCAGTCAGAGAGACAGAGTTTCTCTGTCTTTAGTTTGATTGTGGTAAAAGCCAGGCAAATGACTGACTTTATCATTGATCGTCCAGACCTGGTGGTGGTCGAAGTCGTGGGTGATCGAGCGGTGTTTCTCGTATGAGCCATTTTTTTCCGTCAGGAGTCAATATCCGCCATAGCATATCTTGTTTACACACTAGTGACAGTATTACCTATACATTGTTTTCTTAGTTGGATAAAACTAACGATGTTAAAGATGATAATCTCACAGTCTACTCAAAGGCCACTTTGTATATCACCCAAGTGACCCCTATGCTATCATCGATCACTTTGATAGTACATACCCCGGTTGGGATCTTAAAATCTTATGTTAAACAAAAACTTTCCCGCTGAGTTTTTAGTAGTGTTTTTTTTTGACATTCAATAAGTACGCGTAGCGCTTCTATGTGGAATAAAGACATTCGACTTGAATTCGCACGTGCGCCGTCGCCGTCCAGGACCACCGCGAGTTCCTGCTGGACCTGGACTCGCACAAGGCGCTGGTGGTGTCGCTGAACGTGGTGGGCGCGCACGTGGCGCGGCACGCGCGCTCCGCCGCGGCGGGCGAGAGGGCGCGCGCGCGCCTGGCCGCCGCCAACGCGCGCTGGGACCGCGCCTGCGCACGCGCCGGCCACTGGCAGGCGCGGCTGCAGCACGCGCTGCTGCACAACCGCCAGTTCCACGACATCGGTGCGTCTAGCTTGGATTTTAACGAGGTTTTAACGTGACATCATCGACGGCTTAACTTACCTAGTAAAGCCTCTCGACTACGTATTCTGGGTAGAACCCAGAATTCGCAATTCCCCGACAGAAATGAACATGACACATTTAAGTAGCAGTGTTCTTCTAAACAATACGGAACTGACCGGTGATATTTAAAAAAAAATGTTTCACTAAGATAAGAAAAGTGTCCTTTCTTGTTACGACCATATTAAGCCATGTTAAAATCTCATAGCAAACAACCAAGTGATAATAGTTCCAGCCGCGCGTCACTTCGCATGTTCCGTCCACGCTCACGAATCCTCCTCGTGTTAGGCCAGTCATATAGGCCAGGTTTGCGACCGAAACTGGCTGAACGTGGCCCTTATCCGCCCGCAGTGGTGGAGCTGGTGGCGCAGCTGTCGGACGCGGAGCGGTGCGTGCGCGCGCGCGAGCCGCTGCGGCTGCGGCGGCCGGCGGACGAGCTGCGCCGCGACTTCCGCCGCTTCAGCGAGCTGCGCGACGAGCTCGCCGCCGCGGAGCCGCGCGTGCAGGCGCTGCGCGACGCCGCCGCGCTGCTGCAGGGGCTCGACTCGCAGCACGTGTGCCGCAGGTGGGCCCCGGGGGACCGGATGCGCTAGTATCCGCGGCGAAGGACCGACTGCATCCGAAAGCTCGATAGGACATCGGACGATTCACAAGCTTTTAAACATATTTAGCTATTATACAGATTCCAAAAACTCAGTTCTCAGCGTAGAGCATAAACAAAAATTTTCCTGCATGTCACTAATACACAAAAACGCGGTAAATCTGTAAAATTACCATCATTTAGCAGTGTGCAATCGCGCAAATACAAGAAATAATACAATTAAACAATATTTAAATATAAATAGGCCCAATAAAGGTACCTTTAATAGTTTACAGACCGAAAGCGAAAACATTAAAATTAAAGCAAGTGATATATGACGCAGGCTGGGTGAGCTCCGCCTGCGGCTGCAGTCGCTGCGCAAGTTGTCCGCTGTGTACGCGCTGAAACTGGGCGCGTCGCTCGCGCAGCACCCGGCCGGCGCGTCCGCCGTGGCCGCCGCCGCCGCCTGCGTCGCCCCGCAGGTACATTCCCACTCGCACCCGTTCACCCAACTCACCCCACTCACCCCACTCACCCCACTCACCCCCACCCGTCACTCACGCGTTACCGCACACCCACTATCGCCTCACCGCAGTAAATCGACTAAGAAGCAGAATTGATTTATCGTGTGCTGCGGCTGACGACATTTGCACTTCGGAAAGTCAGTAAGATTAGAAGGTTCAAAATAAATGAATGAACGAATGAATGAATGAAAGCGGCAAACAAAAGGAGAAATTTCGTACATGCTACTTTATCTTTCTGTGTGCGCTACACTGACAATAATTATTTAAGAAAAAAAAATTGCTCTCGCACCAATAGTAGAATCAATTTGTTACCATAAAACAACATCTGGTAAAAAGGCCAATACAATCTTTGTCAGACACTGGCTCAGATAAATACTCTCGGGCGAACTGCTAAATTTTGGTCTTTTACTATTAGAATAGCACACGCGCCAACATACACACACCCATACACATTACACATATCACATACAAAATTTACATGAAAGTAAGGATTCATCCTCAATTACGGTTTCGACCTTGTACTGAACTCTCGATTTCCGACTTCTACCATCGACACAAGTACAAGCATCGTAAAGTTGAGATAAGTAGTGAATTGAATTTCGTTGAGACAAGGGTTGTTCCGCTAAACTGACATAGCTTCACACCGCTTAACGACATTCGCGCAGATTTCAAAGCAAGCTTCCTTATATTTGGCCACAGTAATTCTCACATCGACAATTTAGACGTAAGAAGCTCATTCAAGATAAATCAGAAAGTGTTTCAATATGAAATGATAGTTTACGATTTTCAATTGAAAATTTTTCGAATTTACATTTAGACAGCTAATTAGTTACCGTGATTTCTTTTCAACGCTTTGCGAACACAATATTGAACTGTGTATTGTCACAATAATTATCATTGAGTTCGGGATTTTATTTTGGATGGTATTTTTAAAAGCAAGCTTTGCAACCTTATAAACGTTAACATTTGGTTTTATTTGGACGTTTAAGTCAACCTAAACCATTCCATCTGTACCTACTTAAAGTTCTCATATAGTATAGATAAAATAATTTGGCATCATATTCTAGGTGATTTAAAACTGGGTGTTAATATTTTTGACATATATATATTTTTATTTAGTAGCGTTTTTGACTTCAAATGCATTAGAATAGGATTGATTTTACCGTTAGCCATTTAAAGTACAAAAACTTAACAAGATTATGTTCGCAAAGCCGTTGGTAACCCTGGTAATGTCACCGGTAGCCGCTTCGCACAGTATTTTGACGTATTTTTGTCCTCCCCCTAGCTTTTGGACGAGGAGGAGGAACAGATATCATCCCTCAACCTGCCGCCCCTGGATGCATCAGAGTGAGTATTTGATTTTGGAAATGACATCTTTCGTGTCCTGTTCTATATGATCACTTCCAGTTTCCTAGTGATGGTTCTAACACTTGAATTTTTGTCTAAACCTCACCAACAAAATCGTTACTCTCGCGTTTCCCTGCGTTATCTGTTTCCATTTTCAGTTTTTTGTATTTAATTTGGAAGTTTAAATCTATTGGCAATATTTATCTAACACGAGCCATATCTATCTATGAATGTCTGTGTACCCAGTAATACATATATTACTGTTTATGATTCGTTTATTCATGTCCATTAAACAAATACCGTTTGTATATAATTTTTTTGCTCTAACCTTCATTTTGTTTTTATTTTCACCTCATATCACGGATTTGTAATTGACTAGATCTCACTGCAAATAATCGCTAGTGCAAGAGTACTCTGTGCTTTCTGTGTTGTCTTTTGTCACTGCTGATCATGTTATCGCTGTACGGAGGTCTAACTATAATTGTTTAAAGTTAGTTCTAAAAAAATACATCAGATATGATCTTACGTCAACATATTCATTATCCTTCTTTATTAGGTTTCTGTAATTTATACTAAAATATATAGATGGAAAAGATAAAAAAATCGCCTTTGTATAAAGAAAATCAAATCCGTCGCGCATTTTCTAGCTCAACCTTTTGGAAATTACACGGTATCCGGACATTTGTGATAGAATTTATGACCGATAAACTTTTGTTAGCTCTGTGCGCGTTAATCTTATAGAGGCTCACATGTCCTCAGCTAGCAAAAAGTTTTGAGGCAACAATAATTTGATTATTTCTTGTCTGTTTATGCGAATACTATACCCTTAAAAAAAGAAAGGCGAAAAACTGTGATGCACCTTTGCCTACTTCATCACCGATAGTTGCGAAACAAAGTAGTAGAGCGCCAAGCACTTGTCGATTATACGAAATGAAAAACGAGCCGTCCGCTCGACAGGGCGGCGAGCGATGAGGGCGAGGAGGGCGAGGAGCGCGCCGTGGGGCGCGTGCGGCGCGGCGTGCGCTTCGTGTGCCGCGTGGCGCGCGCCTCGCTGCCCTTCCAGGCGCTGCTGCTGCTGCTGCTCGGCGCCGCCGCGCTGGCGCCGCACGCGCACTCCGACTGCCGCGCGCCGCACCACGGCCTCGAGCCCGTGCTGCGCTACCCCGACGGGCCCCCGCCCATGTGAGCCCGCATCCCCACTCCCCATCCCCATCCCCGTCCCCATCCCCTCCCTCGATAGTTGCCGTTCGGTCCGCACAGCTCACCCGCCGACTTCCACCGCGGCGGTGAGCCGATGGACCGGTACGAATCAACCGTCCAAGCGATAATTCGCCTCTCTCGCAATTGACAATCGGATTTGACACCAACAAGACATATAAACTACCACGGACTGCGATAGCGACAATCAGGTTGCCATTCGGTTTGCACAATTCACCCGCCGACTTTCACCGCCGCGGGCGGTGACGTGACGCCACGCGATGGACCGTTCCGACCGAACGAATCAACCGTTTCGGGCAATCGGCATACATCGGATACGACACCAACGAGACATTAAGACTACCACGGACTCCACGTTCTGAAGCATTCCTCGACGCGGCGAGAGACGGCCGCCTCCGTTGCCGAGTCCGGCCCTCTAGGACTCGATGAATACGGACGCGCGCGCACATCGACCCCGCCCCATGTAACCCATCGCTATTGTATCCAGCGCGGGTTCGACGATACGCGGGCGTCCGACGCATTTGCAACGGAGGCGGCCGAACTCGGCTCGGCTAGAATGCGAGCGGCCTCGGGCCGAACAGCGCCCTCTGGGCCGCGTTGGCGGAACGCGCCCGCTGCAGGGCGCTTAGACATTCCATTGAGACGGCGCTGGGCCGGACGCGGCCGCCCGTCGCGCTCGCGATGTAAATAACAAGGATTTTGTATATTTGCTACGACTATGTGATAGGGGAATGGGAAAAGGCAGGCTCGCGACGGGCGGCCCCTCCACGACCGGGGACGAGCGCCGAAAACGATCGAAACTAATTATATTTTAAGGGATAAACATATAAAGCATATATTTATTATTTATGATATAAACATTGTATTTAAAGATGGCGCCGCACAAATCATAACGACGGCTTTTCTATTCCGCATTCACGCATTGTTACTTAACTATTAGTTTGTAAGGACTCGTTTACAATAAAGTCGAAAATAAAGCCTTGCATTGATTAAGAATGTTGTTTTATTGGAACCTTATTAACATTGTAACAGCCTACATATTGTATTTACAAATATACTTTTTATATAACAATCTACATAATATAACATACATTGTCCATAAACAAGATGATGATGTACCTGCAAAGAGTGATTAAAATGTTATTAATATTCTTAGATTATTTCAAAATAGTCAGCGTGTATGCTTCACATAGAGTGAAATTAATTTTTTGATACTTAAATAAAAGCAATAATTGAACCTTGTGGTAATCTAATATAATATATATATTTAATCTAATATCGAAATCAGCAAATAAGTTTGTCATGACGCAAAAATATTTATCCTTACTAATATTATAAACATTGAAGTTTGTATGTATGGATGGATGTTTGTTACTCTTTCATGCAAAAACTACTGAATAGATTTTAATAGAAATACAATAATAAAGATTATACATCAGAATAAAACATAGGCTATAATTTATATTGTGTGAACTGTCCAAAATATAGGTGACGATAAGTGTCAACTAAATAGGAAAAAATTCAGCGGCCGCGCCAGCGAAGCCGCGGTTAGCAGCTAGTTATTTATATGGTAGAGTTTCCACTGCACGACTGGGTTACTACACCACAGCCTGTAAGAAGACCGAAGTGAAACGACCTCATATTTGAAAGCTGGTGCTGGTGGTCCCATATTGATTTCATTGCTATTGGATTTTGGGCTCCGGAGATACTAGGGAACTTCTAAAAATCAATTATAAAATGAATACGGAGCGAGATATTTGAAGTCGAGAGAGTTTAGAGTTGTTGTCTATGGACTGCGGTCCTTAGAGTTGTTGTCTATGGACTGCGGTCCTTAGAGTTGTTGTCTATGGACTGCGGTCCTTAGAGTTGTTGTCTATGGACTGCGGTCCTTAGAGTTGTTGTCTATGGACTGCGGTCCTTAGAGTTGTTGTCTATGGACTGCGGTCCTTAGAGTTGTTGTCTATGGACTGCGGTCCTTAGAGTTGTTGTCTATGGACTGCGGTCCTTAGAGTTGTTGTCTATGGACTGCGGTCCTTAGAGTTGTTGTCTATGGACTGCGGTCCTTAGAGTTGTTGTCTATGGACTGCGGTCCTTAGAGTTGTTGTCTATGGACTGCGGTCCTTAGAGTTGTTGTCTATGGACTGCGGTCCTTAGAGTTGTTGTCTATGGACTGCGGTCCTTAGAGTTGTTGTCTATGGACTGCGGTCCTTAGAGTTGTTGTCTATGGACTGCGGTCCTTAGAGTTGTTGTCTATGGACTGCGGTCCACGCCGTCAGTTCAATCGTATACTCAGTGGTATTAAAGAAGAGCACTACAAACTACGTTCCCTCGGTTGACAAATATTTTATATAGTTAGCATAATATCCGCCTTTCTTCCTAATTCAATGGCGCGGTGTATATGTATGCATGTTTACAAACTGATTGAAACAATATGGTCAGGAATAATGAAGTCAAAATCACTGATGTACTAGGTATTACACATCTAAGTTTGACAATTACTCACTGCTAGGATAAGTATATGTAACTTCGCGGTACCCGCCGATGGGTCAGTTCTGCGCGTGCGCTCACTACCTGAGATGGGTTGTAGATCTGGAAAAGAACGTATATTTTTCTGGTTAAATTGTGATAGTCGACAATAAATCCGTGTCATGTAAACAACGAAACATATCGGGAAATACTACATATCATTAAGGCGGGATATGCGGTAGTTATGTAATTGATTTTGTTTTATGTAAGTCTTACAGCCGGTTTCTGAAACACTGATCAACGTAGATGTCAACTAATCAGCTGTCAAATGAATTTCAAATGTCATTTGAGTTATTTGAGCGAACCGAGAACAGATCCTGGTGCCAATAACAATGATTGTTGAACAATGAAATTTTAAGTGTTGAATTATCACGTGTTCAGCGATAACTATGGTAGGGCCACGCAGCAGCCTCGGCTGTTGCACGAATAGGCAGGCTCGTCCGGGTAAGTAGTCCACTACCTCACAGAAGACCGGCGTAAAGTGGAAGTATACGTAAGTATGCATCCACGTATACTACATACGTATACTTTCGCATTTCGTCTTGTGAGTGAAGTAGCCGGAGCTTAATTTTCAAAAGGTTGTCAACGCATCTGCAACCCTTGGGTGTAGCAGATGTCCATGCAGTATTCACTTAACATGAGGTGAACCGCCTGCTCGCTTGGCAATTTTTCACATAAAACAAACATAAACAGCGGTGATGGAAAACATCGAAAGAAAACTGCATGTTTTCGAATAAATATAAAAAAATATCTCGAAAATCTATGAGGTCTGCCAATTCACAGTGAGGTCGCATGGTGACCTATGGCCAAATACCCTCTGTACAGAAGAGGCCTTTGCCCAGCAGTTTGACATGTATAGGCTCATACTTTACTTACTAAGTATCAGTTAATGGCCTTGTAAATATATCATAAAGATAAATAGGATTTTTTCAAACCCACCGCGTTTCCTATTCAAGCTAAAACTGAACTTTTGTATAATGTAGTAACCCTTATAAATCATTAAAAATCGCAAGAATAACAATATTATTCTTAAAAGATCATTCAAAATAAGGGAACCGCGTATGAGACTCAATACTTCTTTTGCTCTAACGTAACACTAAGCTAGACGTCAGGAGTTAACAACAGTTAGTTAAGGTCTATCTTGTATTTTTGCGGCATTATTTATGTGTAAAAAGTGTAAATCATACTATTCTTCTTCTCTCTTCCGGTGATAGCGAGCCTAACAGCCAGCCCCTGCCGCAGCCGTCGAAATCGCCGCTAAGCACCGCTTCGATGGCGCTGGTGCGCAGCAATTGAGTCAGTATCACAATGACAAACTGAAAATAACTTTAAATTTCAGTGTACGAAAATCGTTTAACATTTTAAAGAAGCAAGTCAAAATTTATAAGATAAGACTCATTCTTTTGGATAGTTCGTACAAACAACAAACAAATAGTTAAATGATTTTATACTTAAATAACCTTGTCATCGTTTGTAATTTAAAAAAAGATAAGATAATACGCAGTGTTGCCGTTTCTTCTCTGGATAGGTCTAGTTTAGTGAACCGGTGGTTGTTTTTTGACGATCAATAAGAGCTTAAAATAAGCCTAAGTACATTGAATAAAGAAGGTGACTTGACAATTGACATTGACATGAAAAAAAAAGAAGAAGTGATAATTTCGCGTTTGACTTTCGTTCAAATTCCCGACGAGTCGACGGCACAACTATGTCGGGACAACAACAAAGGATACCTGCAGCAATAAGACCAGCACGATGAAGAGCTGCAGGCCGAGCAACGCCCTCGCCAGGGGCGCGCGGATCGCCTCCACGCAGCCCCTTGTGTGAAGCGACGCGCTCGGCAACGGCGAGCCCGCCGACCAGGCGCCTCGCCACTCCACCTGCCCCATCAAAAGTTGCCAATCCATAAGTTCCACCACTTCTGCGGTCAGCGCCAAAGCAAAGCACCCACAGAAAACCTATAACATTAAATGAAATGTTCATGATCATCATCAAGTCTGTCCCGTGACCATGAACTCTGTAAAGGCTCTCGGTTGAAACTAAAGATAAACGCGATAAATCTGTAAATACAGTTTCATTTAGTAATGTGTAATCACGTAATACGTAATACGCGAGTAAGTACAAGAAATTATTATGTAAACCTCATAACAGTTCTTTTTTTAAACATTTCCCTTACTGTAGGATAACATTATCCTGTGCAGTAAGGACGTTTTACATACTTAATAAATAATTATCCCGTGTGGGAATTGCCAAGGCCCCGGGGCCGATGCCATTATCTTAGCAACTGCGGCACTGCAGCATTGTGATTGTGTTGATTTATTTTAGTATTGAACATATTTTTATTTCAACCGATTGCATGTTAATTGTAAATATATGTATGTGTACAAAAGACGACTTGAAAATGCCACATTTGAATCTGGCAGCAAATCTTATTCTTAGACGAATACAATTGGACTTTATATATGGCAAGACTATGATAGTCGAGAATCGAGACAAATTCATTGGCCGTAGAAAAAAAATTCACGTTATTAATGTATTAAGCTTTTATAACGAAGTGCGGTTGTACACACCAATCATTCCAAGTTATACGACCGGTTTCAATATTCTATCTATGTGTAAATTTGTTTTACTAGCGATTGGTATTTGACATTAGCTCCATAATACGTCTCCACTAACCAAATCTACAGCTAGGTAGAATATTGAAACCGGCCATTAGTCTGTCTATTGTTTGCTACTTATATACTGAAAATTTGAGCCAAATATTAATGAAGTTAAAAAATCACCTGTTGTAAAGGGTCGTGATAGCACGCTGCTAAGACTCGAGGCGTGCAGCACGAATATGGCGACACCGGTGGCAACACTTTGCCATCAGTGCCGGCTAACCTGAAAGACATGTACCCATTTCTCCTAAATCTTATCGTGTAGGTAAATTAACTTATAGCCAGATTATTTCTATTCAATTTGGACTTATTTCAAGCATAAAAAGAGACGACCTAATATGACCTATCTTTTTCGACTTGATTCGGGCAGAAAGCTACATAACATATACTTCGGTCTCTTTCACTCCCTACCGCGCTTGTTCTTAAGCGCGCTAATATTTATTTTACGTTTCCCAAAAATTGACATGTTTTAATAGGACACTGTAATTCTAAAGGTGCATACTACATTTTAAAATAAAACACAAGCAAGAGTCTAGTTATTTACCGATAAATTACTGTACAATTCATTGAAATGGGGAATTATATATATTAACCGAGTCAAAATAGCCTATATCACATTTCGGTCTCAAAAACAACAATCTTGTTAGAAGAAGAAAAGCCCTTTAGTAGGTCAGCTTAGTAAGTGAGTCTCTGATACTTGTATCGGCCTAAGAATATAGGCTCTTTTTTTCTATGTTGTTTCATAGAACGTTACTTGGAATGAGGCTCACTTCATAACAACGACCGACCCTTCGTTGAGGTAGTCCATGTTGATCCAGGGTATGTCGTGCCAATCGTTCGGCCGCTCCACACCACAACAGCTTAGCTCTATCTGGCGTCAAACAATTTTTTTAAAGGCAAGGTAGGAGGTAAAATGTTCATGTGCGAAATTTTTTATGCAACAAGAAACGGAAGTCAGTTTTTTATGTGAGAAGGTGGCAGGCAAGCTGATGGTTGACACCGCCTATGGACATTTGCAACACCCGCAGAGTTGCAGACGCGTTGCCTCTTTTAATAAAGTGGGCTCCGGCTACCCAATTCATCTGACGAAACGCAGAAGTATTGTTATCGCCAGTCTCCTGTAAGGTCGCGGTACTTACCCGGAGGGGCCTGCCCATTCGTGCAACAGCCGAGGCTTTTGCGTGGCCTTACCACGGTTAAACCAGTACCTACCAGTTATGCCAAAAGTCCCAAAAGTTATAGGCGAAAGGCAAAATAAAACTTATAAGCCAATGGTACCCTAGTTGAGCCAATCCATTGTTGCAACAGCAGAAGACGTAGCCTTACTGCAGTGAGGATCAGAAAAAACTGTTTAACGTGACTTTCTAAAAAATCCTTACTTTAATTAATTTTAATATTATAAAGGCGAAAGTTTGTATGTATGGATGTTTTTTACTCTTTCAAATACTACTGAATGGATTTTAATGAAACTTTACAATAATATAACTTGTACATTAGAATAAAACATAGGCTATATATTATATACATATTTTTATGTATATCTGTCTTTCTGTCTGAATGTTGAATGGGCAGCAGCTAGTTACTTATATGCTTAATTGTGGGTCACCTGCATGGTATCCATCAGATATTTCCACTTGGTTTCGGTGAGATATTGCGCAATCCCAATTCGCAGTGACGCGGAGAGTTCCTTCATGAGAGCCTGTAAGTGTAAACTTATACTTATATTACAATATATGAAATGGCCTTCAAATTTATAGTTTTTGATGATTTGTGATTCCCTGTATTCCTTGCTTGATGATTAGGGAGTGCAATAAATTATAATAGATCCTTCACGTATTCAGATTAGTGAGGAGTATAAATAAATAATAAATAAATGTTTTAGGACGCATTTTTGTACACAACGTTCACTAGTCCCAAACTAAGCAACGCTTGTACTATAGGTACTAAAAAACTGATAGACATACTTGAACATACTTTTCTTTTGTAAATAAATACACATTATACATATATAAACACCCAGACACTAGAAAAACACTATTCTCATCACACAATATTTTCCCAGTAGTGGGGATCGAACCCACACCCTCTGGCGCAGAAGGCAGGTACACTACCGACTACGCCATTTGGGTCGTCGTATGTTAGTGTACAATTAAAATCCTTTATGAGAAGTTGTCAAACGACCAGCGTTAGCGCCGCCTATGACAACCAAACACCAGAAGAGTGAGGAAATACATCAGCCATGATCAAAATCAAGATAATTGATGCATCGATGTAAGAAATATACATTAAAACATGTAGAAAAAGTAAGAAAAGATTGTCGCCGCTGTCACAGCGACGAAAATCTTAACGCTGTGGCTATCAGCCGTTTAGCTCAGTGGCTAGAGCGTCAGGCCGCGAATGCCGAAGACGTGGGTTCTATTCCCACAGCGGCGACAATCTTTTCGTACTTTTTCTACATGTTTTAATGTTCAATCTTAAGTGCAGAGATTAGCACTATAAAAAATTTATGAGAAATATACATTTCTCCTATCGATAGTAATTTTTTTTAAATCTACCACCGTTTCCTAGTGAGGTTCCTCTAACGGAGAGGAAACAGGCAAAAGAAACTCGGTAGGTACCCTCTTTTAAACTATATTTACGGATTTATCGCTTTTATTTTTAAATGTTATTTCGCGACGATTCGAACCCATTACAGCATTCATGGCCACGGGACAGACTCTGTCATAAATAAAGTTTAATTTAAAAGATTATTACCTAAAAGGCTTGTCTAAAATGTTCTTGTAGACGTGCCTTTATGACCTGATATAAATTAATAATGTGTAATCACGTAAATACAATATATTTTTTTGTGAAAACTTTACGCGTGAGTACGCGGTTCACCTGATGTTAAGCACCGCCGCCCACGGACATCTACAGTACCTAAGTTGTCGGAGATATATTGCTAACCATTATAAGAATAACCAGATCATCTGGCCCCGGTTACTTAAGAGGAGTAACGCAAATATGATGCTTCCACTTTAAGCCGGTCTTTTGACAAGCCGCGATACTTCCACGGATGAGCCTGCTCATTCCTGCAACAGCAGAAGTTGCTCCGTGGCCCCACCACAGTACTGTGGTAGGGCTGCGTAGCAGCCACTTTTATCAAACGACAATAAACTAATCCAGCACGCTCATGCTTTGGTAAAAATATGATCAAGAATACCTTCAAAGTGCCTCTGCAGGCAGCGTATACCAGTAGGCCGTTTAGGGCTACAAGTGTTCCACTTATAAGCCAGGTCTTAGCCGCCTCAGTGGCCCGTGGCCAGTGTGGACATTTCAGAAGCCAAGATATAAGGCGGAGGCCGCTCGTATACTGCAGCTTCATACAGTACGCTTGCAACACGATTACACCGTAGAATAAGTACACAGTTATCTGTGTGGTGAAGGAAAATATCCAATTCAAAATACAACTAGTAAATGTCTGTATGTATGTATTTTCGAAATAATAATAAAATAAATATTTCGAAGATATATGAAGGGCGCCAACCCACAGTGGGGTCGCGTCTATGCCTCTAATAACCTTTTTACAGAGGAGGCCTTTGCCCAGCAGTGGGACATTAGTAAGCTGTTATTTTACTTTACTTTTTACTAATCAATACGACGACATTTTTATAGCCTAGAACTTGTCGTATGACGTTCTTGTTTTCAGCGATTAATGCTCTATCGGTGATACGATCTGAGAAAGCTTTATATTCAATAACGAAGGAACGACTTTTAGTTGTTATACAAAAAATGACGTCCAATTTACCTGGTGGGGATGAGGTCGGTTAAAAAAAACAAGAAGTCGAAGAGAAAATTTACGAAGTCCAAGAAGAGACAAGGCTCACCGACAACTCGAACGTACCTTATGCACCTGCTTCAAAAGCGTCATCACCCGGAACGAGGCGTTGTAGCAGAACAGCACCACCAGCAGCGAGATGGCCAGCTGAGCGATCAGAAGCGCACGCAGCACGGCCGCGATCCGCAAACGCCCCTCCCGATTGAACGTGAACTCGCCCCAAGCCATTCCACCCCCGCACCGCCCATGCTAGCTGCCTCTGCTACGCCCAGCAAAGGCATTTGAATTCTATTTTCATTACATTTAAAAAAAAAATAGCAACTCTTATGTTGGTTAGAAACTAAAACATTCACAGAGAAGTAATTTATGGCCGGTTTCTATATAATAATAATAATAATAATAATAATAAAAATATCTTTATTCACATAGACGCTTGCGCGTTCTTATGAAACGTCAAAATTTTACAAGAAATTAACACGTTCGTAAGGTACCACCGGTTCGGAAAGCAGTTTCTGTTGAGAAGAAACCGGCAAGAAACTCAACAGTTGCTCTTTTTAAAAAAATCAGTTTACAATATAATAGTACATGTACAATAGTCTTGTTTTAGCCTACGTGAGTATCAACAGTATTAACCCCACACATTGGCGTCATCAGATATTCGGCAATAGTATAATAGGCTTTAGCCATAAGTGTACTTTTAATTTTTCGTTTAAATTCATCAAGTGGCAGACTTAACATCGACTGTGGGATTTTATTATACATGCGCACACTTTGCCCCATGAACGATCTGTTTACTTTTTGTAGGCGAAATAATGGCGTAGTTAGTTTGTCCTTATTTCTAGTATTTAGTTTATGTCTGTCACTATTCTTTTGATAATTATTAATATTCTGTTTAACATACAAAATATTACAATAAATATATTGAGACGCAACAGTGAGTATATTAATCTCTTTAAAAAGATGTCTGAGTGTATTCCGGGCTCCGATGTTATAAATTGCTCGGACAGCTCTTTTTTGAATAATAAATATTGAATTTATATCAGATGCACTACCCCACAACAAAATGCCGTACGACAAGATGCTGTGAAAATAACTGTAGTAAACAAGTCTGGCAGTGTCGATGTCTGATAGCTGCCTAACCTTCCTAATTGCAAAAACAGCATTATATTCAGTCAGCAATATATTCAGTCTAAATATAGATTTGGTTACTAGCGATATAGATAATACTATAGAGAACTTTATTGTCTATAGACTTAAAATTTAATAAAAGAATTAAAATTTATTAATAGTACAACATAAAATTTAAAGGGCTACAATACTAGCGTGAGTAGCAATCCATGCCTCTACGCTTAACTAACACCCTCAGCTTTGTAGGTAGTAATAGATTTCATCGCATCAGTCTATTGGTAAAAACAAGTGAAAAATACCTGGTTAATATATTCATCATCGTCATCATCAGGTGCCGTTTTTGTATCGAAGTTTGTACATCGGTAGGCAAAAACTTTTGCTACCGTATATAGACGCACCAACTTGTTTTTGTGTCGGTGATAGTCTTGCAACTTATGAATGATCTATTCGACGGTCGTATTTTCAGGGCGTATATACGCTTTGTTGTGTAAAAGAAAGGTGGAAAAGGACCAAGCAATCCACTTTTTATGCGATAAATTGGCACGTGCGTAGACAAAGTGCTTAACGCTGCCCATTAAACGGCCCATGTGTTCCCAACGATCAAATAATTGGATTCCGGCTACCTCGCTTACCAGACGATAATACTAAATACAAGTGTTTTCAAATATTTCCCACTCCTTTAATAAATACAAATGTAATACTTTCTCTTAACGCCTTCTCTATGGCAGTGGTACTGCCCCGGATGGGTCTGTACCACTCTATTCTGCAACAGCAGAAGCTGTTGTTTGGCCCTACCACAAATACTTGATGGTAACTCTGTTTGCCACAAAACGGGTTGCAAGTTGCCACAAAATAGGTACAGCCTCTTATTCACACTAGAGAAAACGCTAGGTTCAATGCTTTTGTTTCACGTCAGTGTTCCATAAAGCCGCGGCACTTCTGCGGAGAGTAGGTCCAATCACTCAGAATTTGACAAACCTAATAAAACTAAACTGCACTAAAATTGAAATAAAACGTGATTCACCTGTTACAAAAATCGACCAATTTCATAGCAATGACGCATGTGGCGGAGTGTAATGACAAATAAAATTCTCGATCCAATGACATGTTACCATATTTACTTTTATGTCTCAATCTCACCAAAAAGGTATATTGTGACGAACCACAATACTTTCAAGATAAAGTGAAATGAAGCTACATTATGGTCAATAATATAAATTAATCTCCGGAGGAAGCGTCTAAATTCGATTTAAGCAAATTCTGTTTCTTGTTCCATATTTATTTAATGTCTTATCCAATAATATTATATACTACATACACTACATAAAAGGTATATATGACACTAGCGCACCGAAATTGAGGCATTCAAATTACAGCAAACGGTGTAATTGGATTGTAATTATATAGACTGCTATACCTACATAGCAGAGCGAGTCAGCAGGCTGAAGTGGCAGTGGGCAGGGCACACTCAGAGAACCGATGGCCGTTGGGGCAGAAAGGTTCTGGAGTGGAGACCACGTGACGGCAAGCGCAGGGACACGGTGGATGTTAGCCGCTACCGACCGGTCGAAGTGGAAGTCAATGGGGGAGGCCTATGTTCAGCAGTGGACGTCCTACGGCTGATATGATGATGATGAGACTGCTATATTTTTCCGTAACATACGTTCTATATCATCTGTCACATTCACTTATTTCATACAATGTAAAGCGGAACAATTTTAAAACGCCATACAGTATGGACATGCGTCATCTTTATTGAAACATCATTGGTCTTATCTGTATTATATATATAGAAATATTATATTCAAACATCATTGTCTGAAACCAGATCTTCATTTCTTTACAAAACTCAATATCATTGTTCTTTCAACAATTGCCGCTTAGCAACCAAAAATCGAGCAAACAGAAATTCTCAATACATCGCATCAAAGACCAACTGAACAAACCCCAATTCTATTCTCATATTATTTGATAGACATTCGCAATTATAAAATAAGTTCTCACATTATATAAACAGGTTACTTATGAAGAGTAAATTAAAAGTATTAACGTTACTGTCATGATGACATTAAAGCAATAAGTTTTACCGTTTTTTTTCGTAAGAATTGAATTGGTATTATTTACTGTTATAATAAACAGTTAGCATGGAAAAAGAAGCTCCCAAGAGGGTTAAGGTTGCTTGGAGTGATGACCTCAGCCACGACTCCGAAGAAGAGAGAGGTATGTAAAAAAAGTAAAAAATAGATTTCTTTTTTGCGAAATGCGACAGTCCAAAGTATATTATTATAATACATGATTTATTGCCGTAAAAAGATCGACAATAGCCAGTAACTCCGATATTAGACTTGTAGATAATATTCGGTCACTGCCAGTTCGGACTATGGAAAAGATTTCTTTTATATGAAAGGCCTCTTTCTGTCTATCTTCTATTACTTGACTTCGACTCTATCGATTAAGACAAGTGAGGAAATTAAAATCAACGTCTCTAAGTCTTGAATGGTACATGTGTCTAATGGGATCATTTCCAATCCAAAAAGACACTTAAGGACTGATTAGAAAACTATTTATTTTAACTTAAGCATGTTTGAATTTATTTTTGATGGAACAATCATTATGAAATTTATGTAAAATACAAGAGATATCAGATAGCTAGACATGTTACTTCTTTAAGCAATTTTTACGGAATAAAAAAGAAATCTGACAAGTCAGTCTGAACAAATAAAACTAACATTCCAAATTTAAACTAATTCAAACATAATACATAAAACAAACATATCAGAGTTGACATGAAAAGAGTATGTATAATCTGAGATTACCAATCAACACTAAGGGTTAAAAATTATAGGAGCTGATCTTTCGCAATTCGAAATTCATAAATCTAGCTAATGCAACAAAAATCTAGCGCAAAACAATTGGCTAATCCGCTAATTCACAACTTTGTAAAGTATTATAGTATTTGTAGCTCCACTTTTTTGGCAGAACGCGAACGCCTAGCGCAATTGGAGCGCGAACTAGCGGAACTACCCGTAAAGCCAGTGTACCCGCCAGAGGACCTACAGAAGTTGGTGACGTTCATCGTGAAGATGACGACCCTGTACGACCTCAGGGATGAGGACTGGAACCCCGATGCCCTGAAGAAGATCGAAGATTGGATACTAGATCCTCGATCTCTTATGCTCTGCATATATTTCAAGGGCGAAGTGCTCAAGGCATCCTTGGATATTCCACTTTCACCCGTTTACGACCTCATGTACTTCATAAGGCAGCCAGATTACGTGTTCAAGGTGGACACATTCCACGACGACGTGGTCTTCGGCACTTTCGTGGAGTCCGTGGAGTCCAACATGATTCAAATCTTGGAGTCGGTGTACGCTCCGTATTTCTTTGCGATCACGACATGGCCCGACAGTAAGCTTTAAAATTGACGAATTACAAATAATTTTTATAATATTCATCATCAGCCGCAAGACGTCCACTGTTGAACACCGGCTTCCCCATTAGAATGCCATAACGAACGACCATGGCATTTTTTATAATACTTCAGTCAAATAACTACAACGTCTTCAATGCAATATTCGATCAATAGATATAAATAAATTTTTTTTTATACTATAATGTCATGGGTGCTCTGTTATTTTGTCTTTTTATTTATTTTCTCATCGAGCGTAAAAATGTCTTGTCCCGTTTGCGGATTAACATAAAAACTTAAAAGAGCGTTCTGTTGTTGGTTCAGAATTGTTCGCCGTAGTGATGGTGTAAGTATATAGCTATTTACCTACATATTTCAGTATGTTTATCAATTATCTGTAAACATGTTAACCGTACAACTTAACATTATAAAATAATATGTCTTGAGCTTATTCCAAAACGAGAGATCTCTTCTTCGGCAGGCGTAAAAAGTGAGTTTTGCTCCCAAATCCACACGTTCTTGGCCAAGCTCACGGACATGTACTACAAGCTTCTCGGGCTCACCGTACTTTACGTACCGCGCGAGGGACAGCAACTCTCGTTCGAGCAGGCGAGCACGGACAGGGAACTGGTGAAGAGGCTCGAGGGTGTGGTGGTCTACTGGACGCACCAGATCAAGTCGTGTGTCGAGGACCACGCGTCCGTGGCTTCGCAGAAGGAACTGCTGTGCCCTAGCGACGAGTTGGACTTTTGGATCTATAGACGTGCGTATATACATTTTATACTCAACATATTATACGATAGTTAATTGAGCTTCTAATTGAATGACTTTAGAAATATTTTCTCTTCAATTACAATTCAACAGTTAATTACGTGCACTAATTCATATGTTATATTTAATATGAATAAATAATTTAAACATAAATTCTTTTGAAATACATACAAAATAGTAGGTAATTGTGAGAAATTGTAATCATAGGAACATATCTATTTGTAATTGTATGTGTATTAAAGACGGGCCATATTTCAATAAATTTGCTATAGAATAATAGTTTAATGCTAAACGACTTTATGCTATGCATCCACGAGAGCGCTCATAGCTCAAGTACCGTTGAATACTCTTACGTTCAACGACATTGTAGTATTTGCAAAAGTACCGTTTACAGACGAAAATCTGAACGCGTTGCTGTATCAGCTGCAAAATCCGGCCGTGAAGCACATCACCAAAATCCTGGTGACCACGCACTCGACATTCATCCACCAGTTCCAAGCGCTGTGCGAGGAAATCGTGCAGAAGATCAAGGAGGCAACCTCCAACATTGAGTTCCTGCAAGTCATCAAGCAGCCGTGCGCCGTGTTGGAGTGCGTCGTCGATCCGGATAAGATCTCGGACCACATCCCGCATATCATCAATCTGTTCCGCTTCATCTGGATGGAGTCCCCGTACTACAACTCGGAGGCCCGCATAACGAAACTGTTCAAAGCTCTGAGCAACCAGATAATAATTTTGTGCAAGAACTACATCGAACTGGACGAACTATTCGAGGGCCAGACGAAGAAGGCGCTCGGCGAGTTCAGCAAGTGCATAGACTGCTGCAAGAAGTACAGGGAGATCTACGATCTGATGGCCGAAGCGCACAGCGAGGAGAGGCCGGGTAGCTGGGAGCTGGACACGGGATCGATCTTCAACTACATCGATTCGTTCATACAGCGTTGCTTCGACATGCTGGACGTTTGCAACTGCATGATTATTTTCGGAAGGTATAGTCGATTTCGTAAAAGCGAAACTCACAGACTACAATTAGATAAAGTCAGTCTTACTTAAAGGCACATAGCAATTTAATGTTACTTAACAGCTAACTGATCCACTCTGACAGCGGATCATAATGTGTTAAACAGTTTTCGAAAAGATTGAAGTTTTTTTTTTTATTAACACAAACACAAAAAATTAAGTATTAGGGACACGAATCAGTTCGCTGATGCACGAATGGGCAGGTCCGTCCAGAGAAGTACCACCAACTCACAGAAGACCGGCGTAAAGTAGAAGAAATATACTTCTGCGATTCGTCTGGTGAGTGAGGTAGCCGGGGCCCACTTCATTAAAAGGTGGCAACGCCTTTGCAACCTTCTGGGTGTTGTAAATGTCCATGGGCGGCGGTTATCACTTACCATCAGGTGAACCGTCAGCTCGCTTGCCATCTTATCACATAAAAGTAATCATCACTTTTGCAACCAAACCCATTCGAAACACCCTGATTAGAAGCAATATTTTGTAGGTCACACAAACATACTTACACCAGTCGAATTTACCTGCTAACAACAAAAAACACGTAATATCCTACCTAGCTCAACCAAATAATTTATTTGGCTTAGCTTGTGCACCCAAGCTGCAATTATTTGGTTTTGCTTCAACCGAACTAACACACAAACTTGATTCACATTAAACTCAGAACCGTCTATAAAAACCTGTTAATTATTCAAAATGTAAGCTTTAGAAAAATGTGCCGTTTCAAAAAAAAATACGTTTGTGAAAACGATCGGGTTTCCAAGGATTGACGAACTCGAAGAAATCCAAAAGCCCATGTTCCTCGGCGCCCGCGGCGACATCTTCGAGGCGAAGTGCGAACAAATCGAAAAGCAGTTCAACGAAGCTCTGAGTAATGTCAAAACGGTGGGCCATACCATACTCGATGTTCAAGCGCCGTCGTGGTACGACGACATCCTCCAGTTCAGGACGGTCATCAAAGACATCGAAGTGAGTGTTTTTAGCAATGTTTTTATTATGTGAAAAAGTGGTAGGGCCACGTGGCAACTCCTCGAATGGATAGGCTCGACCATGGAGGCCGACCACGGCCTCACAGATGTTTCGTCTGATGAATGAAGAATGAATTGTTGTTCCCATTATGTTACAGACGATAATAGAGAACCTAGTTGAATCAGTCTTTGAAGGTGTCAATCATGTGGAGGAAGGAGTAGTGGCCCTTTACTCTCTGTACAACTATTCAAAGAGACATAATTTGAAGCGAATTTTTAAAAGGAAAACTGCCGAGGTGAGTAGGGAATTCCTTTTAGGCTTTTGCATTTGTAAAAACTATAAATAGATGAATTGTGATGACCAATTATCATTTTCCCATGAAGTGAACAAGAAGGCCGTAATTACTACGTGATATATTGATTCTTTGAAAAGTTAGAAGCGGTAAAAAATAAAGTACAACCCAGTAGTACCCAGTCTATACCGCACTTCAAATGATGACCCATTGCATAAGGTATAAGGGTAAATAATTGATAGCCTTTCTGGTATAACTTTATAGGTGTGGGCAAAGTTCAGCGACATAGTGCAAGAGACGAAGAAAGACATGGTTTCAACTCGGGGACAGTATCCGTCGGACTTGCCTTCGTTTGCCGGCAGAGCGGTGGTTTTGAGAATGAGGAAGAACCAATTAGTTTATTTAAAGAAGGTATGTGGCCATTTATATTATTTTAATTATGATGGCGAACTTTTAATTCGCATTGATGATGAAAGTTATATAAAATAGTGTTACTGTGTATCTTTTCTCTTTGCTTCGAATGAACAGGTTTAAACACATTCGAAATTACACCTGAAAAGTAGGATTAAGGCCCGGTTTCTGAAAGACTGACCGTCGTAGAAATTATCTAATCAGCTGTCAAATGACTTCTCAAATGTCATTTGAGTTGCCAAGAGGATGTTTAAACTCTTTGAATTGATCATAAATAATCATCTATCATCAGTGTTTCAGAAACTGGGCGTAAGGAAAAGATTATTGTCATCACGTACAACCAAGTTGCGGAATCAGTTGTTGCCAGCCGGAAATACCGGACAAATACGACTTAGGGACCATCAAGAAGAGAGCCTATTCCTTTCTCAAAGGCGGGCAAAGCATTTCTGACTCCTCTGGTGTTGCGAGTGCCAATGGGCAGCGGTGAACACTTACCAGCAGGTGGCCCATCTGCTCGTTTGCCTCCTTTTCCATAAAAAAAATCGTATAAAAACGACAATTTTATGTTCGGCAGAAACTACTTCGATTATTCCAAGTTCAATTTCAGATGGCTAATTCTCTAACATTTATCATTAGCCACATGCAAATAAAAGATTACTGCACTACTATAATATTTTACGGTTTAATAGGAAAAATCCTTTGTAATTATAAATTTTAAAGTATTTTATAGTGCTAATCTCTGCACTTAAGATTGAACATTAAAACATGTAGAAAAAGTACGAAAAGATTGAAGCAATGGCGACATCTCTCGTTCGAATTATCGTTGTAAAACGATATTCGAAATTGTTTGTATGCTGGAACGGATATAACAATAGATGCGCCAAGCATTGCTTCAAATGCTAAATAACAATGTAGGAAGAAGGCGTTAAGATTTTCGTCGCTGTGGCTATCAGCCGTTTAGCTCAATGGCTAGAGCGTCAGTCCGCGAATGCTGAAGAGGTGGGTTCGATTCCCACAGCGGCGACAATCTTTTCGTACTTTTTTTACATGTTTTAACTTTGTAATGATTTCAGGTGATGACCGACGCGTCAGTTTGGATGATGAAGTGCAGCAACTCGGAGGATGTCATTATGCACGTTAACCGACTCACGAGTGCAATCGATGTCTCAATCCGAGAGCTTTGGATTTCGTGGACCGTGAGATTTTACATTTATTACTATCATGTAATAAAGTAGATTTTATTTTATAAAACGGCTGGCTTATGTGAGATGATCTGCGCAATTCTGCAAAAGTTTTCTAGATGCAGAAGAATAAAGTTTTGATGATTCTAACTACCATCAAGCACCAGGAATTGGCTGAAGAGGTTTTCCAGGATCATAGAAAACGCAAATCTTTAATTACTGTCTACTGTAATGAACGATAGACAAATATGTAGGTGTAGTATTAACGGCTAATGAAAAATATGTTTTTATAGTCATATTAGTCTTTTGGATGCCTAGAAACGGGAAGTAAAAAAGGGTGTCTTTAGAATAATTATAACAGCTAGTTATTCGTCATTTTAGTGGGTAACACCTTTCATAGGATTAACATACATAAATAATAAATTAATACCGCACTATAGTCGAAGATTTATAGTCATACTTTTAGTAAAAACAAAGCACTGGATGTTATTTGGATGCCTAGAAACGGCGGATTATCAACTCTTGGTAAAATAGCCAAAGGTACATTTGCTTCCCAAAGCAGTTCTCTCTGGGGGCACGCTGTAGGTGACATTATCATTAAATAATGCACATATGACCACATGTGTGGCCCTACCCAAGTCGAAAGGCGGTATCAAGCTCTTGGTATAGCCAAATTTGACGGATTCTGATTTTGATGAAACCTTAATCGTTTGTGGACTCAAAGCAAAAACATGAAACCGTCGAAAGATATGACAAATACACATACGAGAGGATACACTACTTTTTGACCATCGATGGATTGTGGGCTATACCTTGTTCATTGTAAATTTGCAGCATAACCTTGATGAGAAATGCGGCGCGGGACTTAACCGGACTTTGATGCGAAGGAGTACTGAGAATGTGGGACTAATGGAGTGCAACATGGACGTGTTAGTGAAAGTTCTGATTGGTTAGCTACATGCTTCGACATTGCGGTCGGTGATCCATTTCTAGTGAGAGGTCGCGTGCTTCGTGTCAGTCTGTGGAGGAGCTCTACGTTCAACAGTGGGCTCAAACAGACTGAAATCATGATCGATTTCGGCGCGGCACAATTATTCCGTGTCCGTTCTCCATATAAAATCTGTGTTTATGGAGAAACACCCTTACGCCGATACTTTATTTTACAGTTCCACAAAAATCTATAGAAATTATTTTTACCGGACAAAGTTATCTACTATTGTAAAGGCTTGGCTGCCGCTTTTGAGTCTAGTAAAATGAAACTATTTAAGATGAAACTATTAAGATCATGAATATATAAATATTCTTTACAAACGTTTATTAGAAAATCTTTAGGACTCTTGGCAAGAAATCACGTTTATGGGTGATTTTGTTTTGAGCAATTTATCATGTGTATTAGCTTTAATATTGTGCGATCTTGTAGCTTTTTCGACATAGATAGTAAAAAATAAATAAAAAATATACAGAAGGCATAGTAGATACTTTGCGACGGTGAAATACAAATCTGCTCTAATAAATAATATCACATACAATCTCATTTCAGCAAAATTCTCGATTTATGCAAAGAGGCATCGCATTGGGAGAACTTGGGCCTTGATATTCCACTTCATGCTTATCAGGTACGAATTTAACAAATATGGTGGTAATGAAATAACGAAAAATTTACTTTCTTGTTTTGACGAGCTGACAAAGAACTTTTCCAATTTGGATAATATTAAAACCGCTGTTTGCATTTTGCCCTTAGAGAGATATTAGTGCGAACGTAATGGACTTTTTTTAATAAACTATTTTTCTTCAACTTATTAAAGTTCTCTTTTAAGGAATTACGATAGATATCAACTAGTAACGTTATGGATGTATATGAAGCAGTGTGCGTTAAAAACACATGTCAGAGAAGAGAATAATACCCACGGCACGGCTTGCTACAGTTAGCGGGTAGTGCAGTATTTCTCAACCTTTTTGTGCCATGCCCCATCTTAGCCTAAAATTCTTATGCCCTTATGTAACATACATAATTCTTAATATAAAAAAATTGGATTGTTCACTTAAGAAACATACATAATAGGTTTTAAGATGAAATCATTAGTAAAATCTTAACGAAACACAGTAAGTAAATTATCTTAACAATTATATTGCCCTCCTGTGGGCCGTGGACTCACGTTGGAAAACACTGTGGTAGTGGGTTGACTATATAGTCGATATTTTATTTAAAATAATATATAATTCCAAGGTATACATGAAGAGCAAGACACTTCTGTACGTATATGAGAACGTGCTGGCCGTAGTCAAAGGCTACAATAAGATTCTAGATTCGCTGTCAGAAGACGAGAGGTTGCTTTTTAAGCCGCTAATAAGCGTAAGTATTCGGCATCTGTTACTATTTATTGTATGTAGCAACATTGATAAAATTTAAATTTAATTGGGAAAATTACTTTCTTACTTTTAAGAATGTAGGAGCATTGTTAAAATTTTAATTTGTAAATGACTTTAAAATCACTTAAGTTTTATTTTTGGGTGAAAATTGGAACTAAAAATGAATAAAAAGAATCAAATATAAATATGAAAGGCACCTTTGCTATGCTTTCGTTTAAATAGTCATTGTCAAATATTATTTGAAAGTTGCTCACTAGATGGCGCTAAGCATTGGTAGAAATGCAAAGATATTGGGGTTTTTTGTGACTTGTAAGGATATCGGGCGCTTAGCTACAGAAACAAAGTACCTAACGCAGATTTAAATCGTGTCAGCGGCGAAAATTTTTTGGCAATCAATCTCTCACATTTAAGTTTCATCATGAGTACACTGAGACTAAAACTAAAAAGATACTCATAAATAACCACTTAAGTTTATAATAGTGCTTACGCTTTAGTTAATTGCATTGCTTGGCAATGAACGTAGATGGACATTTGAAATGAAAATGTAAACTTTTGGAAAATCACGCTTCAATGTTTAATTATAACAACAACCGCATAATAAGTTTAATAATACTGATAGAATTACAATATTAACAAAATAATTATATAAATAATATCACATTTACAACATAGCCTCCAATCTAATCCAGTCAATAATCAATAGCCTATATCACATCTTCGTTTATATCCTACGCTAGACACACGTCGAGGTGGTCGTTCATGTCCACTTGCTCGACCATCTTTAGGCAGCACGGGCAGGGGCTCTTGGTTCCCGTGGCGTTGAGGGTCTGGCTCTCGTCGAAGGCGTCATCATCATCGTCGATGACTATCGTTTCGTTCGCGAAGCTAGTGGACGCCCCCTCCACGGGAGCGGTGGTGCCGTTGCCGAAGAAGGCGAGGCAGTCGTCCAGGTGCTGTTCTATCGGCCGGTCTATTACGTCACCGCAGCACGGACACTTGGGCCTCGTGGCTCGTAATGCTCCGGGTTCGATCTTCACCGCCGGCAGTTTGATCTCGCAAGCCACGTCGTCCAAGAACGACGGCAGATAGCCGAAGTCGACCGCCCCCTCTCTACTAGCAGGTTCGATCTGACCGGATTTTACGGGGTGTTTCTCGTAGTTAATCTTCTTCGCTATCGATTTCACCTTGTTGAGATCTTTCTGATCGAAGGCGTCTTTCGAATTTTTCGTTGGTGTATCATCGGTGATGCTATACCGTTTCGGTGCAGTCAGATTTGTTATTATCGATGTCTCCTTTTTGATACAACTTATGTCAGCTAGATTAACTGGTATATATTCGTCGACACTTTTAATTTTAATGGTACTGGAATGTTTTGAATGATAAGTAATATCTGAAGTGGGTACAGTTTTTAATTTGGTATTATCTAAACTATTACTAGGTATCACAGTTGGAATTGTATCTATATTAATGCTTTGTATATTGTCTTTGCTCAATTTTTCTATTACATCTTTATTCAAGCACTCGTCTAAATGTCCATTAATTTCATCATCTTTAATTTTCACTTTACATATTGGACAATCAACCATTTTAGCTTTGGCCGCTATCAATCTGTTGTCAGTCTTTGATTGGGATATGTTGAAATCTTCTCCGTAGACATCTTTCAATACGGTCGTCGCTACCTTTTTGAAGTAATCGTCTATTTTCTTTATTTTATTAGGTGGCGAGCCGTCTAGAACGCTGGCTTTGTGTTTGTTTGATTTCGTAGAATCATTACAAGTGCTTTGTCTAGATTTTGTAATATTTTTCCCTTTGAATGCATTTAAGTTAAGGTTTTGAACGGTAGGCAGCTGTTTGTTCGCCCACACGCTCCTTACGGTCTCCAACACGTTGGCAGATTGGGTCCTATTCCTACCGCCGTCCATTTTATCTTTATCAACATTTGGTGATTTTTTCTTACTAACCACAGGACTAAACAAGGCCCCTTTTTGCGTTATAACAATAGTGCTATTCTTGTTCGTTTTAACAACTGCTTTAGTTATAAAAGGCACATTACTACGGTCTCCCAAGACGCTTTTAGGCTGTGTTTTATTCGCTTGTGGAATATTTTTATCAATCGTATTTCTGTTGTTATTGTTATTTATGTACTTTGTAATATCTGCTGTGGGCTTTGTAGTATCTGCTTTGGGCTTTGAAGCCTTCTTGATGCCGTAATTTTCGGGTTCTTTGATTTTGACGAATGTCCCGCCGCAGGTTTTTTGGTGAGTTTTCCACCAGTGATCAGCAGGCCCCGGAGCCCTATTGGCTGACCGGCGCACGACACCGAAATACGGTTTCCTACTTTGACACGGCCCGTCGCAACGCCACCAATGCGTTAGATACAGCTTGACCTAAAATGTACACATACGAAAATGTAACGAATAATTAACATGACGATGTTAGATAGGCACCTATTATTTACTTTATTTACAATAAACTGGGATGAATATATTTTTTTTAAGTAATAAGAAGGCCCATAAACGCCGCCCATGGACATTTGCAACACCTGTAGGGTTTCATATGCGTTGCCACTTTTAGTAAAGCAGGCTTCAGTTACCTCACTCACTAGATTAAATGTATAAATAAGAACTTCCACTTGCGGTCATTTGTGAAGTTGTGCTACTTTCCCAGACGGACCTGTCCATATTTGCAACAGCAAAGACTTTTTGTGGCCCAGCCCACACTAAGGAATATATTAGTGTAAAATAATTTAAGAGGATTAATGAGGATATTTATGACATTTAGAAAAAATTATAGCAATGCCACATTCTATAATATTAAAGATTACACTAGAGATATGCAAACATCACTAGGAGTTTCAATGGGTTTAAATAAAATATAATCAATACCTCGTCATGAAAATCATGATAAATTGTAATATTGACTCCAGCCAATTTATTAATTCTGTGCATGTGCGATTGAAAATTAGGTCCGTGACCATCTCTATCACGGTCCCTGCTGGTGATAAACAGAAAGGCGTGGATCATCTCATGTAGAAGAGTTTCAACTAGGTCTTTCCTTGGACGTAGTTTTAGCAAAGGTTCACTGAGAGCTATGTCACAGAGACCTCCTCGGCCTTCATATCTGAAAAATTTCATACACATATTGAATGCAACAATTTTGAACAAATCACAAAATTCTTTAGGTGATTAAACTAAACAATACTCCACTCAAATCCCCTAAACTATTAATGGATTTCAAATGAAAAATCGTAAAGAAATTGTTAATTTATAAATAAATATCTCCCCCTATGTAGTGTTAAACTTATATCTTTCATATTAAAATATGATTATTGTTATAGCGATTACTTAAGTTTACTAAGTTTACATATTTCAGTTCTTTTAAAACAATTTTCAAAAAAAATGTTGAATGTGTACAAAAGCTTGAAAACAAAGCTTTGCTGCTTTGCATTGTGTATTGGTGAATGATGCATTGTTAATTAGTGAATGGTTAAAACTTCATAAACCAACAACAATAATAATAAACCAACAATTGTATTTTATCAATAAAGAATTATCAAACATATGATTAGTCCCAATCACTTAGATTAAAAACAATCCATCAGTTCTTTTATTATTCGCTCAGTAGAGTACATATAAGTTAAAAATTAAATTTAAAGAAATTGTTCCACTCACGAACATACGCCAGCACATGAATACATTCTTTTACTCCATCTGACTACAGCCCGACTAGTTAACTTAGTCCAGAAAAACAATTTATCAAAATGAATGAATAAGCTATGTACATTTGGCGTAGGATCGATCAACTCTAATTCTGGGTCTGCTAAATTCATTTTGGTGCTTTTTTCTTGTAATATTATTTTGTTGTTTTGACATGAATTCTTATTAAAGGTTTCTAACGGAAATATCAAAACTAGTCTCAAATATCAAATCCAAATTTGACAATAATTGACAAGTGTTGACAATGGTTTAACTGGTTTTGACTTTGACATAAATATAATTTTACGTCTTTGGATTTCTCAATACAGACAACTCGTCTAGGATGCGTTCTACAAAGCGCGCCTGGTTTTTCTCATTCCACTTGCTTGGGAACGTTACAATAAAAAGTTCGAATGAAATGAATAATGAAGCGTCTTTATTATATAAATTCAGAGTTTGAATTTAAATCGAGACAATTTATTCGATTTATTTCATTTATCTCATGCGGTCATGTAACGTCACAAATTACGGAACTCTGATCTTGATTTTGATGTAACCGCGTCATCCGCAACAAGCGATTTTTTTTTTTTTTTTGGTTGGCCGAGCACTAAGGGCGCTGTTCCTAAACATCGGTTATGATATGAGTGTCTAAGCTCGAGGGCTCCCTAGGGTGCCTCGGCTCGGTCCGTCACTCTATTACTATTAGTACTGGGTTGGGAGGCCGCCAAGCTCTTAGGTCGGACGCTCAATAGCCGCCGAGAGGCGATCTCGTCTTGGGCAACAGCTCAACTGCAGCTAAACGGACATTAAGTAATAACTTAATGTCCGTTTAACATTCCTATTCGAGGGTGCCCAGAGCCGGATTTCGGCTAGATCGGTAGTTGTTATCTGACTAGTGGAATTTCTACAACTATCATTATTACCACTTCAGAAAGTGAACAAAAAAGAAATTATATTAATTGAATACCGGTCATTTAAATTTCTTTTTTGTCATTTTCAAATTCAAATTCAAAATATGTTTATTCAAACAGACGCTTGTGAGTTCTGAAAAGTCGAATTTTAAATAATAATAGATAAATAAGCTCGTAATTTATAAATCTTTAATGTTTTGTAATTTATTTAAACCAGAGAATCTATAATTGAAATTTACTATTTCCATGATATCCATTTTCCTAGTTTTATCAATTTTATCCATTAAGCTCCAACATATTATTTAAAACGAAGACGATAATGGATTCAACACGCAACTCATTGTATATTTTTAGGCTTGCGAGAAAAAAGTGCAACCGGGAATTAGCAAACTGACTTGGACATCTACTATGTCTGACGAGTACATTGCAGATTGTGTAACTCAAATTGGGGAGGTAAAAACAATGAGAATTAACTCAAAATTTACAGCTGAATATTAAAATTGTTATTACTAATGAGTTTAAAAATTTTAGCTACAAGATTTCTTAACCACATATAAAAACTGTAACGTGAATTTAGTTAAGATTATGGAAAAAATATGTGATACACCGTTCATTGAATTCGACATATATAATGTGTATAATATTAAAAAATTCCGAGAACATATTCGAAGCATGGAGGCAGAAGCTGCAACTAAAGTTTTGGACATGTACAAGGAGATCATAATATATCTCGTTATTGTATACGAGGGTTTTGAACCATATATAACACAGGTAAACACTTTGTAGTAGGTACAATTTTTTTGTAATACACCTATTTTATGAAATATTATTAAATATAAAAAAATATTTTTCTTAAATATTTTTCTATTAACAATATTAAATTTACAGATGGCTGACCAGTGGGTAAAATATGTTAAAAGATTCGATCAGCTTTTGGAGGATGCTCTACGTTTATCCATAAAAGCTACTATGCAGAATATGTACAAATGCGTTCATGGAGATGGTACCGACCCTTAAATTTCGAATTTAATTTTTTTTGTAGAATTTATTTGTGTGATATATTTGTGGTATTCAATTTAAATAATTAAAATAGTTATCTTGGGGCATAAAATAAATAAAAATTGTTACTGACCGCATAAATATATGTACAGAATACTTTTAGTTTTGTGAACCTTCAATTGTTTAAAGATACTAACAATGCCTTCACTTTTTTAAGGGACCATGGCACCTGCTCCTTTAATCACGATGAATCTTTACCTCTCTGAGAAAAAAATCGTCTTTGTTCCAACAAGCTATGAACTTTATGATACTTTTACTACCATTCTAGAGGAAATAATTCATATAATAAGTACAATACCAAGAATATACGAGAAGTTCTCTCTCCCGGCCGGTGGTTTAAAGAAATTTTACGAGGTTATTCAAGTTGATGCTGATTGCAACAAGCTTCAAGCATTAATTGATAGTGGTAAAAATTATAATATTTTGATCGTAGGTTAACCGTTACGCCACCCGAAATCGGAGATATAAAATATTGCTCAGGTATTTTTAAAGCATTACCCTGACTGTAGACTAACATCCACATCTGGAACAATTATCTGTGGGTCACACAAATAGTTGTCCCATGTGGGAATCGAATCCACGACCACCGGCACCGAATATCAATGCTTGGAAAATAGAATCTTATTAAAAATGATTATGATTGATCCTAGAAAAGTGTTATAATTTGATAAGAAGAGTGTAGCCGTTAGTCTTAAATACTTTACGTTGAATATCAATTAAATAGATAAAGTATATTAAAGTATATTATTCAAAACTCGTACTCGTAAGGTAATAACGTGTTTTTGATGAATTTCAGAAATCGACTTTAATATAAACCTTATAAATGACCATATTCGTATGTGGGATCCTTACGCACATATCTGGGAGGTTGATAAACATCAATTCATGGCTAAGTATCTGGAAGAAAAACATAGAGCGATTGACTTTGATCATTTGATTATAGCTTACAGCGATTTAGCAAATGCTGTACAAGTCAAAGAGACAGTTAATCAAGTAAGAAATTTTGTCCTAGAATTTAAAAAAAAACATGTAAGTTTGGACAGCACAGCATGACCAAAGTTTACTCATTTCAGGTTCATTTTGTCACTTTAAATTCAAGCGAACTGAAAAAGGCAATTATACAACATTGTTTAACGTGGCAGATTAAATTGGGCGAACTATTACGAAAGATTACTGAAAGTGACATAGATGTTGTGTATGCATATATCGAAAAGAGTAGTGAAGAAGCAATGACGGTTAGAACACAATTAATATTAATTCATTAGAAAATAAAATAATTTTTATTGTTATTATTCAATTAATATGTACGAAATATCAATCTCGACTTTAAATACTACATTATTACTTTAGATGCCAACGGATTTAAAGGAACTTGCATCAGCTATTGCAACTTATGAACGGCTCGTCTCCGAAGTTTCTAAAATAGAACAAACATTTTCACCAATAACCGATGAAATGACAACGCTAGGTAATATTTTTAATGTCGGAAAATGCTATAGTCATTTCTGTTAGACACATTTATTACTTTTTGTGTGACATTTCAGCAAAATTTGAAGTAGAGTTGAGTTCAGATATGGTTACTCGCCACGAGAACATACCAGCAACATGGAATGATTACTTAAATTTACTGGAAGAAGCGAAAAAAGCTTTGGAATTGAACAAGGACAAATTTAAAACCGAGTTATTGGAGCAAGCAGAGGTTAGTAAAATAAAACAGTAAATAAAAATTTGTGTTTAACTCCATACCTCAACCTACTAATCCCTATTCCTTTCATCCCTCTCTAATGTTTTGATTAGGAATTCAAAGAAACCGCCAAAGTATTCTGTGAAGAGTTTTATAAGACCGCACCGTGCTCATCGGATATCAGTGGCAAAGATGCCATGGCGCAGTTAAAAGCATTTAGAAATCAATTAAACGCTCTTAGAGCGCAAGAGCAGCAGATACGAGATGGCTTAGCTGTGTTTAACTTGACGTAATCCTACTTTATGTTTAATATTTGTAAAATTAATTCCAATCAATATTACGTTGACAATTATCATGTTAGTTAGAACTTAGATTTTTTATGTTCACGGAAATTTCACACATTTAAGGACACCGGTGAATCTAGATCTACAAAAAATGGAAAAGGAGCTAGAGAAACTAGAAGAGGTTTGGGAGTTGGTCGTGCAGTGGGAGGATTCCTGGGAGAAATATAGAACCCAGACTTTCTGGGAAATGGAGACTGATGAGATGGAAGACAATGTGATGTACCTATTTAGGTACTGAATATTAATGTTATGCTGTATTGTATTTCTTCCTGTTACATTATGTTGGGTTCAGAGGCTAAAGTTCTCATTTTTATAATAAGAACAGTGTTCTTTAACGGCTGGTTTCAATATTATATCGATCTGAAGAATTACTGAAATAAATAGAATTTTGACGTAAGTATTATGGAGCTAATGTCAAATACCTATCGCTAGTAATCAAATCTGCATAAAAATAGAATATTGAAACCAGCCGTTAGTTAATTATTATATAAACCTTTAAGTTAATGTTGATTTTCTTGACGAAGTCATCTTCTTTGCAAGCTATCCATCCTTTCTCAAGTCCTCTTTCACTGATCAATCCTTAGTTACTCAAAACCTTGAACCGACTGTCATTCATTCCTGAATCATACATGTAATTAGTCTTTAATAAATCTCAAAATTCTTTGTTTGTCATGAATTTTGTAGAAATTTTAACCGCCTCTCCCGGCAACTCAAGGATAAAGGATGGGACATAATCGATACCACTCGGGTGAAAGTTGATGCATTTAGAAGGACATTGCCCTTGATTGCTGATTTAAAGAATCCTTGTATGCGAGAAAGACATTGGGATAGGATTAAGACGTTCATGGGCGTGTAAGTTTAAATGTTACTTACAATTTGAAGCCTTTTATAATATTTATTAAATATAATTTGAACTGTAGTAATTTGATATGAATCATTGTTATATATTTGTATAGAATTTTATTGATTATCAATCAATAATTATTCATTTCACTGCAAAAAGAATACCGAAAGGAAAATACAGTCATGTGCAAATAAATAGAATACACGTGTTATATTTTTTTTAATTAACCAAATCGCCTGTATTTCTTCAAAAACTACGGAAATCGGAAACTACGTTTCCATATGTTTAGGGCATAATTTTTTATTTGGCCAATTATCAATATTGACCAAGAATTAATATCCGTTCTTAAGTCCAGAGGAAATTATAGTTTTTTCAATTTAATAAAATTAAAAAATAAATTACAGTGACTTTGATCAAACCTCTGAAGATTTTAAATTAGAATTGATAATGCGCTTAAACTTCCAAGCGTACGCTGAAGAAATATCTGAAGTGTCTAACGCCGCCACGATGGAATTGAATATTGAAAACGGACTTAAAGCAATAAGGGAGGTGTGGAAAAATACAACTTATGAAATGCAACTGCATCATGATGATATTTACCGAATTAAAAACGTTGATGAAGTCATGCAGGTCAGCATGCGGAATTCTGTTTCTTTACAATTACATCTAGTAACTATATTCGTAGCTAACTAGCAAAAACCAAACGTAAGAAACGATTGGTCTTCAGTGGTTAATCTGTTATTAAGTCTCTAAGGAAAATGCTTTAACAAATTAGACCTCAATTCTTACATGCTTTTGAAGTTCAAATGAAATTAAAGAGTACATCAAGTGATTAACATAAACAAAACTTAATAAAAAAGCAAAACTGTAGAGCAGATGGATTGAACTGCATTACATTTACAATATTAAGGAAACATCTATGTAGATTATAAAATTATATTAATTAATTATATTTGCGTCCATCAACGCATTATACTTAACTATTGGTGTTTTTTTTTGTCTACTGTTTTATTGTTTGTTTATGTTTGTGTGTAGTAAATTTATAAACAGTATAATTATATTTCGCATATATAACCTTATAATACATCTTAATTATGTTTGTGTAATAAATATAAACTTAAGATTACAAAAATTGCAATTTTAATTATGAGGCATTGTCTACTCAAAATATTACAAATAAGTATTTTGTTCAAACATTACATAAGTACATATTCATACATACAACATTACATTAAGTATTATAACAAGAAAGTATTTAAATATTTGCGACATGACTCTTAAATCTTATAATTATGAGTAATACTAATTTCAAATTTTCGATTTAAAACGGGATTTAAGCCGCAACTAATCATTTCATTTATTTATCTTTAGTTTTTAGAAGACCATCAAGTACAACTATCATCTATGAAATCAACGAAATATGTTGAGCCTTTTATAAAAGAAGTAGACTATTGGGAAAAGTCGTTAGGATATGTAGCTGAGTGTATAGAGGTGATCGAATTTATATTATGTTTGTTTATTTTCTGATTTGACATTTAAATACAAGTGAATTTTCCATTAGATTTCGTTACAAGTACAACGGCGTTACTTATATTTGGAAATAATTTTTGCGGGTGAAGATATAAGGAAACAATTGCCAGATGAAGTGGTGACCTTTGATGGATTAACAGCTGATTGGACAGAAATAACTAAAAAGTTAGTAAAGCTACTGAGCCATATTACAACATTTTATTTATTTAAATGTCTTTTTTTGGCTTTTACTGAAAAACAGTAAAATGCTTAATTGAAAGAAACTTAAGTGATACTGACTTTTACAGCATGTACGCTGGTGCGAATGCGGTAGAAGCGTGTCATTACAAGCCAGCTCCTTACCTATTCAATAAGCTAAACGCCATGGTGGATAATTTAGATGGAATTTTGAGAGCTTTAGAAAAATACCTTGAAACAAAGAGACAATTATTTCCTCGTTTTTACTTTATTTCTAATGACGATCTCTTAGAAATTTTGGGTAATTCGAAAAGACCACATTTAGTACAAGTTCACCTTAAGAAATTATTCGACAATGTGAACAAAATAAAAATCGATAAGGTAAATAATAAAAAAATACATTATTTTCTTTTTACGCATTTAATAAAACTAATTACATATGAACCTACTATTCGAAATATGCAAAAATTCGACAAATTTTAGTAAAATTATTTTATACACGTGTCGGTATAATAACATTTAGGGTACATGTAGAAGTTGTTCAGAGTAAAAAGACGTAAATTTTTCCAGTTGTGTAGTGTAAAACTGTAATTGGATTTCAATAAGATGTGATAATCTGGAAAAACTATCGTATATAATATGCTGTTGTTTTCCCGAATAAAAAAAAATATTATCTGAAAGGTGGTTCATGCTATATTCATGCTATAAAGTATAAGTCACACTTGATTGGCGCCAAGCATTACTAAAAAAAAAACGTTGGTAGATGTTAAGAAAAGTTATTTATGGACATATAGGCGGTCATATACTATCATCCCGAACTCGAATTAGCGAGAGAAAATCCAATTCGAGCTAACATGAGTTAAGCCAAACTCTAGTTAGTCTGTCGAGGTTAGCCATACCTATTTTATTGTATTTTTTTTCCATGACTAAACTGGTATCACTGCTAACCGTCAATTTCATTATTAATATTATTAATTATAATTTAATATTATATTATTAATTAATAATATGATATTAATTAATAATTATATTATTAATTAATAATTAATAATTATATTATTAATTAATAATTAATAATTATATTATTAATTAATGATAGAATATTAATATTATTAATATTATATTATCAATTCCGACTTCCGACCATGCGTTAGTTAGCGTCTCTATTATAAGATAGATCTATGATTCCGACTGAACGACAACGACTTTATATCCGTGGTAATGACATAATTTAAAAAAAAAAGTGGCTGATGTTCTGGTGTCGTGTGCGCGTACTTTAAAATTTCAATACCTACGCCAATATTTTGCCATCGCGAGTTGTTATTTTTATGGTCAATAAAAAATGTTGAGTGAGCAGGATATTGAAAAATGTCGTTTTGTGCCGATGAGTACTTTAGTAAGTACATAAATATTCATTTTTTCCGCTATCAAATTTACTATACTTACAGACGTATTTTTCGGAATTTGTTTTAGTAAAAGTATTAGTTGTCATGGTTAAACCAAAATGTATTATTTTATTAATATTTTGGTAGTAACTATTGTAATGTATATAATAATACATAATTTTGTTTTGTTTATAATATGTTCGTATGTATGTTTGTTACTTAACCTGTCGTCATTTTGTTATATACATATACTTATTAATTTCTTGGATTATTTGATTTTGGAAGTTAAGCAAAAATTACGTATTTGTAGTTAATATTTTTCAGACCTTTATCTATTGAGATTATTCATGCATTGATTATGAAATGGAAGATTCAAAATTAATATTGCAATACATCTCGGTTCAACAGAACATTTGATTGCTATTGAACATGATTTGGGAAAGGGGTTCATTGAGTAGTTTAGCCATACCTTTACCTCCTTAATTTTGTTTGTTTAATTATTTAAATCAGGAATTCGGATGGTCAATTATTCCATAAATAATTACTTTATTGACATTTTATTTATCTTTGTGGTAACCAATATAAAAGTAACATAACTATCCTGTTACATATTCTTAACTTTTAAATAATTTGATAGTTTATTATAGAGTCATAAATGAATTTACAGAATTTGGGCAATAAATATAACACATGGACCTTTGAAAAATATAAATAGTTGATTGTATTTCTTAAAAGGCCCATGTGAAAAAACAGAAACAATTGTGTTGTAGCAAAGAGTCATTGAATCATTGGACTCTCCAAATCCCGAGCCTGACAGAAAGTGTAAACGGAACCTTCTACAGTTACAATTGAACGGCAGCTCCTGTGAGAGTGATCTGAGACAGAAGAAATGGCGGCATAAGTTTCAGCTGGCTATAAGCCGGTCAATATACTCCCATAATTGGGATAAACTTTTATATCTCTTAAAGAAATCTCCAATATGGGAGCATAAAACTGATAGGTTGGATGAGCTGTCTTTGTACTTAAGGGTGAGTTGAGCTTTTTATATTACCTGGTCCTTAATATGTTCAAAAATAGATCTTCTTGTTTCTTAGGTATACAAGATGTGTTGATATAAGTTTATTTATATATCATAATACAAGCTATTACAGTGATTGTGTCATTGTTACAATGAATTCATCAGGTTTTAAATGCTATGGTGGAAGGTAATAGGTCTGGCGAGATAAACCAGACAATTGCAGGACAGAATTGTGGACTGAAAATTGACATTGCTCTATATATATGTATAATTTATTTCATTGCGAAACAATGTCTCAGAATATACAATAAAATATGGATTAACCAATATTAAATAATATTTATTTTAGTCATAGTAATTTGAGAATTCCTTAATATATTCAAGTTCTTCATATTGTCAAATAATTCATACATTAGTAAATTTACTTACATATTTTCTTTTTCATTTTCAGGCCTTAACAATTCTGCTTATGAACCACCCCTATGCCAAAGCGCATTCCCTGTTGAGTGATTACTTCCATATGGTTCTGTCATGTCGTTCTGATGAAGATAAGAAAGCAGTTTTTAAGATAATCCTCTCTCTGACGGAGAAGCTTTATGGAAGAAGTCATTAAAATTTTAGTCATTAAAGTTAATTTGGTGCATGTTTTTTCAATTGAGAGTTCACTGGTTGAGTTTGATTTCAATTATTTAATTTAAGGTTTTTGATGAAATTTAGAGTGTTAGACAAAGAGCTAAGAACTGACCCCCCTGATCTTTCTCTCACAATCTTGTTTTCGAAATAATGGCAGCCATTATAAGAGCAGATATATAACACATGTTCATAACCGTAAGCATACAAAAATATAAAAGCCGGCATAGCAAATGTTTTTTGCCTCTCTGCTTTGTGGTTTATATTCCAAACAGTATTTGTTTGAAATGTAAAAAATAATGTCAGAGTTAATGCTTCTTCCTGTAGCAATTCTGTGTATTTTATTGTATAGACAGGAAATAATGATAGTGTAAAATTCTGACTACTTGATGTTTCTTTCATTTTTCAGATTATTACTGTTACACTGAAATGTTATATTGTTATGTTATATAATAAACACTTACTTTCAATGTGTCTCTTATTTCTCATCTTGGAAATCTATAATGTTGGTATTGAATAATTGTTTTATTTCAATAAAGAGTTATTGATTGAAAGTAAAACAGTGAAAACAAGACATTATTGTATGTACAGAAGCACTTATATTATTTCAGACTTAAATTTTGAACTGTATAGGTTCTGAAAAGGTATAAATCGACGTAATTTACACTTATTAAGTTTACGAAAAAATTATTTAACACAGTTTGGAAAAAGACGAAAAATATTTATTTTAGCAGTTATATTTCTAATAAAGATAGTTCAAATATAATAAACTTAAATAACATTTTTTATGTAGCATTAATTTTTCCTTTTTATTTCTCCTTGTCATGTTTTCATGATCCATGACCTTTGATGTATTTCAGAATGCTCTCGGTCTCCCAGTAGCCAAGGCCATGATATCGGAAGACGGGGAGGTAATTGAGTGGAAGCATAATTTGGTGCTGGACGGACCAGCAGAGTCTTGGCTCCTTGCTTTAGAGCATACAATGAGGGTTGTCCTGAGGGAGGTGAGATTCCTCGCGCTGCGGTTTCTATTCTTTAATAAGAGAGCTTTGTTTTTTAAATAAAAAATGAACGTTAAAAGTTAATGCGTGTTCAAGCATAAACTTTTCGTAATTGATGGCAACATTTACACATTATTTATAATAACTGGATTATAGAGAAATTCGTGTTCAGACGATGATTTTAAATTCAACGACTCGAGCACAGAGTACTGTACAGAGTTCAAATCCCGGTGCCGGCAGCAATGAAATTGCTCATTCCCATTTTAGGTGCTGACTTATCACGTGCTCAGCGGTGAAGGAAGAGATCTTGAAGAAACTTGCCTATTTCCGAATTAATAAATATTTGGAAGCAATTGGCACGTTTCTTCACGATGTTTTCCTTCAACTTCCAGCGTGTGCATTTCATATTGTATGACCGTGCTAGAGTGTACTGAATAAAAAGCTAGTACCTAGACTCTGATCTATTAACATAGTATATGATTCAAGCATATATTATCTATATCTTTTAACCTACCGCCGGGGGTCCCGCCGGATAACACTACACCCACAGTTAGTGTAACAACAATCACACCAGTTCGCCCTCGCCTCCGAGCACGGCGAGACCCACACAACGCGTACACAAGGTACAGCCGCGTTCCGGGGCGGTTCTCACCGCTCCCAGCCACCGATTAGCTAAATGCACAGTCGACGGCCGTCGGGGTCTCGGTCCGAACCGCGACCTCGACGGCCCTTAGATGACACACCATAATTAAACGCACGCATGAGCACATGCGCGACCCTACCCATAGCGGAGGGTCCAACCCCGTGGGTTCTGGCTAGCCCACCGGTTCTGCGTCCGATGAAGCTTTAAAAGTCTCGGGACTGAAAGCAAAAACATCAGTTAATACAAGATACAAGGATCTTTTAACCACAGAGGTAACGATTTTGATTCCGCTAGATTAATATATCAGTATCAACATTTTTTTTTGTTTTAAGTTAGAGACATTGCCCTTACTTTAAGATAACAGTATACTGTGTTGTAAGGACGTATATTACGTATATTATACATGTATTTCACGTGGAAAAACACCCAGATGCGAAACAACTGTCTGTGGGTCACACAAATAGTTGTCCCGCGTGGGAATCGAACTCATGACCCTTGACGCCACGGAGTCATCTATGTATGTACCCTCGACGCCCTCCCTCATTACATCAGACATCAACAATCCGATCCATTTACATCTACTACAGGACTATTGTACAATTCCTTTTTTAGGCGAAAAGTTGTCAAACGAGCAGACGGTTCACCTGATGTTAAGTGAATACTCCCGCCCTTGGACATCTGCCACACCCGAGGGTTACAGATGCGTTGACAACCTTTTGAAAATTGGGCTCCGGCCACCTCACTCACCAGACGAAACGCGAAAGTATTTGTCATACTTCCACTTTACGCTGGTCTTCTGTGAGGTAGTGGTACTAACACGGACGGGCCTGCCCATTCGTGCAACAGCCGAGGCTGTTGCGTGGCCCTACCACCGTAAAATACAATAATTTGTTTCTAGCAACAACGATCTTAAAATAACCGTAAATTATTAAATAAACACTTCTAACTAGAGAGGTGAGGTTTTTGACTCCTCCACATTAATACATATACATACCTTGGCCTCCCTCTTATTAATCAATTAAATCGATTTACATCATTCAATCGATGTACAATAACTTCTGGCAACAATGATCTTAAAATGACCGTAAATTATTTCTAGCAACTTATTCTAACTCGCGCGGCTCTCAGGAAATGTCGTTACCAGCGGGAGCAGTGGATAAACGATTGGCCAGGCCAACTTGGTATCACCTGTAGTAAGGTTAGTGTAGTTACCGTTGATGTGTTGATTACCTCCAGAAATACACAACAGTAACAGTAATGTCCTAGGGAGAGTTAATCGATCATTAAATATAAAATTCGAGCGGAAACATGCGTTGAGAATTATCAAATTTAGTCCACATCCAGTTACTGCCGATTGGTTGCGATTTTGGTCCCATTTTAATAGATTTCTATTCACCCTCCAACCCAAGATTCATTCAAGTCCGTTTGGCGGTGGTGACCGTTCACACACGACCGTTCGCACTTTAATATTAACCAGTGGTCGCAGAGTGGTCGAAATTCGACCATAATTAATGTCAATTATAAGTTTGAACAATATTAATCAACTAGCTGCTGCCCGCAACTACGTCTGCGTAGAATAGGCTGAAGGCGTAACATTCGGACAGAAAGACAGATATATATAATATATGTATATAAATTATAACCTATGTCTTATTCTGATGTATAAGCTATATTCTACTATATAGCTACATAGCTACATCTGCTACACCCCATGGTTTGCAGATGTGTTGACAACCTTTTTCTAAATTAGGCTCAGGCTACCTCACTCACCAGACGAAACGCGAAAGTATTTCTCATACTTTCACTTTACGCCGGTCTTCTGTGAGGTTTTGGTACATATGGTAAGGATTCTCAAATACAATATACAATAAAGAAAAGAGTGTATATGCGTGTGTATGTCACATACGTGGTGGTGTGGGTAATGTTTTCTATATTTAATCAAAGTCAAAGTATATTTATTCAATATAGGCCTAACTTAAGCTCTTATTGAACGTCAACAAAAAATCTACCACCGGTTCACTAAACTAGACCTGCACAGAGAAGAACTGGCAAGAAACTCTGCGGTCTTGTTCTTTTTGTTATTTTATTTGATAATAATAATAAAATATCTTTATTCACATAGACGCTTGCGCGTTCTTATGAAACGTCAAAATTTAAAAAATATTGAATGTATTTTTTATGCATAATTAAAAAAAAATATTAGCATTCTGCACTCCTCTATATAAACTTTAAGTGTGGGAAGTTTCACACTCCACCATGCGCGCAAGTTTCGTAAAAATTAGTACAAAGTTTTTGCTACACTTAGTATATAGAAGAAGATATAGAAGACGTTAAACTGCTCGTAAACATTCGGTAAACGCTTAAGATCCAATGGACCTCCGACTGCACTCGGACGCTGTGCCGCTGCGAGATTATGAAGGAGAAGAAGCCGATGAAGAGGCTGCGGAAGAAGCAGAACCAGATCCTGGCCACGCTGCAGGCGATGTCGCGGAAGGAGATCACGAGGATACTGCGCTGCAAAGTTAACGCGCTCTGCGTTATCGAGATCCACTCGAGGGACTCCGTGGACAGGATGTACAAGATGGGTCTGTGAATGCCAATCATCATCATCACCACCATCAACTTCATCATCGTCATCATCATAATTTCAGCCTGTTTGAGCCCGCTGCTGAACATAGGCCTCCCCCATAGACTGCCACGAAGTACGATTCTCAGCCACTTGCATCCATCGACTTCTATGACCGTGAATGCCATTAGACAAACTTAAAGTAAAAAACCTGTAGATGTAATTATTGAACTGTGGCAAAGCCACTGTTGCACGAATGGGCTGTTTGTCTGGCTAAGTACCACGACCGCACCGAAGACAGGCGTGAAGTGTTACACTTCTGCGTTTCCGTCTGCTGAGTGAGGTATTAAAATGTGGCAACGCATCTGTTATCCTACGAGTGTTGCAAATGTCCATGGGCGGCGGTTATCACTCAACACCATATGAGCCGCAAGCTCACTTGCGATCTTCTTACATAAAATTGCCACGGAGTTGCTAAGATTGTTGCATGATTAGGCAGGCTCGTCCGGGGAAGTGCCACGGCCTTAAACGCCTAAAATATAATAATGCCAGCGTTGTAGAACGTACTGAATCACGGTCTATGTTCCACATTTGGGCCTCTGGCAAAGCGCATGGGTGTGCTGCCAATCGATAAGGTTTCGTGATTAGTTGTTCCCCTTTGCTATTATTTTTTGATCGTATAGTGAAACAAGTTATGCCGTATATTTGGTAACTTTAATTAGGGACTAATTTTCTTTGCTTAGGAAAAAAAATGCAAAGCCTTATTGGCATTACATCATCATTGCAATGCATTTTAACATTATTAAGTAGAGACTTGTCCGCTCCTTCCGGATATCAAAGTAACATTTCCTATTTATCATAAATTTCAATAGAAATGGTGACATATATCAAATGTTCATTGTATAATGTTATATTTTGAAAGGTGTTTTATAATGTAAAGATATATTTATACACACTGGATGGCACCAAGTATTGCTAAAATGCAATAAAGTATATGCTAGGAAGAAAGTGTGTAAATTAGGACTCGCCAAGCGGAAGCAAAAATCATACGTTATAATTCCGATGTTCATCTGCGATAAAAAAACCTGTATCCAAACTATAACATAATATAAAGTGTAATAACATTAAGCAGTTGTATTAAACTACATGAGTCCAGTCCTATTTTTTGACCATCCTACGAGACAGGGTTATGTAAATGATCGTGATACAAACCGAAATTTACTGTCATATTCGAACGATATATTTAATTAAAAAATGAAACCTAGCTAGATCGATTTTTCGCCCCCGAATCTACGCACATAGTAAATTTCATGAAAATCACTGGGGCCGTTTCCGAGATTCCGATTATATACAGATATAGATACAGATTATATATATATATACATATATATATATATATATACATATATATACAAGAATTGCTCGTTTAAAGGATAAGATATGTATATATATATATATATTTGCTCATTATAACCGGTACTACGACGATTGGATGGGTGCTCGCCCAGGGTGCATGTCGGTGACGGCCTTCGAGTGGTTCTCCCAGCTGAAGTTCAACTGGGACCGAGAGCGCGAGGACTGCTACATTCGGCAGACCAACACGAGCTTCATCTACACCTACGAGTACATCGGCAACTCGGGCCGGCTGGTCATCACGCCGCTGACGGACAGGTGGCGACTGGTGCTTGTATTACGTAGCCGTAGAGTGGGACTGGGTTGTGATAAAATGTGCGAAGACGTCGGTCACAAACAATAAGTTATTTACAACTAAATTTTTTTACGAAAGAAAAACAAAACTTCAAATATCTCGCTATCGTGTTCATTTTATAATTGATTGTCAGGAGTTCCCTAAGCATCTCCGGAGCCTAAGGTCCAATACCAATGAAATTAATGTGGGACCACATGGGAAGCACCAGTTTTCAAATAAAAAAAAAGAATCTTCAAAATTCACTCCGTTGAGAGTTGTGAGGTAACAAACAAAAAAATACAGTCGAATCGAGAACTGTAGTCCTCTGTTTTTGGAAGTCGGTTGAAAATAGTTTTAGGGAGGTATTCCTGCCTCTATATTATATCTAATACCCAACCCAGGACAGGGACTGGCTTGTGGCAAAGACAAAGGAATGTAATAAAATGTGCGAGGAAATTGGCCCCCGCACAAAATGCTAATAAATAAAGTCAAGACGAGTGAATAGTGAAAAAACAAAGGCTCGAGTGCAAAATCTTGGTTTGTTTGTTTCTTCATACACACAATATTTAATATTTTTTTAATATTTAGGACACATTTGTACATAACATTTTCTAGTCCCAAACTAAGCAAAGCTTGTACTATGGGTACTAGAAAACTGATAAACATACTTAAACATACTTTTCTTTTGTAAATAAATACATATTATACATATAGAAACACCCAGACACTAGAAAAACACCATGTTCATCACACAATATTTTTCCAGTATTGGGGATCGAACCCACACCCTCTGACGCAGGAGGCAGGTAACGACATTTGGAAAAAAATACAAAAAAAATGTACAAAGGCCGGCTTCACCTTATAGAGAATTCTCTTCCAGCAGACTTTTAGAAACACCAAACCGTAATAATTTTAACTGTGGTAGGACCAACGCAACGAAAGACGCAACAGTCTTCACTGTTGCACAAACGGGGAAGTACCCGGACGGTAGGTATACGAGCTCACAGACTCCGGCGTGAAGTGAAAGTTTTACAACACTGCGTTTCGTCTGGTGAGCGGTAGCCAGGGCGGCCGACTTTATTATAAGGTTGCAACGCATCCGTAAACCAATGGGCGTTGCAAATGTCAACGGGCGGTGGTCGCTACTTAACATCAGGTGAGCCGCCGGCTCGCTTGCCACCTTCTAACACTCACTCTGTCAGATGCTACATAACGCTGACCACCGCGCTGCACCTGTATCGCGGCGGCAGCCCCCAGGGCCCGGCCGGCACCGGCAAGACGGAGACGGTCAAGGACCTGGGCCGGGCCCTGGCGCGCTGGGTCGTCGTCACCAACTGCTCTGACGGCCTGGACTACAAGTCCATGGCGAAGTGTTTCGCTGGTGAGTCACACCTGGTTCACAAGCCCTCGTTGACAGACAGCGGTCACGACAAGTTTGCTATTTTCTAGACGTGACAAGATGTTCTGATTCTTTGCTGGAATAGGTAGATCTGTGTGATTAAATTGCCTTGGCGTTAACATTGGGTACTCAAACCCGGGATCGCTATCGACGATCTATCTATTTTTCTTATCGTCTTTTATCACGAGGTAGGGTAAGATGTGCCACTGCCCCATTCATTTCTCGTCGATTTTATTAAATTCCTCATAGCGAATATATCACCTTGTGGAAAGCATAAAGTCAGGAAGTAATTCTTGCTCACGTTAGTAAATAAAACTCATTTTCGCATGCTTGTAGCATCAAACTCGCTATTGTTGACCTCGCCGAAATACTGGTCATAGTAATAGTTCACGATTTTACTCGCGCCATAACTAACTCTATGAGACTGTAATAAACAAATGTTCTATTGAACTTTTAATGAAACTACAAACTTGCCGTTGTTAGATGAAGTCTTTGCTTTTAGACCTTAAGCTTTATTGGACTTATTTGAAACTGGAACTGTTTCAAGGACGAGGAAATATGTTATGTAGCCAACGTTAACTTATAAAAGTATTTAAAGGCATCAATTAAGTGTCAGTTAATTAAAATTAATATTTGATTATCTGTTTGACAACTTATGTCATTCTCAAATCGTATTAGGTCATGTGCTATTAAATTGCCGCCGCGCATAGAGAAAGCAAATTGAGAACTGGAAAAAATATACTAGGTATTGCCCAAAGCGGCTGTTGGGGCTGCTTCGACGAGTTCAACCGCATCAACATCGAAGTTCTGTCGGTTGTGGCGCAGCAGATACTCGCCGTACTGCAGGCGCTCTCCCTGCAGCTGAAGAGGTTCATCTTCGAGGGTTGTTGCGAGATCACCAAACCCCTGGACGTCTCGACCACACAAGCCGATGTTAATTTATCGTATATTTATTATAGTGCCTGGAGGACCGAGCTTTGCTCGGTTTTTTTTGGTAAATCATGTATTTTGGGAATAAAAAAAATAAAGCAGATTCGTTGCTATGTTTTTATAAAGCGGACCCGGCTACCTAACTCACCAGACGAAACGCAGAAGTGTAACGCTTCCACTTCACGCCGGTCTACCGTGAGTTCGTGGTACTTCTTCGGACGGACCAGCTCATAGGTTGCAACAGCTGTTGCGTGGCCCTACCACCTTTAGAAGTTGCCTATATGGTATTCTATCGTTTATGAGACGTTTACATTTGTAGATACGCCGGACGCACTGAGCTACCGGACAATTTGAAGTCCATGTTCCGTCCGATCGCAATGTGCGTTCCGGACTCGCTCATCATCGCCGAGAACACTCTGTTCTCTGACGGATTCACCACCTACAAGATCAGCGCCAAGAAGGTGATTTTCGTCCATTTTTTTCGACAAATTTTAACATATAACCCTGTGAGAAGGCGGCAAACGAGCTGGCGGTTCACCTGATGTTGAGTGATAGCCGCCGCCCATTGACATTTGCAACACCTAGAGTTAGGTAGGGTTGCAGATGCGTTGGCATCTTTTAATAAAGTGGGAAAACCCTATTAAGAAAACCCCATTAAGAAAAAAACCATATTCAGAAAAGCCGTTTAAGAAATCATTGGGGTTTCTTACGTATCTGTATTATGTTCTTATTAACAGTTTCTCTGTCGTGTCCAGGTGTTCACGCTGTACCAGCTGGCCATGCAGCAGCTGTCGAAGCAGGACCACTACGACTTCGGCCTCAGGTCCATGGTGGCGCTCCTCCGCTACGCCGGCGTGAAGCGACGCGCCTACTCAAACCTTCCAGAGCAGCAGGTGCGATAGAATAAACTTAGCGTCCGATGAAAATGTAGCCAAGTACTAGCCGGTTGCACTTCTTCTTCTCGGTGTCTCTGCAGCAATCGGTAAGTAACAGCCTATATATATGTCTGTAACGAGTTGGCGTTTCACCTGATGTTAAGTGATGACCGCCGCCCATGGAAGTTTGCCTTTAAATAAAGTGGCTCCCGGCTACCTCACTGACCAGACGAAACGCAGAAATGTAACACTTCTACTTTACGCCGTTCTTCTGTGAGGTCGTGGTATTTACCCGGACGGACCTGCCCATTCGTGCAACAGCGAAGACTGTTGCGTGGATCTACCACACTTAAACGGTAACCATTACGGTAGAAATTTGATCTTTAAGGATTTTTTATAGTAAAAGTACAGTTTCTATAGTAAAATATGTCCAACTGCTAGGCAAAGATATACCTCTGTATAGAGTATTCAATTATTTATATAGTTCTGAGACTTTACGTACATTTGAAATCACGGCTCTCGATATTTATTTTGAAACTGAACGAGTTGTCCTTGACAGATTGTCATCCTCGCCATGCGCGACATGAATGTGGCTCGGCTGACGGCCAAGGACGTGCCGCTCTTCGCGGGAATCATGCAGGACATCTTCCCCGACGTGGAGGTGCCCACCCTGGACTACGAGATGCTGGAGACGGCCATCTCGGCGGAGATGAAGAGCGTAGGCCTACAGCCGGTGAAGGCGGCGCTGCTTAAGGTCATACAGACTTACGAAACGAAGGTAACGATACGTTGTATTGGTACAGATTTTAATGGTGGTTGATAATGACAAAAAAAATGTATTTCGAAGATATGTGAAGTCCGCCTGTCTGCACTGGGGGCCGCGTGGTGGACTATGCCCTGATACCCTCTGTATAGTGGAGGCCTTTGCCCAGCTGTGGGATATGTATAGGCTGTTACTTTACTATTTTTGCTGTTATGCAAATGGCCAGGCTCGTCTAGGAAGTACCATGGCCTCGCGGAAGACTGACGTGAAGTGATAGTTCTTCTGAGTTTCCTCCGTTGAGTTAGGTAATAGGGGATCACTTTTTTTAACACTAGTCCGGGAACATAGCGTAATGTCACCACTGCGACGTATGTGCCGTGGAGACGGCCCAACACGCACTGGAGGAGTGACCAGCCCGGACGGAGCAGGGCCGAGAGCTATGTGCTATCGTGGGGCACGATCTCTCGTTGCCTACCGAGGTTCGCGCTATGGCAGTAGGCTGCGGAGAGGCTAAGGGAGGCAACTGCTAATCTAGATATCCGCCGCCGGAGACCAGGGTGCAGGAGGCTGGCCTACGCTTGCAACCTTCTCCCCTGATAGTGAGACCCCGAATGGCTGGCATGGGGGCATCTGCTGCTCTATGTGGGGCTCGTGAGTGGTGCTGTGCCAGTGCAACTAGTACATTTAGCCGGACCGGCCTAGCACCCGTGAAGAGGAGGCCTAAGAAAGCCATAGTCGTGGCGGGATCGCGGAAGATTGCGTCTTCGTGTTCTCGTGTCCCCGGCTGATGCGATGGAGACAGTTCCACCTGTCTCTGTTTGTGGGTTTTAGTGGATACCCGTTTCTGACTGGGACTCCCACATACCCCTGCCCCGTCCCCGATCTGGTGGCAGGGGAATCCCTGAATAAAGGATTTTTCCCACTTTAAAAACAAGGCTCGTCCGGAGAAGTACCGAGGACTCAAGCTCTCAAGTATTAAACCTTCGCGTTTCGTCTGGTGAGTGTGGTAACCGGGGCCCCGTTTCTTTTAAGGTTGCCAACGAATCAGCATGTCGACGGCTGTTGTAGATGTAACACACGCGCTTGCCAACCTAAAAACACCCGCCAGAACTCGCGCCACTCGAGCATCCTGCTGGGCGACACGAACACCGCCAAGTCGGTCTCGTGGCGGATGCTGGCCGCCACCATCAGCCGGCTGCACGGCCAGGGCGTGCCCGGCTTCCAGCACGTGCAGCTGCACCCCATGAATCCCAAGGCGCTCACCCTCGGCGAGCTCTACGGCGAGTACAACCTCGCCACGGGCGAGTGGAAGGACGGCGTGCTCTCCGCCATCATGAGGACCGTGTGCCAAGGTGGGGGGCGAGCTGATATAGGCCGGGGGGGGGGGGGGGGGGCAGGCAGTTGAATTTTTCTTTCATGTTAACGTTTCATTGACGAGAATGAAACTGACGACCGGTTTCTGGTTGTCGTAGAAATTAATTTACCAGTTATCAAATAGTTTGTCAAATGCCGTTTGAGTTGCCGAAAGTACTTAATCTGCCAAGGAAATAAACCCAATTTCTTTTATCTTCTTAATCCTCAGACGAATCGCCGGATCAGAAGTGGATCATATTCGATGGACCGGTCGACGCCATCTGGATAGAGAATCTGAACTCAGTTATGGACGACAACAAACTCTTGACGCTCGTCAACAGCGAGAGGATATCAATGCCGTCGCAAGTACGTACACATAATATATCTTTACGTTCTTTTTTGCATGTTTAGCAATGCCTGGCGCCATCTAGTGAGCATACTTTGTAGTGTGAAACACCTTGCAAAGGACATTCAACCGTGAACATTTGTTGCGACATGTTGCGAAATTTCAAGAGCAAATCCCTTGAAGTTTTAGGATGGATTTTGGTTTATTTTTTATTTTTAGCAATTACGTTTTTTCTGTTTTTCTTGTATGACGTAAATCTCAAGTAGTAAGTAAAAGTAGTTATAACATCTGGACGCGGAGTCGAGCTGTATCTAGCTAAGGAAATCTTCACTTCGTTCTCTCTTCTTTCCTTATTAGTCTCGATTGTTTTTTGTGTCTCACGTTATTACTTATAAGTAATGATATATATGTTTTATTTATCTGTGTATATATTTTTTTTAATAGCTTATGGATGCCAGATCGATGCAGACCAGACAGGATCAACATTTACGTTTCAGTGTTTCTTTTGCCAAAGGAAGTTGCCTGGAAGAAATTTCTTTTAGTAATAAGGCCGCCCATTGTATCCATCACTTCTACATTAAGTTTTAATTTTGTTTGTTTTTATTTTTGGTGTGCAGTAAAGTATATTAATTTATTCATTAATTTCTTTGGTCAATCTTTAACCTTTTAATTTGTTCACCGTAGCATTTTACATTTTACATATGGAACTACAATGTATCCAAAAATCCAAAGCAATCCTGTCTAAATAACCGCCTTGGTACTTCCATTAGCCGAGCTCGTTCGTACTACCGCCGTTAACGTTATGCTGAGAGGTCCCTCGGTCCGTCCAGGTGTCCCTGCTGATAGAGACCCTGGACCTGTCGGTGGCGTCCCCGGCTACCGTTTCCCGCAACGGCATGGTGTACAACGACTACCGCGACTGGGGCTGGTGGCCTTACGTCAACTCCTGGCTCGACACCGTGGATGACCTGGAGTACCACGACATGGTGAGTGAGGTCTTTGGGGGCTAGCTCCAAGGAGCCAGTAGCTCGTTGTTAAATATCTGACTGACTGTGAAAAGGAAAACGTTTTCTGAATCGGTTTGGTCATTTCAGAGATTTTGACAAAAAACTATTGATTTTTATGAAATTGCTTGAGATGAGAATATTGGCAATCTGAATGATGATCTGTCATTATGCTAGAATATTAAATTTAATGCATATCACGATGGCGTTGTGACAAAAGTAATTTTTAAAAAATCAATTGTTCTTTATTTTTTTGTCGGTCGATTTGTCTTAGGCGACCTTGTTAGCACAAGAGATTGTCCTAAAACTACAGGAGTAACGATTAGAATTTGTCCCTTACCTTCCATATCTTACCTTCCTTACCTTCCTTATCAGCATAAGCGATGTTTGGCGACGTAAGTGCATGGTAAAAAGTGGTTGTAAATGAAGATTTTGCCGCAAATGGTGACTGTAGAGAATAAACTCTTGGTCCCTTGATACTTGTCTGCAATCCTAGGGTATATATAGTAAAATATTTGTATCAATTTAAATAGTTTGAAAATGTAGCACAGATCATTGGGAACTCTTTTGTCGGTTTATGCTCATGGAAATCTACAATATCTGACGGGTTGCAACCATTACCACACTCACTAGAGATAACGTGAAACCACATACTCCCACTTCACACTTGTCTTGTGAGGCTGCGGTACATCGCCGGACGAGGCTGCCCATTCGTGCAACAGTTGCTACGCGGTCTGGCACAGTTTAGTTTGGCCAGCACTCGTGTGGGTCTCGGTCTGCCCTCGTCCGAGAGTGCCGGTCCGGTGGCGGGTGGGTATTGAGGGTCGGGGCGCGGCAGCTGCGGCGCCACTTCCAGGCCATCCTGGGCCCCGTGCTGGCGCTGAAGCGGCAGCTGGCGGAGGGCCTGCGCGGCCACGAGCTGAGCGGCGTGCGCGCCCTCTGCCGCCTGCTGCCGCGCGCCGCGCCGCCGCCCTCACCCTCGCCCGACGACGACTTGGAGGTCTTCACCAAGATGCGCTTCCTCTTCGCGTGAGTAGCCCGCCCCTGCTGTGCTGTACGGCGGTAGGGCCACGCAGTTTTCAGCATCGTAGGGAGGGAGGGTGCGGACATCGACAACCCTCGGTAAACCCCTCAGAAGGCATCGTCTGTTTTGTTTATGTGAAAAGTTGCCAAACGAGCAGACGGGTCACCTGATGTTAAGTGAATACCGCCTTCCATGGACATCTGCTACACCCGAGGGTTTGCAGATGCGTTGACAACCTTTTTGGTAATTGGGCTCCGGCTACGTCACTCGCCAGACGAAACGCGGAAGTAGTATACTTCCACTTTACGCCGGTGAGGTCGTGGTACTTACCCGGACGAGCCTGCCCATTCGTGCAAGAGCCGAGGCTGCTGCGTGGCCCTACCGCCGTAAAGAAAATTATTCTGAAAATTCAGAAGCCAAAAGTGATTTTTTCGAGACCTCTTAACCTCTTATTCATATATAATATTTCTTTCGCTCGCGAGTGTAGTTTATGGGCTGGAGATGACACAGCACCAATGTCTATTTTGTGTCCCTTGGGCCAGCCTGATCTGGTCGGTGTGCGCCACCCTGGAGGAGGAGGCGCGCCGCCGCCTGGACAACTGGGTGCGCGAGCACGAGGGCGTGTTCCCCCTCAAGGACACGGTCTACGACTACTACCTGGACGAGCGGCTGAGGCAGTTCCGCCCCTGGGAGGACCGCCTGCCCGACAACTGGCGCTACAACCCCAGGTACGGCCGTCGTGGTGGGGCTGGCTGGGCTTCCACGGAAGTGGGCAGTCTCTTACAATTATGAATACAGCTGCAACTAGGGTTCAGGATGTAAGCCGCGCCGATCCCTATGACTGGCAGCTGACAGAAAGATTGCTGCTACTTGTTAAACTTAACTAGTTAATGTCATCAAAATGTTGGTGTCTGGGATTTTTGGGATCGATTTATTGCAATGGAATTTTAAGCATTTGTAAGTAGCATGGGGTAGTTGGGAATGATAACATATGACTTTAATCATCCAGAGCATTTGCAGAGCTGTGTGGAACAATGTGTTTTAGAACATATTACAATATTGTTTCGTAATGCTACGCATTAGTTAAGTTAAACTTTATAAATTTCTGAGTGAAAATGCGTCTACTTCCTTAGTCTGGGCTTCCATACTATCCTGGTGCCAACGGTCGAGTTCATCCGAGTCCAGGTCATAACCTTGGAATTGCTGAAACAAGGCCATGGAGTGCTGATCGCTGGATCCACCGGTACAGGAAAAACGTTTCTCATCCAAGGCACCCTCTCCCAACTGGACCCGGAAAGGTGAGATATGTACTTCCCCTTCACATCTTACTTTGTCCCCCTATATCTTTCATCTGTGACTTTTTTAACGAAAGGCACTAATGAAACAGAGGGAGACAGAGAGAGAGAGAGAGAGAGAGAGAGAGAGAGAGAGAGAGAGAGAAAATTAGATGTAACAAGGAAGATTTAATATACCAAGTATCTTTTGCAGTAAACTATTTACTTAAATTGTGATGTAATAAACGAAGTTTCTGCTGTGATACGCCCACGCAACTAAGTACCACGGCCTCACAGAAGACCGAAGTGAAGTTGAAGTTTTATACTTCAACATTACGTATGGTGAGTGAGGTAGCCGGGGCGCACTTAAAGTGGCAGCGCATGTACAACCCTTCGGGTGTTGCAAATATCCTGGGGTGGCGGTTATCACTTACCAGCAGGTGAGCCGCCAGCTCGTTTGCAAAAAATATAGGAACACTGGAATAGCTTTGTGACATACGCACATAGCGTTAAACGAAAAAGGTGCCGATTACGAAGTGGAGAAAATAAGTTAAGCCGCCATATTGCCACGTGGTAGTGGATTTGGAAATATAATTGCGCCGAAGAATGTGATTTTTTTATTCCTTCTCGCAGATACAGCAACCAGGTTATAAACATGTCGGCGCAGACCACGGCCGCCAACGTCCAGGACATGATAGAGGCCAGGCTCGAGAAGAGGACGAAAGGGAACTACGTGCCAGCGGGAGGTAAGGCTTGGGGAAAGAGGGGGATAGGGAGGAAATTTTCGTTATAAATAAAGTGGAGAAGTGAGAAGCAAACGCTTCCTGGTATTTGGGATAAGTATTACAAAAAAACCGGCCAAGTGCGAGTCGGACTCGCGCATGAATGTTTCCGTACCATTATAAAAAAAAATGTCTGTTGTATGGTAGGCACACTTAAGTTACTAAAGTTTGGTTTTATTCTCTTTTTAGTATTTATCGTTATAGCGGCAATAAAGATACCATTATCTGTGAAAATTTCAACTGTCTAACTATCACGGTTCATGAGATCTAGCCTGGTGACAGAGAAAGACAGCGGAGTCTTAGTAATAGAGCCCCGTTTACCCTTTGTGTACGGAACTCTAAAAATGGAGAAGTCGAGAGGAAACCCGTCCTGGTATTTGGGAGAAGTATTACAAAAAACACAGCCATAACCGCTTACAACATGATTCACATGCCTGTGCCAATTGCATCTAGGAGGATGATGATGTTTAATTATCGATGGGAACGTCACCAGGCAAGAAGATGATTGCGTTCATGGACGACATCAACATGCCGGTGAAGGACGAGTACGGCTCGCAGCCGCCGCTGGAGCTGGTGAGGCTGTGGCTGGACTACGGCTACTGGTTCGACCGGCAGAAGCAGTGGAGGAAGAACGTCAAGGTGAGCTCGCACTCTGCCTCCCCGATCGTGTGTCACTGTGTGATGACTGAGGAGTGAAGAAGGTATACGTGAAAGATCCTTGATCCGAATTGAACTTGGAATTAAAACATGTTTTATTTAGGACCAGTGCAGTATCCCCATCAAATGAAAATGTGTGCTAGTGCCGATGAAGAAATCTCGTCTCTCTGTCACTCTTAGAAAACTTTATCTGTTGGCTAATAAAGATATCTGTCGTTGTGTACCAATAGATTTACTTGCAGGAGTCTGTCACCACATTCTTATGCAGAGCAGAACCTCCTTCATTTATCGCTTGTCATTTTCATATAAAGAGGAATTTGTCTAAGAATTCTTATTCCAAGTTTTAATTTTATAACCTGTCCACTATTTGCTTGTCTTAAAGGGATTTAAATGGTGAAAAAATTGTTCGGTAAAGCATTTGCTGATATGACGTAGTATTTATATACCTCACATGAAGATAAATTCGTTTGTGCAGCGGTTTTTGGTGCTAGTCTAAGAAGACGAGTGTTTGATCTACGCAGCGGTGAAAGCTTTTGTTGATTTATGTACAAAAGTTTCCACTCATACGGGTTATATGTAACCGGCCGGCGCTGGGCAGGGCATGGTGCTGTGCGGCGCGGCGGGCCCCCCGGGGGGCGCCAGGAGCGAGCTGCCCCCCCGCCTGCTCTCCTGCTTCCACGCCTTCTTCCTGCCGCCGCCCACGCACCAGCAGCTCGTCAACATCTTCGGCACCATGCTGGCGCAGCACCTCGTCGACTTCGACGAGGAGACCAAGACCGTCGGTGGGTACTCGATTGGACTGGGAGAGAGAGAGGGAGAAGAGAACGAGAGACGGGGAGAAGAGGCTTGGACGATTTGATCTTGTTATAATTTCGAGATTTTTCACTGTTTCGGGTATCTCACTTGCGAAAACTACTGTCTCACATTTATAAAATGACAAGACTTACAGCTTACCGCTGAGAATAAATGAGCTCAATGAGACAAAATATCATATGGCATAGCATTATATGGCACAGAGTAAAAAAATCTAAACTCTTTTCGTCTCGTTTAAGTCAAAAGCCATGTCAAAGCTTTTTTGTTTTGATGACCACAGAAAATTCACCCGACCCTGGTCTTTCATGGACATCCACGTATATCTATTAGTTTCGTGTATTCTATACATGTCACATAGTCTTTGTCCTTTAGACGTGTCCAAATTCATAATGATGTACTTTTCGATGACTGAAAAAATGCTACAAAAAATATTTCTACATATGCGAAATATATCTGAATATCTCGACTAGTCTTTGTTTTGGAAAACATTGAAAACATTGACGAAACGATTGGCGCAGTAGGTAATAAACCTGCCTCTTGCAGCAGGGTGTGGGTTCGATCCCCACTACTGAAAAGATATATGTGTAATAAGTATTTATTTAAAAAAGATGTTTAAGTATGTTTTTAGTTCAGTAGCTTGTACAATCTAGTACAGATTGCACAAGCTTTGCTAAGTTTGGGACAAGAGAGTGTTGAGTAATAATGTGTATGTATGTTTATATGTTTTACTGACCACCATAAAAATATAAGTAGTAATGTCGCAAAAATAAAAACTTATGAAGTAGATTCTCCTCACGCATCGAATTGACTGGTAGAGAATGCCAATAGGCATTAAGTCCGAACTTTGTAACCCCTTTTTTAAGGTGATTCCATAAAGAATAAATAAAATAAGGCGGTCAAACAAAATATGTCCCAAATATATAATTATATTATGTTTATAGGTAAAATGGTGCTCTTGGCAACCATCGACATGTTCAACAACATCGTTGCCAAGCTGCTGCCAACGCCGAGCAAGATGCACTATCTGTTCAATTTGCGGGACATCTCCAAGATATTCCAGGTACTTGTAATGGCAACTAGTTTATTACGAACCGATGATTTATTAATTTCATTCAGTTTATAACTTAATACGGGCACACTTTTTTATGTGAGAAGGTGAATGAATGAATGAATGAATGAATGAATACTTTATTGTCCACCACACATAAAAGGATACACAAAATTAACAATAGACAAACAATCAAAGGTGGTAAGCGAGCTGGCGGTCCACCCGATGTTTAGTGATTTACGCCACCCATGGACATTTGCAACACACGTGGGTTGCAGGTGCATCGCCAACTTTTAATAAAGTGGGCCCCGGCTACCTCACTCATCAGACGAAACGCAAATGTGTAACACTTCCACTCCACGCCGGTCTTCGGTTTATTTAATTAAATTGTTTCATTTATTGAAGCAATTTAATTTAGCAGTACAATCACTTATTGATAGTATTTCGACTATCAATGAGTGAGTGTACCGCTCCCATGTTTTCTTGCTTTTCGTCCGCGGCTTCGCTCGCGTTGAAGCTCTTAAATAAATATCGTTCTTTAACCTTTCAACCGTTTACACCATTTTTTTCCAATTAAAAAATATGTGCCTATGTACTTTGTCAGGCTCTAGAGTATCTCTGTACCAAATTTAATTTAAATCGGTTCAGTAGTTTTGGCGTGAAAGCGAGACAGACAGACAGAGTTACTTTCGCATTTATAATATTAGTATGGATAGAAGCATTACAGTTACTTATTGATTGTCGAAACGCTACCACCGGTTCGGAAAAGAAAAGCCACTGACTTGAGAAGAACCGGTGATAGAAACTCAGGTTGAACGAAGATATTTGAATTTTAATTTATCTTTGACTTGTTGTCAACCGCGGCTTCGCCCGCGTGGTCAAAGGGAATTAACAATTAGTTTTTATTATACACCAGAATAAGTCGGCTGAATTTTTTCCTACTTAGTTGACACTTATTACCTATACTTTGGATTCAAACAATATCTTTAAAAATTATAGCTTATGTACTATTGTGATGTATTAGTTACATTATTGTAAAGTTAGGCGTTGAAACTAAAATCTATTCAGCAGTTTTTGTTTGAAAGAGTAACAAACATCCATCCATACATACAAACTTTCGCGTTTATAACATTGGTAAGGTCTACTATGTCCCTGATCATATGTGACCAGGGCCTGTTGCGTAGTAACAAGGACTATCAGAACACGAAGCCCCGGTTCCTCCGCCTCTGGATCCACGAGTGCTTCAGGGTTTTCGGTGACCGTCTGACCGAGGAGAAGTGAGTGCCGTTTGTTCCTTAGAATTTCCTTACCGACTTACTCAATGTAAAGCAGATCTATTATAATGGACGCTTTTAATAGTGCCATTCATCGTGCTGTGTCCGGGCGCTCGCCTTTAACTCGAGCAACCTCAGTTCGACCCCGGTGCCAGCACCAATGAATTAATTTTATATATTTCGAAATTATGTGAAGTTGGCCAATCCGCAGTGGGATCGCGTGGTGGACTATGTCCTGATACCCTCTTTACAGAGGCCTTTTCCTTGCAGTGTGACATTCATAGATTACTTTACTTTACTCATCATCTTCCTACCCTCATCCACGTGAATCATACTGTAAGCGGTTTTAGTTTCTATTATGACAGGTCGCATGCCTGGCGTCAACCCTCATTGGGAAACACACACCCAGACCCAGATCCGGAACAGTTATCTGTGGGTAACACAAATACTTGTCCCGTGTAGAAATCGAACCCACGACCCCCAACTCGGAAGCCAATGGCTTAGCAACGTTGCCGTCGAGCCATCAGCCGACTTAATGCACGCGTTTCATCTAATTTATGTTAGATGATTACTGCCACCCATGAACTAACTATATTAGTGGGGCTGATGCGTTGCCAACTTTTACGAAAGTGAGTCCCTTTTATCACATTGGCCGGGTGAAACGTAAAAGTATAGAACCTATTTCCTGTGCCGTGGCCTCCTCGGCAGAGCCTGCCCATTTGTGCAATTGTAGAAGTCGCTTCATGCCCAAACATAGTCGTCATAATTTCAGCCCGTTCGAGACCACTGCTGGACACAGACACAGACTACCACAAATTGCCATTTACATAATAAACATAGTATAAATTAACATTTTGCACTGTGGCCAGAGACCGCGATTGGTTCATGAACCACATGGGCGATATTTTGGGCAAACACTTCGAGCTGACCTTCCACGCCCTCTGTCCCTCGAAGAGTCCGCCCCTCTTTGGCCACTTCCTCAACCCCTTCGAAGTGTATGACGATATGAACGACCCTGAAGCCTTGAGGAAGTAAGTCTGTTTGTTGAATATGCCTTGTTTTTGTTGACAATATGAATTCTACTTTTTAGGGTTCCGTACTCAAAGGGTTAAATGGGATCCTATTACTAAGACTCCACTGTCTGTCTGTCTGTCCATCTATCCGTCTGTCACTAGGCTGTATCTCATGAACCGTAATAGTTAGACATTTGAATTTTTCACAGATGATGCATTTCTTTTGCCGCTATAACAACAAATGCTAAATAACGGAATAAAAATACAGGCAAAAAGATCTTGTCTGTTGTATGGGCGCCCATACAACAGACAAGATCTTTTTGCCGTTTTTATAGATGATGGTACGGAACCCTTTGTTCACGAGTTTTACTTTAATTTGCATTATCGTCATCACCACCACCGCGGGTGAAAGCCAGTCGTCTCTTAGGTACATCGCGAACCAGCTGGAGGAGTACAACAGCAGCCCGGGCGTGGTCAAGATGGACCTGGTGCTGTTCAAGGACGCCATCGAGCACGTGTGCCGCATCGCGCGCGTCATCTCGCAGCCGAGGGGCAACATGCTGTGCGTCGGGATCGGTACGTCTCCCTAAACCTTTAGCCTTTTTAAAAATGGCAATTCGAGACAGGAACGCAGCGGTTACGGACAGCCTAGCAGAACTCAACATCCAAGAGAGCTCAGACTGCTCTTTTGGGTAACTGCACGGCATTCGGAAGTCTCGGAATGCACGTAGAATAAGGACTAGAATAATTATATACATATATTGTAATACTCCTTGTAGCACTGTTTTATAACAAAAAAAAATATATATATATAAACAAAAAGGAGAAGAATTATAGCAAATAATTACCTTAACGTTAGAGTAAGATTAAATAAGTAACACTGTAACAAATATTAGCATTTAAGTACACTACTTTGTATTACATATAAATTAAATATATAAAAAAAAAAACCTCACTGCTGTAGCTGTAAGTTTTAGTCGATGTAGTTAAGAGAGTACGTAACAACATGCACTGTACTAATTAAATTACGCAACTTTAAAAAAGGTACGGACCAAGTGTAGAACTTATTTAAAAAAAAAAAAAAAAAAAAAAAAAAAAAGACCTTTAACCGCGGCATTGCCACGCGGCAGTCTGCTGTTGCAATAATGGGCAGGGGCTGCAGAAGACCGGGATGAAGTGCAAGTGTTATCCTTGCGCGTTTCGAGCTTTTTCCGTGTCATTGCCACAGTCTACTGTTGCACGAATGGGCAAGTCCGTCCGGGGAAGTGCCACGACCTCCAAAAGACTGACGTGAAGACAGGCAACCGAGGCACGTTTTTTTCTAAAGTGGCAAAGCATTTGTAACCCTGCATTGGGTGTTGCAAATGTACATGGGCGGCGGTTATAGCTTAACATCAGGGGAACCGCCAGCTCGTCTCCCACCTTCTCACATAAAAAATACCAACGCCCTAAAATCCCTTACGCTACCACCATATCCTCCCCTCCCCTCTGATTCCAATCATGTTTCAGAGAAAGATTTGTCGGAAAGAATTGTGACTAATTAAATGTTTTGTTTTATTTTCGTGCATTATCAGCTGATTCTTGGCTATAGTTAAAATTTCAAATATATTTTCTCTAGTCACCTGTAAATTATTTTAAAAAATTAACATTAAAAATCGAGGATATGAAAAATTCGCCTATGTCATTCGAGATGAAGATTTTAAGTATAAAGGTTTTCAAACCGTAGACAAAGCTGATACACGGCTCAATGAACGATGGAAGGGTCACATAACTAGATATAAATGACGTGAGAGTTGCTCTTTGATTGGAACTGTCAATAATTGTTGGATTCAATGAAAATTTATAGGCGGTTCCGGGCGGCAGAGTTTGACGCGTCTGGCGTCTTATATCTGCGAATGTAACTCCTTCCAAATCGTGGTCACAAAGACGTACGGCGTCAAGGATTTCCGTGAGGATCTGAAGGTCATTAATTTATCATATTTATAAAATAAATAAATAAATATTTTAGGACACATTCTTTACACAACGTTCTCTAGTCCCAAACTAAGCAACGCTTGTACTATGGTCTATGGGTACCAGATAACTGATAAACATACTTTTCTTTTGTAAATAAATACATATTATACATATATAAACACCCAGACACTAGAAAAACACTATGTTCATCACACAATATTTTTCCAGTAGTGGGGATCGAACCCACACCCTCTGGCGCAGGAGGAGGCAGGTACACTACCCACTACGCCATTCGGGTCGTCAATCGTCGTCAATATTTATACCAAAAAAAAAATATTGAACGCTTCTTTTCTGTATGATTTTTCCAAATGCATTGTTCACATGAAATAGAAAAGCTTTAAAATGTTTCCGCAATTTTAACTGTTTGAGAATCGACTGTAGAAAATGAGCACATCTGCGAAGCCGGGGCGAATCGTTAGTCTTATACTTTTTGTTTTAGCGTTTGTGATTGGTACATATGTGTGAAGTAGAGGATTTACGGTGGTAGAACCAAGCAGCAGCCTCGGCTGTTGCACGAATGGGCGGGCACGTCCGGGTAAGTACCACGACCTCACAGAAGACCGGCGTAAAGAACGCGAAAGTATTTGTGATACTTCAATCACAAATACTTTCGCGTTTCGTCTGGTGAGTGAGGTAGCCGGAGCCCAATTTCCAAAAAGGTTGTCAACGCATCTGCAAAACCTCAGGTGTAGCAGATGTCCATGGGCGGCGGCATTCACTTAACATCAGGTGAACCGTCTGCTCGTTTGGCAACTTTTCACATAAGCGCGAGTTGTATAGGTGTTACTAATTTTGTTTCTTTTTTACTTAATTAGTTTGTTTGAATTTTTTTTTATTATGGATTTTGTTTAACGTTAATATTTTTTCATGATTATTGGCAGTAGCGTTAGACGTGTGTTCATTTATTGTCGCAATGGTAACGACACGCTGTATACGGGGGGCTCTTCTAAGTGTATCCTTTTTTTTTATTAAATTCTAATCATAAATAATGTGATGTAAAAAATGATAGATATTTAAAATCACTCTTAAGTAATTCATTACATTCATTTGAACTTATCTCAAAAAGTGCGTGATTTATACGCAACTCATTTATTTTACGCGCGATCATTCATAACTAACACGCGCACAAGTTCGTGCACAGTAAAATTTAGGTATTTATGAATGACTATCGCATTGTCAACACGTTCTGTTTTTTAGGTAATAGAATGGCATTTTTTTTTGAAAAAAAAAACTTTGTTTTTTATTTCAATAAACGATTATACTACCGAGTCTGAACCTCCTGCGTAAATTTGGGCACTTCTCAAAAAATCTCCCTGTATAGGCTCCTGCATCGCTTTAAATGTCCTACCTTCTATATCTTTATCAATAAATAATACTTGCACTGATCATCACTTCCATTTAGCCCTTTAGTAGATTGATTTTAAACAGTAAACTTGACCTTTGACTTATTTATTTATTTATTTATTTAAAATTTATTGTTTACACCTCAACTTGAGGCTAAACAAAAGGCAAACTTAATGCTAATAAGCATTCTCTTCCAGTCAACCCTGGGAGTAGAGAAAGTTTGAAGCAGGTGCAAAACTAGTAAACTTATCTAGTGTTGCTAGTTATATTGTTACCTAAAGAAGTGATGCTATCTTCACCGTCCTTTTCGTATACATCAATGACATGCATTTTTAATCTTATGAGCTATGTAACAGTTTATTATATACGATGTGGTCGTACGTAAATAAGTGCGATATAATTTAGGTTCTGTACACGAGCTGCGGCGTCGACTCCAAGAAGACCACATTCATATTCAACGACACGCAAATAGTCGAGGAAAGCTTCACCGAGATCATGAACAACTTGCTCAGCAGCGGGGAGATCACCAACTTGTACAAACCGGACGAGTTTGAGGATGTAAGTCCGGTTGCCAAGGTCGGGAACTGTTTGTATCAATTCACTCGTTTATGATTATATTTTGCTTCATCACTCTGGAAACTATTCAATTGTCTCGCCACTACCGCTTTAAGTTTGTTCACGCGTACATCTGAACACATCTTGGGCTGCCTCGTCTCTTGTTTTATACTATTATAAAAAAAATTCAAATATCTCTTTTTTAAACTGTGGTAGAGCCACGCAACAGCTGTTGCACGAATGGACAGGTCCGTACGGGTAAGTACCACGACCTAACATAAGACAGACTTGTAGTACAGTGTGTGTAGTATCCGACGCCCACTTTATTAAAAGGTGGCAACGCATCAGCAACCCTCCGGGTTTTGCAAATGTCCATGGGCGGTTATCATTTAACATCAGGTGAACTGCCAGTCGATTGCCACCTTCTCACATTAAAAAAAACCCTTGATTGTACACCAAAAACGTAAAGTGCAAATTGCAAAAGAATATAAAAGGAAGTACAATAGGCGTCCTCATCGCTCAGAAAGCGGTTTCTTTCAGACAACTTCTTCTAAAAGATTTCTTTCTAAAGGGATATAAAGAAGAGAGCAGAGTTAGGTGTACATTTAATCAGTAATAACGAAAACAGAACCGACTTAAAATATCCGTATGGGAATTTGCGTTTGCAGATCAAGCAGGCTTTGGAGAAGCCGATGAAGGCGGCGAACGTTCTGCAGACGAACGAATCCGTCTACCTGTTCCTGGTGGACAGGGTGCGAGGCAACCTTCGGATCGTCCTCTGCTTCAGCCCCATCGGGGAGGAGTTTCGGTGAATAACTCTGTGACCACAGCAGTAGAAGCGAGAAGTGACAAGTAGAGTACCAGCCTAAAATAAAATCAAATCAAAGCATTTACTCGTCGAAGTACGAGATATACATTTCATCAATCGATAATCATTTTTTAAATCTATCACCGTTTCGTTATTAGGTTCCTCTAACGGAGAAGAAATAGACGAAAGAAACTCCGTAGGCTTTTTTTTTCAAACGATTACATTGTTATAGAAGTCCCACTGCTAGGCAAAGGTCTCCTCTGTACACGGTAACTGATAAACGTGTTTAAACATAATTGCACTTCTAAACAGCGTGTCTCTGCATTAATCCGGTGAAAGTAAAGTTCCAGCCTATATCTATGTCCCGTTGCTGGGTAATAGCATCCTTTATAGAGAGGGTAGGACATAGTCCACCACGCGACCCCACGCGACCCCATGGCGGTCTTCACATATCTTTGGAGTATTATTTTTGCTGTTATTTAAAAAATATGCAGGTTTCCAAAATATGATGTTTTCCTTCACCGCCGAGCACGTGATAAGTCAGAACTTAAAATTGGTGCTGGCACCGGGGTTTGAATTCGGGTTGTTCGTGTATATTGAATTAAAGCAAGCATCTGTACACTCAGCTATCACATTGCTCAATAGTGATAACTATGAATTAAGCTGATGATACTTCCTCTGTATTTGCCTCTGTCTCTTTCTACCTTGCATGTATCAGAATTTCCACACTGATATCAATGTAGCCGTAAATGGTGAACAAATTAGCCAAGTAAAAGCCTTAAGTTCTATCAAGCGCCATTATTTTTACTTAAGATTATATTTTACTTAAGATTATATTATTTTACTTAATATTAAACATTAAAATTTGTAGAAAGAGTACGAAAAGTTTTTCTTTAGTCACTAAGGTAAAAGGCTGATTGTCACCCCAACTAAAATCTCAACGTCTTTTATCTTCATTGATTTTTGGCATTTGAAGGTTTAGGGCGCGAATCCCGAAGACGTGGGTTCGATTCCCACAGCGGCGAAACATTTTTATTACTATTTCTTAAATTTAAATTTTAAAGCGTTTAATTTTAAAAGCTACTTTTACTTAAATTTTAAAGCGCCATTTTGTTCATTTTTTGTCTGTTTATTCGTCCAGTAATCGCATCCGCCAATATCCTGCCCTGATCAACGCCACCACCACGAACTGGTTCCTGGAATGGCCGCGGGAGGCGCTGCTGGAAGTTGCCTACAAGTTCCTTGAGGGCGTGGAGCTGCTTGCCTCAATCACAGGACAAAGGGTAAAGGACTACCTACGTCAAATTACTTTTTTAACTTTTTTTTTATGTGAGGTGACAAAAGAGCTGGTGGTTCGCCTCGTGTTAAGTGCCACCCATTGATATTTGCAACACCCGTAGGATTGCAGATACTTTTCCGTGGGAAAGATCCCTTATGGATCCCCTGCCACTGGATCGGGGGAGTAACAGGGGTATGTGGGAGTCCCACTAAGAAACGGGTGCCCACTAAAAACCCACGTTGCATCTGTCTCTGTCGCATCGGCCGGGGACACGGAGACACGTGGACGCAATCTTCCGCGACACCGGCGTGACTATGGCCTTCTTGGGCCTCCTCTACTACGGTGCATCACTTAACTAGACCTGCCAGAGAAGAACCGGCAAGAAACCCCGCGGTCTTGCAGTGATGTATTGAGAGAGGCACCACCGGCACGTCCCCGTGCAGGTGAAGCGCAAGGAGTCGCTGGTGGAGAGCCGCGAGGAGGTGCTGCGCGCGTCGGTGGCCTCCATCATGTCGCTGGTGCACTCTTCCGTGGGCAGCCACTCGGCGCGGATGTGGCGCGAGATGCGCCGCGCCAACCACGTCACGCCCACCAACTACCTGGAGCTCGTCTCCGGCTACAAGGAGTGAGTGGCCCCCTCTCTCTCGATCTCTCGTGTTGATAGCACGACCATGTTGATAGCACGACCACATCGCGCTCACCAACTACCCGGACCTGGTCTCCGGGTAAAAGGGGTGAGCGCCTCGCACTGTCGATCTCTCTCTCCCGCCCTCGTGTTGATAGTACAACCACGTTGCGCCCCCAAACAACCCGGAGCTGGTCTCCGGCTACAAGGAGTGAGTGTCTCTCTCTTTCACTCATTCTCTGTATCCCCCTCTCTCGTCTCGCTAATCCAAGTAGATCGCGGTTACCCCACTCACCTGACGAAACATATATAAATAATGCTTCCACTTTACATTAGTCTTTTGTTAGGCCGTGTTACTTCCCCGGATGAGCCTGCCCATTCGTAAATATTAAAAGTTGCTACGTGGTCCTACCGCAGTTTAGTTGTGAATGTCTCTCTCTCTCTCTCTCTCTCTCTCTCTCTCTCTCTCTCTCTCTCTCTCTCGCTCTCTCTCTCTCCCTCTTTCCTTCTGATAGCTCCGCTCAGAGTTAATCAGGGCGCTGTGGCGGGACGTCTTTAATCTCGCTTGTGACAAATTTTATCAAGAAACGATTGTTTAGGTTTTCGGTGCTTGTTGATGTTATATTTTCGTTTGTAAAACGTCTTAAGATCAATTTGTGTTGATACATTACGATTATAATTAAGTATAAACATCATGTTTCTTGCGTGATGATAAGGACGTTGCAAAGATGAGTTTGATGAGTTTTTAATATAAATCTTGAAATATAGGGAGAAAATGCCCAAAGACAAAATACATTGGAGTTTGGTAAGATGTAAAGGTAATAGGAGAGTTGTCAAATTGAGGCCAATGTCTTCCACTGTTGTGAAGGAAGGAGGGTGTTACAACATGCACATATTTTAAAAGTGATTTCTTTTACACGCTGAGCTTTCTGTTCTGTTCTATTCTTTCAAGTTTCTGTTCAAGCTTTCTGTACTATTCTGCAGGATGCTCAAGAATAAAAGGGCCGAAGTGGCGCTGCAGGCAAACAAGCTCAGGAACGGTCTGGGAAAAGTGGAGGAAACCACTAAGCTGGTGGGTCAGATGTCCGAAGAGTTGGCTACGGCTAAGGTATCTTTCGATATTCTATCTATCTGTAGATTTGGTCACTGGAGGGCGGATTTTGACGTAAGAATACTGAGTCTTAACCGAGTCCACGACCCCAGGTGCAAGTGGCGGAGTACACGGAGCAGTGCGTGGAGTACATGGGCGTGATAAACGTCCAGCAGCGCAACGCGGACGAGCAGCAGCGCAGCGTGGCGGCGCGCAGCAAGCGCACCATGGAGGAGGAGGTGCAGTGCAAGCGGCTGGCCGACGCCGCCATGCGCGACCTGGCCAGCGCCATGCCCGCGCTCGAGGAGGCCATCAAGGTGGGTGGCTGCCTCTGGCAGAAGGAGATGGAGATGGAGATGGAACTGTTCACAAAGGACGGTCTGCCGCTACACAGTTCTGAGGTAGCAGCTATCAGTTTGTAGTGAAAAAGAGCTCGAGAAAAAGGCAGCTCTTTTGACCTTGGTAGTCATTCAAATCATCAGCATTGACCAACGCATCTCACTTGTGCCTAGTGAGATGCGTTGGTCAATGCTGATGATTTTGGTTGTGCTTGGGATTTTGAGTGTAATCAAGTCATAACCAGCACCCATTGACAGTCGCCACACCCGTAGATGCGCTGTTCACTTTTTAATAAAGTTGGCCCCGGTTATCTCATTCACTTAAGGAGATGCAGATGTATAATACTACCACTTCACGCCGATCTTCTGGGAGGTCGTGTGATTAACAGGAGGACCTGCCCATTCGTGCAACAGTTGAAACTGCTGCGTGAAATGAGAAAGGAACTTGAGAAATTCAAGATGTATGTATAAAGGTTTCTGATAGCAACGTTGTAGTGGTTCGTGGGTTCCAATCTAGAACGTCGCACGCCTTTGTCTATTGTTATCTAAGTATTGTCACAAGTTGTGATTAGTTGTGCCCTGACAGGCTTTGGACGCCCTGAACAAGAAGGACATCACGGAGGTGAAATCCTATCCGAAGCCCCCGCAAAAGGTCGAGATGGTCATGGAGGCTGTGTTGATTCTGCTGCAGGTAAGAATGCTTCGCCGCCAGTACAAATAGTACCAACTGAAAAGTGTTAAATATGCACTTGCAGTTATAGTTTTTGATTAAAACGAAGTGTAATTGTTAGCTTTTTGATTTTTTTTATGTGAGTAGGTGGCAAACTAGCTGGCGTCTCGTCCGATGTTAAATGATACCCGCCATTTAGGTACATTTGCAACATGCATAGGGTTACAGATGGGTTGCCGCCTTTTATTAAAGTGGCTCGGCTACCTCACTCGCGTGGGTCACATTGGCCCATTTTCTAACGGAACCTACTATTCTGCCGTGTGCAGAAGGAGCCCACGTGGGCGGAGGCGAAACGCCAGCTGGGAGACCAGTACTTTCTGGACCGGCTCCGCGACTTCGACAAGGACAACATCTCGGACAAGACGCTGAAGAAGATCGGCACCTACACCGCGAAGCCGGACTTTGAGCCCGAGATTGTGGGCACGGTGTCGCTGGCGGCCAAGTCGCTGTGCCTCTGGGTGCGCGCCATCGAGAAGTACGGCAAGGTCTATAAGTGAGTAGTACCTGTTACAGTTATTAATATCCTAGTCTACATACATAATTCAGGACATATTTACACAACTCTGTATAGTCCCAAACAAAGCAAAGCTTGTACTTTAGATATTAGGTAACTGATAAGCATACCTTTTTTTGTAAATAAATACTTGTTGTACCCAGACATCAGAAAAACACTACGTTCATCACACAATATTTATCATATCACCAGTAGTATGGATCGAACCCACACCCTCTAGAGCAAGAGGCAGGTGCACTACCCACAAGCCAATCGGGTCGCTACGCTTTACCAACTTTATTGACTGTCAAAACTTATTGAAACAATTGCGTTTGAATAAATGAATCAAGGTCTCCAGCCATTATTCTTCATTATCAAAGATGAAATTTGCAAATGAGAAGATGAATAGATTGAATCATACTTCATTCTATTTGTCTACAGACAAAAAAAAAAACCGGCAGTGATTTAAAAAGAGGTAACTATAAAGAGATACGTGTATGGCTGTAAAAATTTAATTTTCCTTACTCAGTGTTGGCAGTGACAATTTCGTCCGGGACCTTAAATACGGAGCTGCGGTGTATTATTTACAAATCGTTTAGGATCGTGAAACCGAAGAAGGAGCGTCTCGAGGAGGCGCTGGAGTCGTTGCGGATGAAGCAGCAGATCCTGGCCGAGGCGCGGGCGAAGCTGAAGGAGCTGAGCGAGATGATAGCCCGCTTACAGAAGGAGTACGACGAGAAACTGGCCCAGAAGGAGGAGCTGGAGAGGAAGTCGAAGATGCTGCAGCTGAAACTGGAGAGGGCGGAGGCCCTCATAACTGGGCTGTCTGGTAAATTTTCTCGGTCCATTAGTGGTTCAGACTGTTTTTTTAAATTCAGAACTGGCCAGCACTTGACTGCCATCTCACCTGATGGTAAGTGGAGATGCAGTCTTTGATGGTGAGCGTGCTAGCTCAGTAAAAACCTATACACTCTTGCCTTGAAGACGCCTACAATGAAATTGGATGGAAGGACGGACGCCGGTAGGTTGTTCTATTCCTTAGCTGTACGGATGATAAATGAAAAAACGAATCGCTTTGTTCTTGTGTGTGGAACGCCGACAGCATAAGTGTGGAGCCCCGCTGAACGCCTAGTTGTCCGATGATGGAAAGGGACTGGAGCAATCAGTTCGTGCAACTCCGACGCACACTGTTCAAAAGGCATCCTGTAGAAGACCGAGAGGCTGGCTACTCTGGTTTTAACCAAGACTTTTGGTAGGGCCATGCAACAGCTTCGGCCGTTGCACCAATGAACAGGCCAGACTGTCCGGGTAAGTACCACGACCTCACGGAAGACCGGCGTGAAGTAGAGTTGTGAGTGAGATAGCCGGGGCCCACTTTATTTAGAGGTGGCAACGCATCTGAAACCCTACGGGTGTTGCGAATGTCAATGGGCGGCTGTTATCGCTTAAAAAAAAGCATCAGTTCGATGGTGCGTGGTCCAAAGGCGAGAGGGAGCGATGGGAGAAGACGGTGGAGCGGCTGGACCACGAGTTCGACAACCTGCCGGGCGACTGCCTGATCGCGACGGCCTTCGTGGCCTACCTGGGCCCCTTCGTCTCGGAGTACCGCGAGGAGCTCATGGACGAGTGGTTCCGCGAGGTGGGTGGCCGCCATTCCCCAAGACGCGGGTTCGATTCCCGCGCCGGACTTCAATACGCTTGTTTAACTGATCTAAATAAAAAAACGGCCGAGTGCGAGTCGTTTCCGTACCATTTTCTTTAAAAACTGTATGTGAGCCCCACTTCAATATTTTTTATTCTGTTTTTTTTTGTATTTGTTGTTATAGCGGTAACAGAAATACATCTTTTGTGAAAATGTCAACTGTCTAACTATCGCAGTTCATGAGATAAAGCCTGGATGATGAGTGTGATGATCATGAGGCTGGTGATCTGTGGGTCACACTAATGTTTGTCCCGTGTGGGAGTCGAACCCACCAACCCCGACGCCGAAGCCAATACCTTGGCGACTGTGCCACGGAGTCCTTCATCATTTTAGGTTATAAGATATTGGATGATATTTTTGAACCATGACCTGTCTGTTGCTGTGTAAATGTCTGTTTCTCAACAACGTTTTTTTTTTTGCTTTTTTAAGGTTTACAACGAGTCCGTACCGGTGACTATGGACTTGAGCATGAAGAATTTCCTCCTCGACGATGCCACACTCAGGGATTGGAACTATATGGGTCTACCTGGTACGTTACAACTTAGTAGTTCCAATTCTTGGTTACGTACAAAACTGTGCTCTGTATCATTGTTAAGTTCTTGTTTTTATTTATCTGGGACCACCGGTCGATATTAATTCTGAGCTTTTACACCAATTTGAACGATATTTCAATCGAATAGATTATAAAGCTTTTTAAACAAGTACAATTTTATTATCAAAAAACCCGACTTCAAATATCTTACCTTCCATGCATTTTCTATTTGAGTTTTTTTTGTATGAGAAGGTAAGGCAAACGAGCTCGCGATTCACGTGATGTTAAGTAACAACTGCCGCCAATGGACATTTGAAACACACTTTATAATACGGTGGCAATGCATCTGCAACCGTACGGGTGTTGCAGAACCGCCAGCCCGCTTGCCAATTACATAAAAAAACGAAGAAGTTAATGACAGTACAACAATTACTATACAATTGACCACAACACCGTCAGACGACAACTTCAGCGCGGAGAACGGCATAATCGTCCGGCGCGCCACGCGCTGGCCCCTGGCCGTGGACCCCCAGGGCCAGGCCCTCATTTGGATCTCGAGGCTGGAGGAGAAGAACGACATTCAGGTACTTATAGTGAAACTATCAGCCTATGCATGTCCCACTGCTGAGCAAAAGCCTCCTATGTACAGAGGGGGACAGGGCATAGTCCACCACGCGGCCCCACTGCGGATTGGCGGACTTCACATATCTTCGAAATAAGTTTTTTTCTGTTATTATTTCGAAAATATGCAGGTTTCCTCACGATGGTTTCCTTCACCGCCGAGCACGTGATAAGTCATCACTTAAAATGAACAGTTTCATCGGAGCCGACACTTTCATTCTGGTTTGAACTCTCTCGGCTCTATCGGCGGACTTCTGCGTATTAACAGTCGTTTAACTTTATCAAGAGCTGCTTACTTCAACACTTGAGAGAGTCATTAATGAGTTAATACACGTGCTACTCTATTCACGACGGACCGGTTGAGTTTCACCAGTCCATCGTTTGACTCGGAACAGATCGTGGACTTCGGCCAGCCGAACTACCTGAAGATAATGGAGTCGTGCCTGTCGGGAGGCAAGCCGATACTGATACAGAACGTGGGCGAGGTGCTGGACCCGTCGATCGCGCCCATTCTGGACAAGGCGGTGGTGAGGATCGGCTCCGCGCTAGTCATCAAGTTCAACGAGAAGATGGTGCCCTACGACACCAGTTTCCAGCTGTACCTCACTACGAAGCTGGGTGAGTTTGATCTCTCGTGGCCGGCCCCTTTTAGAGGATAAAACGGGACAATATTACTAAGACTCCGCTGTCTGTCTGTATGTCCGTCTGACACCAGGCTGTATCTCATGAACCGTGATAGTTAATTTAATTTTGTTTTTTTTTCTAATATTTACAGATGTTGCGGCTAAAACAACAAATACTACATAATCCCATACGGCAGACGAGATTTTTTTGTCGTTTTTATAGATATTGGCACGGAACCTTTCGTGCGCTAGCCCGACTCGCACTTGGCCGGTTTTTTTTCTAACGTTGTAATAATCCTTTAAAGATCCCCTGCGACCTCTCAGATGACCGGCGTGTAGTGGAAGTGTCATACTTCTGCGTTTCGTCTGTTGAGTAAGGTAGCCGGGGCCCGCTTTACTGAAAGTTGGCAACGCATTTGCAACCTGCGGGTATTGCAAATGACCATGGACATAGGTTATCGCTTAACATCAGGCAAACCGCCAGCTCGTTTGCCATTTTCTTACATAAAAAACAATATTTTGTCTGTTTGGGCTCTATCACAGTCGAATAAGGATAACCTAGTGACAAACGCAGTACAAATACAATTACTGAAGAACTTGATCCGAAAAAAAAAAAAAACGATAATTTATAGGGACTGGAGAACTGTCAAAAAGAAAATCAACGAATGTACAAAGTACCCGTTTAAACATTTATCGAGCTTTAGCCTGTCCAACTGTATTCGCTAAAGTAAGTAAGAAGGGTTCCGTCGGCGTCGCAACTCGCAGGCAACCCGATATACACGCCCGAGGTGCTGACCAAGACGACCATGGTGAACTTCGCGGTGAAGGAGCAGGGCCTCACCGCCCAGCTGCTGGGCATCGTGGTGCGGAAGGAGAAGCCGCAGCTCGAGCAGATGAAGGACACGCTGGTGCTGAACATCGCCAGGGACAAGAAAGTTCTGGTGGGTGTCACCGTCATCGTCATATAAGCCTGTTCGAGTCCTACTCACTACCGAACAAAGTATCGGGAAAATAATTCCTTTTCGGTTGTGTATATCAATTTTGGTTTCTTCGCAGTGAAGTGTGATCTCTTTTCACTCTGTTTTGATGGCCCGTGTCTTTGTTAAGGTTTACGAAGAAAGGTGATGCAGGTGACCCTTGTAGACCCTTGATTTTTTATTGTTCTTCAAGAATTCAAATTTTACGACAGTATTAACGAATAGATTGAATAAAAGACGGTGAATTAATTCGGGATGTACAGCTCCAGTGACGAGCAATAACTAGTCACCTCCTCTCGTTTGTGACCTATCTAGGCATATTTACAACCAGGTTGACCCATAACATTGCCAGATACAAATCTGACAAAAGAAGCGTGGATAGAATTTTCAATGCCAAGCTATCTATTCGATAGGCGGTTCTCAATTGAGACCATGATAGATTTTTTGATTATATAAATAAATACAAACTAATCGATATTAGAAATTACAGAAGGAAATCCCTAAAGAGATAATTGGTTTCAATCGCAGGTGGACCTGGAGAACGACCTGCTTCGCATCATGTACGAGTCGCAGGTGCCGCTGCTGGAGAACGAGGAGCTGTTCCTGACGCTGCAGATCTCGCAGCGCACCTCGCTGCAGGTCAAGGAGGCGCTGCTCACCTCGCAGGAGACGGAGAAGGAGATCGACGGCGCGAGACAGGTGATGCTCGACGATCATCATCAGCCGCTAGAAGTCCACCTTTGAACATAGGACTCCCCCATGGAACGCCACAACGAACGGCACTTTGCCATTTGCATCCACCGGTTGCCCGCGACTCTTACGATGTCGTCGTTCCACCTAGAGGCAGGCCTTCCGACGCTATGTCTTCCGGTTCGTGGTCGCCACTCGAGAACCTGGTAATCAACACTGCATTTTATTTCTTCCTACCTTCTTCTTTTCATCAGAGATGTCTGGAAAAAGCTGGAGGAGGCCTATACCCGAGAAGGGGTTTCAATCAATTAACAGCACGAATAGCGTTTGAAGCAAACAAATATTAATTCATTTATTTATCAATTTGATTAGTACATATTAAAAACATTTTCATTATGTATAACTGTAAAATTGTTTGTAACATATCTAAAATGCATGTTATGATAATCTGTAGATTGGAAATAAACGGGCTTTATTATTATTATTATTACCTTCTTGTTATTTGACAAGGTGGCAACCTTGCTGGCGGTTCACCTGATGTTAAGCGGTAACCGCCGCCCATGGACATTAAGGCCCGTGTGGTTGGTACTCCATTCTATGTGAAATTCTCCGAAGAAATAGCAAAACGGTTGAACAAAAGTAAACTACCTGTTCAAGTCTTCAACAGGATCCTGCCACTCAAAGTTCCACTTGACAGTGGCAGAGTGGTAGGGCCATGCGACAGCTTCCTGTTGCACAAAGGGACAGCTCCGTCCGGGTAAGTACCACGACCTCACAGAAGACCGGCATCAAGTAGAAATGTTGTACTTCTGCGTTTTGTCTCGTGAGTGAGATAGCCGGGGCCCACTTTGTTATGAGGTGGCAACACATTTTTTTTTATGCGAAAATTTGCCATACGAGCAGACGGGTCACCTGATGTTAAGAGAATACCGCCGCCCATGGACATCTGCTACACCCGAGGGTTACAGATGCGTTGACAACCTTTTGAAAATTGGGCTCCGGCTACCTCACTCACCAGACGAAACGCGAAAGTATTTGTCATACTTCCTCTTTACGCTGGTCTTCTGTGAGGTCGTGGTACTGACCCGGACGGGCCTGCCCGTTCGTGCAACAGCCGAGGCTGCTGCGTGACCCTACCACCGTTAAAAACATCTGCATCCCTACTCCCTACCTACCCTGCAAATGTCCATGGGCGGCGGTTATGACTTAACATCAGGTTAACCGCCAGCTCTCTTGCCTTATTTTTACATAAAAAAGCGCAGAGGCTACTAATGATTTTACTCTATCAGGGTAAGTCATTAGCTTTGTTAAGTGACCCGCAAGACCAACTGCCAATTGATGAATCATTCTTTATTCCGGCCTCAAAGCGGTGTAGCCCTGGATGTGGCCTCTACAGTGGAAGCTTTACTGCTCTACCACATGATAACGTTTTCTTTCTACCCTAACGCGATTCAAGGCGTGAACGTTTCTCGCAATCTTTCTTTCTTTATTGTTTTTTTTAAAAAAAAAACATTGCCCTCACTTTAGGATAACATTATCCTGTGTTGTAAGGACGTTTTACAAACATAAATTGCACGAGGACAAACACCAGATGCGAAACAACTATCTGTGGGTCGCACAAGTAGTTGTCCCGTGTGGGAATCGAACCCACGACCCCCGACGCCGAAGCCAATACCTTGGCAACGGCGCCACGGAGTCATCGGCAACTTCCTCGCCAGGGCTACGTGCCAGTGGCGGTGCGCGCTTCGGTGCTGTTCTTCGCGCTGAACGACCTGTCCAGGATCGACCCCATGTACCAGTTCTCGCTGGACGCCTACATCGAGCTGTTCATGTACTCCATCGACCGCAGCCAGAAGAGCAGCGAGCTGGAGGAGCGGATCAACTATCTGAACGAGTTTCACACATACGCCGTGTACAAGTGAGATCTTCTTTGACGGTTCGCTTGTTGTTTTGCCTGTCTCTTGCTCCAGAGGGTGTGGGTTCGATCCCTACCATTGGAAAAATATTGATGATGAACATAGTGTGTATCTTGTATCTGTTTATTATCCATAATACAAGCTTTGCTTAGTTTGGGACTAGATAATGTCGTTTAAATAAAAAGTGTGTTTTGTAGACACATCCGTGTTACTAAAGTAATATTGGAAGTGCCAGAAACGCTACCCATAAAGACAGTAATGGAAATTTAGGTCCATATGGGGCGCCTAAAAAATATTTGGCTCACAAACCAGTCGAAATATTGCGACATTTGAATGAGGCACAGAACTGACTGCATAGAAAATGTCTTTGCAATAAATATTTAAAGTTAAATTTAGATTAAGGCTTGTGTCCGTGTACACGTGCTGATTCTCTAAAGTCTTTTATCCAAAGATTGAAATTTCATCTTTTCATTTTCCCAACGCATGCCTGAACATCTATCAAGATAAATTGATATATTCTGATAGATAATAAAATAAGGTATTATCTATATAAATGTAAAGATTGTATAAAGCTGCGAGGAGAGTAGTATTCTACATAAAATGCCTGTCGTATGAAATCTGTGCAGTATTTGATCTCTACCAGCCACTGTTTCTTTTTGGCTTTTTTAACGCAATATGTTATAGTCCATTTGAAAGAGTCTGGAGCGATCAATTCATTTGCATAGTGTGTTATCATTTAAATAATCGCGAATATTATAATAGCCTTCAATAAACAATTTTTTTAAAATCTAGCAACTAATAAATTTTGAACGTTCTCTGGGATTTTGTTGTAGAAATTATACATTGTCCCATATAAGAATCACTTATCGTAATCGGTATAGTTTAGGGTGGAATTAATTTGCCTGTTCCTAGTATTTATTAGACCACTATCCCAGTCGGCCGTGAGCGTTATGACCTTGGGGCTTGATAGAAACGCTTAAGACGTGCTACGCTCACAACCGCGACTCCGCAAGGCGTGCAGCTCGGATTGTAACTTTGCAGGAACACGTGCCGCGCCCTGTTCGAGCGGCACAAGCTGCTGCTCTCGTTCCACATGGCGTCGAGGATCCTCTTCCAGGCCGGCAAGCTGAACATGAACGAGTACCTCTACCTGCTCAAGGGCGGCGTCGTGCTGGACCGCTCCGAGCAGCCCGACAATCCTACCAGTGAGAAGAGATTCGTTTTTTTTCTGAAGTTTTGTAATAAAGGAGAAGCCCGCCGATCTCTATCGCGCCGCAATCCTCAAGGATCTTAAGGATTGCGGCAGTCCTTAGAGATATATATTAAAGTTTTTTTATCTAATATTTTGCGAAAAGATACGTGAGTTATAGTTATGGGTGTGTTATAATTTTCATTAAACTTTGCTCTTACGACATCCATCTACCTGTCTATCTTGTTGATTCTGCGAACTGTCTGTTGTCTATTTTAATTTTCTCGACGTCTGTTTGAATCGGTATTAGCTCATATTTTTTAAGAACATATATTTCCAATTGCGGACATATATTATCAATACTGTGGGAGGGCCACGTAACAGCTTCGGCAGGTGCACGAATGGGCAGGTCCGGATAAGTACCACGACCTTACAGAAGACTGGCGGAAGAGTCATACTTCTGCATTTCGTCTGGTGAGTGAGGTAGACCGGGCTCACTTTATGGTTGGCGGTTACTTAGTATCTGGTGAACCTTGCCATCTTGTCACATACAAAAAAAATTACTTGTGAGTCGGAAAAAGGCAATAATTTCTGTATTGAGTGCTTATATATGTTTGCCTCACCCTCAGACTGGATACCGGACGAGTGCTGGGACAACATCACGGAGCTGGACAAGATCGCCGGCTTCCACGGGCTCGTGGACTCGTTCGAGGTGATGTCCAAGGAGTGGCGCGAGTGGTACCTCACCGCCGAGCCGGAGAGCCAGCCGCTCGTCGGTGAGTTTCGAGGAATTTGTTTATGTAACCCCTGGGTGTCGTCAAGGGCGACTAAAAGGGGAAGTAGCCGATCTGCCGCAAGATGATGTGGGAATCGGGGAAGATTTACTCTTCTCTGAGGCGAACGCACGTCCCGTTGCGCTCCGTACCAGATTCCAGAGTCCCTCCAAACGTACAATACCTTTTTTTATTGGAAAAGGAGGCAGAGCTATTCCTTCATTATGTGTGATCACAACTCGACTTGCGACATCGGTTGAGTCATAACTGCGTTGTCGGCCTCCGCGGTAGGAGTAGGCTCTCATCTTGTCCTAAGTGGTATTGGTACGAAAATATTGCTGGCGACAATTCGTTCCGCAAAGTGGTTGTGCGTGGCAGAAAATAACGTTGTCTGCATGAAAGCCTTTGAGCCCGAGTGATGCTGGTTTATGATCGGGGTTTGAATTGCTCATGTATAGAATTGCTTATGTACGCGTGTAGTGTACGTAACAAGTTATAGGTACTTCTTTACTGTGAAAGAATATAAAAAATTTAATCTCTGACGAAGGTAAATTAGATGCTATTGATTTCAGTTTAATTGGATGTTTGAGAATCATAGGTAAATATCGCAAAGTTGTTATCGGTCGTCATGGTAACACTGTGAAGTTGGCGCCGCGCATCGTCATAATTCAATCTCATCATTTTTCCCAAACGAGCCGAAGGAAGTACTATAACTTAAGTAATAGAGTCTGAGGGCGCTCACGCCTGGTTCAGATGGACAGATTTAGTCTTAGCAATAGGGTCCCGTTCCACCGGAACGGCGGTACGGAACCCCAAAGGAGAGAATAGAAGGAGAGCGTGCAGAGCTGTGCGTTGGCAGGCGAGTGGAACGAGATGTGCAGCGAGTTCCAGCGCATGCTGGTGGTGCGCGCGCTGCGCACGGACCGCGTGGGCGCGTGCGCCGCCGCCTTCGTGCTGCGCGCGCTCGGCCCGCGCTACGTCGAGCCGCCAGTGCTCGACATCAAGGTGCGCCCACGCCCACGCCCACGCCCACGCCCACGCCCACGCCCACGCCCGACTCTCCACGCCCTCAATGTCCGGGCCTATAACGGGCGGTAGCGTCAACCCGCTCGCCAGGCGCGCCAACTATGGCGAAACTCCCGCATGATGGATGTCCAAAATGTGTGGATCGTGCTTCGTGGCAGTCTGAGGGAGGCGTATGTTCAGCATTGGACACAAACAGGCTGAAATTATGAGGATGATGATGTGGCAGGGCCACGAAACAGTCTTTACTGTCACACGGATGGACCGGTCCGTCCGGAATAGCCACGACCACACGAAGCACCGGCGTCAGGTTAAACTGATACTGCATTTTAGACCAGCTTTATTAAAGGTGGCGGTGCATCTGCAACCCTAACATCCGGTTTCTGAAACAACTGATCAGTTCAAAGAGTTTAGCCATCCTTTTGCCAACTCAAATTACATTTGAGAATCCATTTGACAACTGATTAGTTAACATCTACGATGATCAGTGTTTCAGAAATCGGGCGTTACTGTTGCGAATATCCATGTACGACGGTTATCACTTAACTGAGTGGCTTAGCTAAGTACATGTCCAGATTTTAGCGCTTGTCTTTCGGTACAGTTGGCTAGAGCATTTGGCCGCATTACCCGGAAGACGCAGGCCCAATCTAATCCTTACGGTGCCAAAAATTCAGATTATTAATAAAAATTTAAAAAGAAACACTTCACCTTTAATAAATTTTCCCGCACTTTAATTTCATTCAATATAGAAACATGTCACTTGCCTATTAATTGACAAAATACTATTACCGGTTCGGAAAACTAAAGCCACAGATCTGAGACGAACCAGACAGTTATTATATTATTCGATGCACTAGTCCTGAATTGTAGACAATAGCGTAGCTCATGCCGGAGTTATTTCTATAAGGGCCGGAAATGTAGAAAACTGTTCTGTCGGAGTTATAGACGAATCCTGGAATGTAGACAATTGCGTATCTTGTACCCGAGTTATAAAACTGCGTAGCTTCTGCCGCAGTTGTAGACGATGCCTGAAATGTAAACAATTGCGAAGCTTGTACCGAAGCTAAAGGCGAATCTTGAATTGTAGACAATTGCGTATCTTGTACCGGAGTTATAGACGAATGTTGAAATGTAGACAATTGCGTATCTTGTACCGGACTTATAGACGAATGTTGAAATGTAGACAATTGCGTATCTTGTACCGGAGTTATAGCCGAGTCCCGAAATGTAGAAAACTGCGTAGCTTCTGCCGCAGTTGTAGAAGATGCCTGAAATGTAAACAATTGCGAAGCTTGTACCGAAGCTAAAGGCGAATCTTGAATTGTAGACAATTGCGTATCTTGTACCGGAGTTATAGACAAATGTTGAAATGTAGACAATTGCGTATCTTGTACCGGACTTATAGACGAATGTTGAAATGTAGACAATTGCGTATCTTGTACCGGAGTTATAGCCGAGTCCCGAAATGTAGAAAACTGCGTAGCTTCTGCCGCAGTTGTAGAAGATGCCTGAAATGTAAACAATTGCGAAGCTTGTACCGAAGCTAAAGGCGAATCTTGAATTGTAGACAATTGCGTATCTTGTACCGGAGTTATAGACGAATGTTGAAATGTAGACAATTGCGTATCTTGTACCGGAGTTATAGACGAATGTTGAAATGTAGACAATTGCGTATCTTGTACCGGAGTTATAGTCGAGTCCCGAAATGTAGAAAACTGCGTAGCTTCTGCCGCAGTTGTAGAAGATGCCTGAAATGTAAACAATTGCGAAGCTTGTACCGAAGCTAAAGGCGAATCTTGAATTGTAGACAATTGCATATCTTGTACCGGAGTTATAGACGAATGTTGAAATGTAGACAATTGCGTATCTTGTACCGGAGTTATAGCCGAGTCCCGAGCGTAGAAAACTGCGTAACCCGTACCCGAGCTGTAGCGAGGCCTTTGATGAAACGCCCAGGCCGCCTGGGAGGAGTCGTCGTGGAAGACGTCGCTGCTGTTCGTGCTCTCCCCCGGCGTGGACCCCACCTCGGCGCTCATCCAGCTGGCCATCGACGTCAAGATGTTCGACAAGTTCCAGTCGCTCAGTCTGGGCCAAGGCCAGGCGCCGGCGGCGACAAAGTGAGTTCACGTGCCTTCGTATTCTTCTTGAGCGTGTGTTCGCCCAGAGTTAGGAAAAAACGGCCAAGCGCGACTCGTGCACGAAGGGTTCCGTACTATTAATATATGGCAAAAATATCATGTCTGTTGTATGGGAGCTCCACTTAAATATTTTGTGATTTGTTTTTTAGTGTTTTTATTATAGCGCCAACAGAAATACATCATCTGTGAAATTTTAACCGTCTTACTATCACGGTTCATGAGATACGGCCTGGTGACAGACGGACAGACAGACAGCCGTGTCTCAGTAATAGCGTTAAGTATTACCCTTTGGCTTTAGAACCGTTGAAATGAACGCGATATATGCGTTAATGTCGTTTACTTTAATAACTGACCTCTCGGCCAACACCAGGATGCTGACGCAGGCCATGGCGGAGGGCGGCTGGGTGTTCCTCGCCAACTGCCACCTGGCCTGCGAGTGGCTGGGCGCGCTGCGGGGCCTGGACAGCCCCAGCATCCACCACCGCTTCAGGCTCTGGCTCTCCTCCATGCCCGACGACAAGTTCCCCCTGAGCATGCTGCAGAGGAGCATCAAGATGACCACGGAGCCCCCTCAGGTGGGATTTGCCCGTGCTCGAGATTGCAATCAGTTGTGTAGTAATTCACATGCGCATGTTATAATGTTGCTAGTTTTTTTTTAATGTGAGAAGGTGGCAATCGAGCTTTCAACCCTACACCTGATGTTAAGTGAAAACCGCCACCAAAGGCCTCCCCTGCAGATTGCCACGAAGCACGATCCTGAGCCACCTGTATCTATCTACTTCCAGCACACTTGCACAGGTCGTCACTGCATCTAGTGGAGGGCGTTCTACACTACAACGGCCAGTGAATTAGGGTTGCTCAAGTGTATTGAATTAAAAGCGAGCGTCCATATCTATAAAGCATCTCTCGTGTGCTTGTAACCATTTGTTTTTATGTTATAATGTATCTTATGCTGAAGTGGCAGTGGGCTGGCCACATCTGTCGAAGAACCGATGAGCGATGGAGACCACGTCTCGGAAAGCGTAGTGTCGGACGTCCCCCTGCCAGGTGGACCGATGACCTGAGAAAGGTCGCTGGTAGTGGCTGGATGAGGAAAGCGGAAGATCGTGCTGTGTGGCGTGCCCTTGGGGAGGCCTATGTCCAGCAGTGGACTGCAAAAGGGTGGACTGGTTTGTTGGTTGTGTTATGCATCAGTTTTACTATATATGCTAATTAAGTTAAAATCACGCTAACTTTAGATTGTTCCAATAGGATATGACGGGCCGATATTTAAATCAAATTCTTAGTTTCTGTTACTGTCCCTGCTCCGTGTTTAATCGCCTCGTCTAAGCGATCCGATTGCGATGAATCGAATTGCAGGGCCTCAAGGGCAACCTGGTGCGTCTGTTCGCCAACCTCAACGAGGACAAGTTCGACGAGGCCACGCCCAAGTATCGCAGGCTGCTGTTTTGCGTGGCCTTCTTCCACTGCACGCTCATCGCGCGCAAACGGTTCCGCCAGCTGGGCTACAACGCCGTCTACAGTTTCAACGATGCGGACTTCGAAGTGAGTGTCGAACTCATTTTCATGAGAAACTTTGTGAAAAGATTGGTTCCCCTGACGCTAGGTGATTACCGCAGTTCGTGGACTTCTACAGCACCTGGTGGATTGCAGAATCGTTGACAACCGTTACGAAAAGTCGCCGACTATTATCCTTTAGAAAAACCCTCGTTACGATTGCAATGACAATCTGAATCACTGTCATCGTCTCGTGCGTTTTTTGGTGGGTCGAAAGATATTTTAAAGTAAAATTAGATAGAAACAGATCGAAATTCTTCTGGTTAAGTCTTCCATGTTTTTTGATAATTATCAGTAGGTATACCTTTAAGTACAGCGTAAAATCACGCAAACATAACGTTAGTCGAACAATTACATGTTGTACCTATTATAAATTGGGGTGCATTTATCGGGATTCTGTTTATTTGTGAGAGACAGATCACTGTATAGCGAGCTATCTCTGTGTTCGAGAGCTATTGTCGTATAGACCATTGGCCATGTCAGGTGTCGGACAACCTGCTGGCCAACTACCTCGAGGAGTACGACGAGGTGCCGTGGGCGGCGCTCCGCTACCTGCTGGCCGTAATCAACTACGGCGGCCACATCACCGACGACTGGGACAAGCGCGTGCTGCTCGCATACATCAACCAGTTCTTCTGCGAGGAGGCGCACGACGTGCCCTTCTACAGGTGCCAACTGGTCTCTTGGGTTCAATGGTCCACTCGCAGTTGCGGCTGCGGTGACATGGAATCTATCACTTCAAGTGTGCGAGGAACGGGCCCTTTGTGTTTGAATTCATATCAACTGAATGCTGTTATTTAATACAATACATTTGACGTCGTTATCAGGTATAAAACTAAACTGAAGGTGCATTTGAAATGTTAAAATGGATATTTCTAATTATACCTTCTTTTTCTTACTCTTGAAATTAGCATCAAACGATTACACGCAGCAATGGCGTGTAATCTGGGGTCACCTTGTGTGATAACACTCACATCCATGTGTCCAGGGGGTCCTTGCCTTGATCGCCGTCTTGCAACGTACCCAACGTGATCAGCTCGTCATTACTTGTTGGTCACCGTTGTTAGACCGCCCTATCTAACATGATGAGCTCGTCATTGCTCAGCTGATCACCGCTGAGCCTTACGCGACCAGCCCATCACCGACCCCCCCCAGGCTGTCGAGCATGCCGGCGTACCACGTGCCGCGCGACGGCAGCCTGGAGTCGTACCGCGACTTCCTGGAGCTGCTGCCGGCGGCCGAGCGCGCAGACTCGCTGGGCCAGCACAGCTCGGCCGACGTGGCGGCGCTAGCCCAGGTGCTGTGGCGCCTCCCGATCATTCCGACGAATGGATCATGTTGAATGAATGATAATAACCGCACACAGGATCGAATCGCTAAATTTTCACGTGGCAGCGCTCGCCTAGGACCTGTGCCGCATTTCAAAGAACCATGCGTCTACAGAGGTCCCATTTTTATGTGATAAATTTGCAAGCGAGCGGGCGGTGCAACTGGTGATAAGTGACCACTGTCGATTTCAAAACAGGCGAACGGAACTCAAAGTATAACACTTCAACTTTTCGCCGGTATTTCCTTAATTGGAAACTGTCTGATTGAAATTGAATAAATTATATACAGCGTGTCGTTACCAACGCGACAATAAATGAACATACATATAGAGGATAACTTTTTAAAATTGTATCAAAAATTTACATTCTTTAAACATCAATATTTAACGAGTTATTAAATTTTACAAAACAAACATTTTTAGAACACCCTTACGTATAAAACTGTAACGTAAAGTTCATTTGTAAAGGTCACAAAGCATATGAATGGGTTGAATGAATTTAAAAAACATAGAACATACTACTGTTAGAAGGAGAGACTTGTAATGCGACGTTGTGGCAACGAATGGAAAAGTCTCTGAATGTATGAATCGGTCAGTTTTAGTTGTATAGGATGTAAAAATTTTCTTTTCTTTTTTACTTAATTATTTTGTTTGAAAAATATATTTTTTTTAATTATGGATATTTTTTTAACGTTAATATTTTTTTGTGATTATTGGCAAGTAGCGTCAGACGAGTGTTCATTTATTGTCGCGATCGTAACGACACGCTGTAGAGGACAATAATTACTCTACCATTTACACCGCGACTTCCAAATTTGAAGTAGCAATAGTTATTGTTATGAAACATGCTTCTCGGCTTAGCACTATGGTGTCGTAAGCATAAATTTTCTAATATTTTATTGTGTTTTATTGCTTTTAGGATGCGTCCATCATGTGCTCCACACTGTTTGCCCTAACTTCGTCCGGTAGCGGTGGGGCGGCCGGCGGCGAAGATCAAAAGGTGCGGCGGACCTTTGTTTGAATCGCAGTGTCTTTGATGTAAACCAATAAATATACATTTAACATGAGCGTTGAGGAGTCCGTCTTTGGATCCAATGTTCAATTACAAAGTTTACAAGAGAAAGTTCAGTTATATTACTAAAAATAATCAGTTATGACATGTCTTCAAGTCAAGAGTGAAAGTAATCTTTTACCGAGCACCCAATGTCATAAGTTTCTATTATAAAAGACATACCTTAACGATTTGGTGGTTTGATAAAGCAGTATTTAGCTCGGGCTAGTTACATATTAATGAAATAAGAAAAAAAAAACGAAACAGAAATGACATTAGGTATTATAATTTTTGTAGACAAATGGACAAAGACGTTAACCGCCTAGCGCAAAAGCGTGATGCAACGCTATCTCTCTCTCCCCCTCCGACATCAGGTGGACGAGCTGGCGTCCGAGATGCTGCACCGGCTGCCGAGCAAGGTGGACATGGAGACGACGGAGAGGATGATGGGGCCGGAGATCGTGATGCCGATGTGCGTCTCGCTGCTGCAGGAGATCGGCTACTTCAACGCGCTGGTCGGCGAGATCACGTCGGGGCTGAAGGTGGGCCCGGCTCCGATTTGGTTGATGCGACGCCCGGGGAGACATGTCGTTGATTTATTGTTTTTTAACCGACTTCAAAAAAGAAGGAGGTATTTTTATTTCTTTTGTGTGTTCGCGGATAACTTCGTCGTTTATGAACCTTTTTTTTGTTCGTAAGGAGATATCCCTAGGATGATACCATGGTAAGGAACCCTGGATCTGATGATGGCATCCCAGAGAAATCGTGGGCAATCCTCAGACGAACCCTGAATTAGTGCTCTATTTATTGTGTAGTTTAACGCGTTTTGAGTTAACTTTGTCGCTATTGTTCGATCTGTTACTGTGGCTTTGATGACTCAAAAGAACCCCATATATTCTAGGAACTGCGTCGAGCTATTGAAGGTCTCGTGGTGATGTCGGAAATATTGGAAATAATGTACACTTGCATCTACGAAGGCAGAGTTCCCTCCTTCTGGCAAAGAGGTATCTTGGCAATTTATGACCGGTTTTAAATTTTATTTTTTTCAAAATAAAGTGATAGGGCACTCGATTTCAACTTCAAATATCCGGACAACATGCCTTCAAATGAATGTCAGAATTAGGACTGATGATTATACTTTCTTCTGCTCAGCTATAAGGGAAAACATCGTGAGGAAACCTGTAGGCTCTAAGTAAATATTACAAAAATAATAAATTGTGTCCAGTCCCCAAATCTACAATGGGATCTCATTCTTACTGGTGTCACGAGAGTTTTATTTTATAAAGTTAACAGCGTTAAATAAACCACAAAACCACTCTAGTTTCCAAACTCTACTCATTGTGTGTTGTTCAATAACGGTTTTTTTAATCTATGAATTTGGATAAAATGGAACTGAGATTAGACGTGGTGGTTACGTGGTTTTGTTTCTGAATATATCAAATAAGCATCATCATATCAGGGATAGCTTGTGTGCCAGCTGGTTAGCTTATAGAGCGGGTCAGGTCAGAAAGACGCTTGACGGTTCTTAATCATTTTGTAGTCGCGTAGAAACGCGCCCGAACTGAAGGATTTATGTCGTAGTTCGTCTTGAGTACAGTGAAGGAATGAAAATTAATTTGCTGGGACCTGTGCGCCCTTAGAAGTATAGTGTGAGCGTCGATACCAGAGCGATTGGGCATTCACTGGTGTGTTCATCTACGGCCGCATCACCGCTTGTTGTGACTAGAGCTACGCTTTCGCTGAACCTACACCGTCTACGGCTTCGTCACTACTAGAGTGAGCATTCGCTGAGCTGGTGCGTTCGTCTACTGCCGCATCGCCTCGTATCTGTTGGTGTTGCGGCCGAGTGAACGAGCACCAGCAGCACATAGGCCCCGGCACTCGCAGGGCGTCCGACCCTGAAGGGTGTGGTAACAAGGGGTTTTTTAAAAGGTGGCAACGCATCTGCAGCCCTACGGGTGTTGCAAATGTCCGTGAGCAACGGTGATCACTTACACACCATCAGGTGAACCGGCAACTCGTTTGCCCCCTTATCACATAAAAAAAGAGTGTCTGTCTGCGTGTTAGTATAATTTATCAAACATTTATAAAAAGTTTTAGTTACGCTAGATTTTCGTTCGATTGCAGTGTCGTCGTGATTGAATTCGATTTTGTAAATGATAAAATTCCTAACCACTTCACAAAACGCCTCGGTCTGTCCCGTAAAAGTATTTGAAAAAAGTTTAAAACTCAATACCATCTATAAAATGGTCTTATTTAACACTTTTGCACTAGTTTTAAAGTAAGGTAACCACTTTAGGGTAAGGTTCTTTCGCTGGAGATTTTCATAGTTTTTAGTGGCAATTCGTGTATTTTTTTAATGTTCTTTATATAGTACGCCTTATTGTACCCGGCTTTTAGACTTACATATTAATTGTATTAAATTCTTTGTGGTGTACAATAAAGTACCTATATCCCCCCCCCCCCCCCATAAAATAGTTGAACGATTATCTGGTGCGACAGACAACCGCGAGGGCGGAGAGCTGGCCCATCGACACCCTGTGCTGGGAATTCACCGTGATGACCCTCGAGGAGACGAGCATCGTGCGCCCGCCGAGGGACGGCGGAGTCTACATCAGGTGCTGCCGAAGCCGAAGTTGAAATATCTCAAAAGTCTAAACTTTTCCCTCGGGCTTGTCTAGAGAAGTATCTGACAGAATCTCCACGGTCTTGTCATCTTTTTTTATAGGATGAATACAAACTTGGGTATAATTATTACCGATAAAAAAACCGACTGCAGATATCTCGCTATGTATTAAATTTTAACCTACTTCAAAAGTAGTAGTAGGATATGCATTCGTATGTTTATATTTTTTTTTATAATTGATTTTTAGGTGTTCCCTAAGTATCTCCGGAGCCCAAAATCCGATACCAATCAAATTATGGGATGACATGGGAAGCACGAGCTTTCAAATGAAGAAAGCAAGAATCATCAACATCGATTTACTTGACATAAAAAAAATTGTTGAATTGAGAACCTTTTCTCCTCCTCCTTTTTTGAATTCGGTTAAAAATTGGCGGCAGCCATGGGACCTGCAAGTGGAGAGCAAGAGTACACAGAGAGCATATTGTTTTATTGTTTTTACACAATGTCACACCACAGTGACCGAGTGATACGCCTTACGCCCAGTTTCTGAAGCACTGATCATCGTAGATGTCAACTAATCAGTCAAATGGATTTCAAATTACAATTTAGGTACCAAAAGGATGTTTAAACTCCTTCTCCAAACTCCTGGTCCAGATAATCCTTACTTCCTTACTAATATTATAAACGCGAGAGTTTGTATGTATGGATGGATGTTTGTTACTCTTTCACGCAAATACTACTGAATGGATTTTAACGAAATTTTACAATAATGTAGCTTATACTTCAGAAGGGCATAGTCCACTTCGGACTTCACATAACTCCGAAATATTTTTTTGTTATTATTTCGAAATTATGCAGGTTTCCTCGCGATGTTTACCTCCACCGCTGAGCACGTGATAAGTCGGCACTTAAAATCAACGATTTTATTGGTGCCGGCAACGGGGATCAAACTCAGGTTGCTCGATTAAATAGAATTAAAACCGAGCGGGAAAACTAATTATGATCAACATTATTATCTTCGAAATATTTTTATTTTTTATGCTTGTTTCGAAAATATGCAGTTTTCCTCATGAAACCGTTGAGCATGTGATAAATGAACACTTAAACACTTAAAATTGCAATGACAAATCAGTTAAGTATAATTATTATTTACCTAGTGAGCCCTCCAGCACTGCAGGTAAGGTTGTCACTGAAAAGAACTTTGCCCGTAGGGTTGTCACTAAAAAGAACCATGACTGTAGGGTTGTCACTAACAAGAGCTCTGCAGGGAAGTTTGTCACTTGTAATCGGCCTTCGCTTTGTAAGGCGATTTATTTTTATTCTTTATGTACTAACTACGATTCACTACCAGTGTAAAACAAAACAAAGATAACCTTGCACATATGGTTGTCACTAAAAATAATCTTACACGTAGGGTTGTCACTAAACGGAATTGTGAGTCTAGGGTTGTCACTAAATAGAAGCCTTCACGTAGGGCTGTCACAAAAAAGACACCTTTTAATAGCGCCCTAGTTTAGCACTTAATTTGTGGCGCTCCGCCCTCAGACCGCTACACGTGCCCGTGCTACTACTACCTGCTGCGCAAGGGCGCCTTCGTGGTGGCGGTGGAGCTGGCCTCGGGGAAGGAGAGCGCCGATTTCTGGGTGAAGAGGGGCACAGCCCTGCTGTGCACCCTCGCTTCCTAAGCTCGACTCTTGTTTGCCGTGTCTCGTCTATAGTTTTTTATGTTGTCGCATTAGAAATAAATTTTACATAAAACTGTTTGTTTTATTGAAATGTATTACAACCCCGTTACGATACGATACGCCTATAATTGTATCCTGCAGCACCGAAAATTTTGAAATTAATTTTGAAGAGGAAAAGGCTCGTCAAAATCTTTATATGTGTATCAGAAATATGTCATATATACATAAATCAAATCCCATAATGAAACAGTGCCTTAGATAAAACGATTTATTTACAGCTTATAGCTAACTTAGTTATCTACATACGTATCTCATACTTAACACGTTACAATTGGGTTATATTATGCAATTTACAGTACATAGTATTACGACATAGAAATTTCTTAAGATTAGGCCATCTACTTGCTTCTCATTTATATGTTATGATGGATTGTAGATATGAGGAGAAATTTAGTGAAAAAGTAAAAAACAAATTTTTACGATTGTATGGTTAAATCCAATGTTATTACAGCGAAACCATGAGAATACAACTAAAGTATCGTCTTGGGTATAAATAATTTCAGTTTACACAGGATTGTCGTCGCGTGTTCCACCGGTAGCCTAATCTTAGGAAGCTGAAATACTGATTCCTGTCTTAATTTACAACTTATTACATAGATCGACATATATTTAATAGTTTAAGCCAAATTGTTTTTTAACGTAAATAAAGATTATCGATCTCTATGATTTGTTATAAGCTGTACTTATTTGATCGGTTATTTTGTTAAATGCAAGTTGTTAATTAACTTATTTTTCCATTCGCAAAATATGGCACGATTTCAATATTCAAACTTAGCAGAAGCGTAGAAACAATAACGGATAGCACTATTTTTGACAGTCTATAGTTTAGTATACACGATGAAAGCGGTGGTAGTCCGTACTCTCATCGGCCTCGCGAGAACGATTCATTACCAAAATAGACGAAACGAAGAATGACACATGTTACTTTGACATATAAAACGTCCCAGCCATTGATAAAAGAACATAACTTATATTCGTATCACTATTATTCTTCTATCAATGTACGCGGTTGATGGAACGTGGAAGGAGAACCACCGTCAAATTTGGAACTGACATCCGTCACATTGACAGATGCGAAGTGAACGGTGAACGTTTGGTGGGAATTTTGCCGAGAGTTGTAACTGTCGACTGACACACGTCACATGCGGAAGGAGAGTAACTGTTAAATTCGGAACTGAGATGCGTCACATTGACAGATGCTAAGTGAAAGGTGAACGTTTGGTGGGAATTTTGCCGAGAGTTATAACTGTCGATTGACACGCGTCGCATGCGGAAGGAGAGTAACTGTCAAATTCGCGAGCGGAACTGACAGGCCGTCACATTGACAGATGAAAACAGAAGAACGGTCGGCGGCGGTTGGCGGGACTCTTGCCGAGATAACTGTCGAAACTAGGGGCGTCAATGTGACAGATGAGAGGTGAACGGTCGGCGGGAGTTTCGCCGAGGAGCTGTCGGGAGCACTGGCGCGTCTACGTCTTGGTGTCCGCCGCCCCGTCGGCGCGGGGGCGCGCGCGGTGGAAGCGCACGCGGCGGTAGGGGCGCGGCCGGTGCGGCGGGCAGCGGCCCAGCGCGGGCTCGTAGCGGCCCGCGTCGCAGCCGGGCGGCGAGCACTCGCCCCGCTGCACGCACACGCGGTCGCGCAGCCCGAAGTGCTCGCGGCCGCGCGCCAGCGACTGGCAGTCGCGCCGCCGCCCCGCGTCCGCCCACTCGCACGTGCACAAGCACGCGCCCAGCGCGGACGTGCGCGCCGCGAACAGCATCGGGCACGTGCACCTGGGTGAGCCGTACGCACTTCTAGACTCACTGGGGCCTGTTTAATTAAGCGCCCATCGATGGGGGCGAAAGGACCGTGTAGCTTTCTAAAATCGGCCAATGTTTTAATTAGAGTCGAAAAAAGTTGTCGTTTTGGATTGCTTCCTTCTACTCGTCGTCTTCGCAATCACGACCTCACAGAGGACCGGCTTAAAGTGGAACTTTTATACTTCTGCGTTTTCTCTGATGAGTGAGGTAGGGCCCACTTTATCAACATCTGCAACCCTGCGGATGTTGCGAATGTCCATAAGCGGCGGTTGTCACTTAACATAAGATGAACCACCGGCTCGCTTGCCGCCCTATCGAATAAAAAATCACCTCTTCAATTGCGGCGGCGCTGTCCTCTCCTCGTCCCTCTCCAGCCTCGGCTCCTCAGTGGGCTGCCGCCAATCGCCCTCCTGCTTGGACTTCTGGCCCTCCGTGATGGGCTGCGGTTCGATCCTCGCCCGCGCGGTGCTCTGTAGCGTCTCGCGCGACACGCAAGCGCAGCTCGTGTGGTTGAAGAACAGCATGCGGGCGACGGTCAGGGTACCATCAACTTTGCTCAACTGGAATCGATACCAACTGCCGTCAATCGCCGTGGCATTATCAATTGATTCATCAATCTGTTCACCCTTATATAGCTAAGTATTGTTAAATCACTGAATGACTTCACGCGTATGACTTCTACGCGTCGGATGATGGTTCAGCAGTAGGAATTAATCGTGCAGAATCGTTAACGCACGTCAGTATCTAAGTATAACAAAATCGGCTATGATGTTTTCTGAGTAAATAGACTTTTATGATAGCGGTACCACCTCTTCACGATGACAATATTTTTCTGTCGCCGTTCTACATGAACAAAATGCACAAAATCAGGCACCTAGATACGGAGTAATCAAGTGGTTCCGCAAATGCTTGTCGCGTTCTCGTCCGTTACTCGAATCGGTGGGCAGCGTACAGCGGGGGAAGGGAAGGGGAGAATATTCAAAAGACACCCTTTCATCCCTCATATGATAGGGTTACGTTTTACGTTCGTACCCACTAAAACCCGCTTGGTGGCGGATGGATCTCCTACGGAACGCACCGGTGCTCGCGGTACTGCTCACGAGCACGCCGCGGAGAAGGGCGAACCTTCCCCCCACCCCCTCACCATCTTTCAACAGCACGCGGGCACTTCGCAACGCTGCCAGTCCGTGCCCCTAACGTCGCCTAAGTATACTACTCATAGAATAGGACTAAGATACCTTAGACTACAGAGCTCTAAAGCAATGCGTCAGTTCCGTTCGCGAAGCTTCAACCGAGATGGACAATACCTACAAAGAAGGGTATCGCGACGTGCTTCCCGTCGACGGGCGCGCACACCTCGGCCTCGCTATAGCAGCAGCCGGCGTCAGGCGCGCATCGGTGCAGCTGCACGCACGCCGGTATGTACCTGGGTGGGGGAAGGGAGAGCGTAACTTGCTATTTTGAGGGCGGCGCTTCGATAATTGAACGAGAATTGAGAGTATTTTTTTTATGTGAAAAGTTGCCAAACGAGCTGACGGTGCACCTGATGTCAAGTGAATACCGCCGCCCATGGACATCTGCTACACTCGAGGGTTCCAGATGTGTTGACAACCTTTTGAAAATTTGGCTCCGGCCACCTCACTCACCAGGCGAAACGCGAAAGTATTATACTTCCACTTTACGCCGGTCTTCCGTGAGGTCGTGGTACTTACCCGGACGAGCCTGCCCATTCGTGCAACAGCCGAGGCTGCTGCATTGCGCTACCACCGTACATTAGATAAATTATCGAGTTTGAGACGTTAATGATCAAGGTGATTAGAAACTTAGAATGAAGCTTTTCATAGTTGAAGGACAGAAGATCGCAAAGAACATAAATATTTTTAAGAACACTCACACAGTATTAGCGGCTGGCGCGAGCTGTCGCACTGGCAGCCAGCGTGGCTGCGGCGTCTGGCACGTGCCGGTCCGCAAGACCGTTTTCATGTTCGCGACCACACTGCGTTGCAGTGCTGCCTTCTCTGCCGGCGTGAGGTTTGCTGGGGGAGAAACAGACGACGTTATCTTTAATCTTTAGTCACCATCACTCTGATGCGAATCATCTATACGTCGTCAGGGCATGAAAGCCACCCACGATTAGTGAAAATCTCTCACTATCAAATAAGCCACAGGTTTAAGATTGTCGGAACTTACAGTCGTCCAAGATCCTCGGTCTTTCGTTGGTGGCAGCTACTGGGTCCACAGCGGATAGCACTACTTCCCGGTAGCCAGAGTCGATTTTCGTTATAGCTGACGGCACTACGGACCCGGGCTTGAAGGTCGAAACTTCAGGGTCGTCCAAAGGGTGCCAGTCTTCGCCATCCATCGCGTAGTCCCCTTCCCCTAAATCTTGTAGAAGCGTGTCCTGGAATAGAAAACAAACAGTTTTACATAAACTGGAATTTTTCTAGAATTCTTCTGGAATGTAACTCTAGGTAATTTTGATATCGCTGTAGTGCAGGCTGAATGCGGTCTTGACTTTTATTTCCACTTGAGGCTGTGCTAAATATAAATGGTTATAGATGGGGCGAGTAAAGTGCATGGATAACAAGTGATATAAAGCATTTATATTTTAAATTTATAGTTTCATCTGATAGCGCGCATGAAACCTTTTTTTCGCTTTATTATAACAAAATTTTATTGGCTTTATTATAACAAAATTTTAAGTTTGATAAATACCGGATAAGTAATAAAAATGGATAAATCTCGTTGGAATTATAGCTTTACTATGTACAGATACGAAACAATTCCAATTAACAGCCATTATAGGAAAGCCCTTATACTAGCCACATGCTTCCTTAGAAAGCAGTATTCGCAATATGCTATGTATATAGATTTTAAATCGTGAAGAGTTGTTACAAAACATATTTAGACCAGTCAGGATGAGTCTAGACATCGCCGATCGACCCCTAAAAGACTGGAGAAGTTTTGCAGAAAAAATAAACAGACCGATAGAATAAATAGACGTGGCGAGTTACAGACGCTAAGTGCCGGATACAAAGCAATTCCATGTATAGGCCAGTCAGCGAACAAGAATGCGCCCGCTCCCAGAATAGAACGTATTTAAAGATCCAGTTGCGTCTGGCTCCTTTCGTATCGGACGTCGATTTTTATTAAGCTTTAGATTAGGGAGCGCAATGTAAATGTTTTGTTTCCAATCGCTTTCATCTCTAGCGGCCTTATTTATCTTCGGCTGTTAATAGCTACCGTTTTGTTGATCAAAGATCGTACTTGAATAGATTCGAGTACTTTTTTTCGGAAGTCGATTACGTTTCCATTTTTAAAATTGAAGCTTCAAAACTTATAAACGTTTGCTGACTTAACGGTCCGGTCAGGACCTTGCCTTTCGTACTTCAATAAATTGTACAGGAAAGACATAACGGTGATATCTATTTCAAAGTAAACTTCCAAAAATAATGGATGTTCCGTGTTTTAGACAAGAGCTTATTGAAAATATAAATAAATATTCTCAAGATTTTCGGAAATGGAATCTGTTTAAGTTAACCTAAACAGATTTAATGAAAAAAACCATTCAAATAAATGTAATATAAAGATTATTCATTATTTGACTTCAGAAGTAGGTAATAGCAGTACAAAATACTTACTTTTTAATTTCGATACAAACTAGTCAAGCGGTCGGTATAAGCGATTGGAATTATTGAAACTCAAAGCTCTTGTCTGGAACTATTGACTTAAAGGAGGCTTATTGAAACAAGCGAGCTTTTATATTAAAACCTGAATGGGCGTCCATAACAGGTTTGCTAAGCAAAGCATTTTCTTCGATAGCTACTTGAAAGTCACCACTTGATCAATTACGACACTTCCGTGCACGCTACAGAATGATTAATGTATTTATCTATTCATGTAACTATAGAAATTAAGATTTGTTGGTGTTTTTATGTGGATCTTTACAAATAGTTATTGCGTTCGTAATAGCTTGTTTATTGAATTTAAAAAAAAGAAGTTTTTAGACAAAAGGAAGTTGAAACTTATTTTGCATCAAGTCTTCATTTTGTTAGTATTATTTTGGAGGCGTGGTCGCTGAAAGTGCAAATCGGTGTGATATGCGCGTTTATCTCTTGGCTTGCTTTCCTTTCAACCGATTTCAATGGACCTCGTTTATTGGCGACTAAGCTCGAGGGCTCCCGAGGGAGCTTCGGCTCTGGCCGTCACGCTGTCATAATTTTCACGGTATTGGGAGGCCGCCAAGCTCTTAGGTCACTTTGGCGGACGCTCCATGGAGTAACCAGGCTCAAGTGGCTCCAAGAGAGGAGACCTCCGCTTGTACTGTTAGCCGTTTAGAATTTCGATTCGAAAAGTTCAAAAAGTTGTGTGAAAAAATTAAGCAATATAATAGAATAATAAAAACACCAAAGGCGCCAACCGTAAAAGACTATAAGCAGAGATATTTTTGAGTAGGCAAAGGGAACTATACCCATACAGCCTTCAGAAGATTTTTTTTTATTGATTAAATTGAAATGAAATTTAATGACATGAAATGAAGTGAAACCTAACCTAATTCAATCAAATCAAAATTCATTTTATTTGATTGAATTCATTGAATCAAATCATTAAATCTTATATTGAAACAAATTAGTAGCTTCTTTTTAGAAATATTTGCATGAATCATAAAAACTTCTATCCATTTTTTTTGTAAAAACTTCGTGGTTGGTTTTTTTCTTTTTAATAGACATTATTTCGACAGTTGGGAAAGAGTTCGGAAAAGGTAAAGAAAAAGCTCGAATACGTAATATCCCGAACGCTATACGTCCCTGCAATACGCCACTTTTTGAGCGACTGTATTAAAAAGTTCGTTTTGGTTTCTGTTAATAAAAATTTTTTACTTGTCAAGCATTCTTTTGTAATAAGATGACGCAATCGAAATCATTTCCGTGCAGCGGTCGTAGTGTATTGTATTAACCGAATAAAACCCCCGATCGTCCGTATTTAGCTGTTCGGTAAAGTTTGTTTAATCTTTTAGATACTAACATGTCGGCCCTGCTCTGTATACCGGAAGGGCGTTTTTAGGGACTCCCCACACGTGTCTGTTGTTTGTACTGTTGACGTCACCTCTTAAACCGATCGGGCATGTGTTTTTTCCTGGCCGTAACGGTGAAGCCCCGAAACATAAATTTGTTTATATTAAATTCTCTTTTTTAAAGTCTGCTTATCATATTTATATTAATTTCTCTAGTTAATTTTCGAATTGTTTGTAATACTAGAATTTATTAGTTAACAATATTCCTAATTTCTTAATTTTAAGTTTGAAAACTTTCATATAGTTGTCCAAATGGTGATAATACAAAGGTTGTGATGACTGCATACCCTTATCAAAACATCAAATAAATCTACCACATGACACACTATAAATAAATTTATTAATTTGAGACTATAACTCATGAATTGTAATGCTAAAAAACTTGATGACCATTTGCGCCTTCCATGGCACAATGTAAGGAGGTTTAGTGTCTCGACTTACCCTAACCTGCGCATTACCTTAACTGCTATTGTTAGAACCATTGTTTCGAGTCGAATGTTGCGTTTAACTATTATTACTATAGGAAATTACTCGGAGTTTATTCCCATCCGATGCGGCCAAAGTCAAAGGACCGCGCGCATAGGTAACAGCGGCCCTCCCTCCTCGGTGATCGAAGTCTAGATTATCCTGGTCTTTAATTTGCCAGCACGTTTTACGGTCCCCTAATGAATGTGAAAATGCTGCGACGGCTAGTGCTGGTCTTCCAATTGGTCTTCCAATGTCCGGTCTTTATTTGGTCTCGAAAGAGGATAACGAATAAAACCAATTTGTTAGTATCTAAATAGGTACAAAATGCTAGACCATCTAACCTGTTTAGGTGTGTTTATTCTGTGCGAAGTGGTTAGAATATCAAATTGTTTCGATAATTTCCGAATCTTTAGGAAACTGCATTTTAAAGTATGAACTTGACATTTCGAAAATTTTCTAATAAACATTGTAGTGAATGATTAGTAATGGCGCAGTTAGGCAAATAAGTTTCAACGATATCGGTAAATATTAGAGCAGTAGACGAGAGGCATTGGCAACAATGTTTTCCTTTTAATCTTCATTTCAAATTGTTTTAGCCAAATGTTCAACATGGCTCTCCCACCAACTGCCACAGAGCACGGTCCTGAGCGTAGTATGTAATTCGATGTAATGTTTTACTGAGATAGTAGAATGATGTTGGGTTTGAGATTTGAGATATTGCGAGTGCTTTTGGCTGTACAATATATCTTCGGGCGAATTAAGAATCCAAACTAGTGCAACTTTTGACAGAATCTGCGGTAGGGCCACGCAAAAGCCTTGCTGTTGCACTAAAGGATAGGTCTGTCCCGGTAATTACCACGACCTCAGAGAAGAGTGTCGTGAAATAGGTGTTATAATTCTGTTATTCGTCTGGTCTGTAAGGAAGTCGGGGCACATTATTAACAGCCGGCAACACATCTGCAAGCCTATAAGTATATATGACCGCTGCCTCGGCTATTATAGGCAGCAGAATTACTTGCTTTTATCGGAATGTCCTAATTTATGTCTTGTTGACAACAACAGGGATGTTTACAGCTTTATCCATTGCAGAAAAACGCTGATACTTAGGTCTCTAAGAAGGTCTCCGAGACCAGGATGGGGGATACTTCGAGGACTGAGACCGCGATCAAGAAATCACTCGCGGTCCGTTTACTTTAATGACGCGGTTTCTCTCTCATCATTGCTCGTACCGAGAACTGTTTTAATGAAATCTTCGGTCTCGCGAGCTGGTTACTATTTAAGACAATGCGCGGTAATTGGCAGCAGGAATGCAAGTAAAAGAATGGACGTCTTATATTCCATTTATTTTTGTCATGAGTGCTCAGGGATTTGATGTGTTTTTTTGAACACAGGGAGATTGTATTTAATACTAAGAATTAAAGTATTATGTTTGTTTTGTTTTGATAAAACGCTTTTTGATTCTTTAATTCGAAATAACATTAATAGTATGTCGAAAACGATGGTCACAGAGTCGAATTCTAAATTGATACAGTAAGCGAAAATTTCCTGAATTAAATAACTGTTTTTGAGTATGATACAAAAATTATCTGAATTTTGTTATTGATGACGTCACATCTAACCGGCGATACTTATCAACTAGTTTGTGTCAACATTTACAACCGTATCTGAAAAGGGTTGTCGCTATTTAAAGAAATAAAAAAAACAACAAATTTGAAATCAGCTGGAAAGAGAACTCGGGTAACCAGTTCATCGTAGAAACAGACTGAGACTAATTAGCCTAATTTATAGTCGACATAAATCTGTTTTAACCGCTTTGGTCGCTAGTCGAAATGACAAGTCCACGTCTCGGGGACATGGAG